CGACGGGCATTTATTAACACCAAAGTGTTTGGTGTTTTCTTCCTCTAAGATTATGAAAAGGCTCTCGTTTCCCAATCTTCTTTGACAGATACGGTTGCGTGCAATGACTCTGTAGCGTTAATTGACGGCATGCTGAATTTCATGTCTTGAGTAATTCTTTATATCCTGAGTTCAAACCAAATCAATGCTTTGCTTGAATCATATTTCTCTGTGTAATTATGTTTCCAATCATTTTGATTCCTGGTTTGACTATAAGAACCATAACTATACACAGGTTATTTGCTATTTCATTTGACAAATCAGCAAAGTAAACAATTTCACGAGATGCATACAATATCTTTATCTTCCGCTGTGCAACAGATCACGAGTATGAATCATCAGTCAAAGCATCGCCAAGCAACTATTTTTTTCTCATTTCAATTTTCCAATAGATGCTCATGATGAATATGTTAATGAAGCGTCACACTGATCTAGCGTTTGATGGCTTTGTAACAACACGCTTTTCCTGAGAGTGGAAAATAAGTCCACATTATACGTTAACACGCACGAGAACAAAACATTTTATTGCCAACACAAATTTTATTTCCAATCAAAAGAATAACAACTTAAAAAATAAGCCAGAACGAAAAAAGCTTTGAAAAAACAAGGTATTTTACTTTAAAAAATAATGAAAGCTGCTACATAAGCAATACCTGCATTCATTTGGGCTAGTTTTACAAACATGCAATGATCATACAAATATTATGGTTAGCCTGCTGAGTCATATTTTTCCTTATTTATCTTCTCAGCTAAAACCATTGCGGGTGGTTTTACATGAAAGGAAACACATGATGTGTTTATGCGACAAATACGCAAAAAGAAAACAAAAAATAGAGACGCTTTGAGAGATTTTCAGCACTAAAACACTTCTGAATAATATAGAAAGACTCTCTCTTGACGCAACATCAAAGTTGTTAATATATTGAAAAGAATCTCATAGGTTTTTGCCATCTTTTATTACATATAATACCAAGAGAAGCGATTTAATTTGAAGGGAAATCGATCAAGGGGACGCAGTATTACTTATAGAATCCCTGCCGTTACATTGCAATTGCCCAACTGCATTTTTCAACTTGAATGTTCATCTTATGCAGGATATCAACAGGAGCCGTATTATCCTCAAAGTTTTTCAGTAGGAAAGTACACAACGACTTCGATCTACATCGGGTTACATCTTATGACACAATAGCCAGGAAATCAAGGCACGCTTGATGTACAAGTCGTAAGAATAACATTAGAAATATAATCCGATCACACATAATCTAAAATAAATGATTAAGTGTTGTTTATAAAACTGTCTGTCCAACTTGATGGACATAAAGCAAAACCTGGGTGGGAAGTAAATCAGCATCGTTTGCCAGTAATTCTGATCCATGCAGGAGGTGAGTTATATATTTTGCTTCTAACCACGAAATATAAGTCATTTTTTGCATACCTTCCAACACAAAGGAACTTGAAAGAAGTGAGATTAAGAGTATCATTTATATTTTTTTAGAGTCACGATATTCCTTGAAAAAGAAATTGGCTAGTGTAAAATGTACAGCGCGTATAAAATGAGGGAAAGCTATCGAGTAGATGGAAAATATACGTTTTCAACATGCTCTTCAGTTGAACCAACCCGGTTGGTAGAAAGAAGAGATACAGAAAGAAAATTTCTCCCTGCAGTAGATATTTTAGACGACGAAGAAGATAAAACATTGGAAAGTATTGATAGACACGTAGTCTATCGTGAAAATGATTTCACAAATAATGATGATGATGAACAGGTTGAAAATATCAAGGAAAAGGAAGCTATCTTAGGCTCTCATTCACAAAGGAAGCTTGTCAAGCCACCTTATTCTTACATCGCACTTATCACAATGGCCATAGCACAGTCATCGCAAAAGAAATTGACGCTCAGTGAGATTTGTGAATATATTATGAATAGATTTCCGTACTACAAAGAAAAATATCCACAATGGCAAAACTCCATAAGGCATAACCTTTCGCTCAACGATTGTTTCGTGAAAATCCCTCGCGAGCCTGGCCAACCAGGTAAAGGAAATTATTGGACGCTTGACCCTGCAAGTGAAGGTATGTTTGATAATGGCAGCTTTCTGCGAAGACGAAAACGCTTTAAGCGTCCCAAAACAATCGCATTCAATTATTCACCATACGGCAACCGAGCTCCACCAAGCTTACCAAATTATCCAATACACACAATGATGTTACCATCGCACGGCTATCATTTTCCCACTTTGACTTATTCATGCAGATCTTTCTTAAATAACTATACAAACAGTATTCCATTCAGAAGTCCAATGATGCCTCCAAAACGACCGACATTTTCGACATGCTCTTGTTCTTACTGCGATACATGCTCTTCGAACGTTCGACAAACAGCAGCAACCTCTCAACCGTTAAAATTCTCTATAGAAAGCATTATTGGATAAAATAAAGTTACACAGTTGCATGTCATAAAATGCACATAACTGCGAGTATGAGCGCAATTCCCGATGTTCAATGTGAAAGATTGGAAGCGCCTGCAAAGTGAATAGCCTTGATGATTTAAAAAAGCAAATAGTGTAATAAAATATTAAAATATTGCAAAATACAAAAAACTTCATTTGACCAAACATACCTTGAAGATCATCTTCATGACGCTTTCAGTTTTAAACAAATGTAATATATATATTAGATAAAATTCGTTCGTATCTGTGACAGCGCTTATGTATTCATTGATTGTATATTGTACACTTTATCACTAGCACACCTCAAGAGTATCTATCTTTGTTATTGTACAATAGAAAATAAATATATTATGTAAAATGGCTAAAATACTCATTTGATCTGGATAGTATCTTTCGAGTTTTTATTTCATTGACTGTGTGTGTTCACTTGATACAGTTTTTTGTGAAATTGTTAGTTTTTAGTAGTCAAAAACTTTCATTTAAATGTCTAAAAACGTAAAATACTTGCCTAAGCATGCTTATAAAGAATTTCAAAGACAAAATGCGTACAAAGTCTTCAATTTTTCCCCATGCCAAAAATAAATCCAATTAACGAGAGTTAAATCACCACAATTTTTGTCTCTTTCCTTAATTTGGTACGTTACATATTTGAGTATCGACTCAAATGAAACACCAAACCTAAACCGCAGGACTGAATGACAAGGACAGGGAATGATCATTATACACCACTTGTATGTACTGTCTGTTTTTACCAAGTATTATTTGTAAGATAAAGACATGAAGAAGTTTAACAATTACTTTAATCGTATACGTGCAAAGAAATCGATAATTGTGGAAGAACAGTGCATCATGAACATAAAGATAAAAGGCAAATTATTTTAGAGATATTAGGATGGTTATTGATTTATAAAGCAAATAGTGATTAATTCAATAAGTGATTATTCTTTAGTTAACGAGTTTGCTTGATTTGGCTCCTTATATAAAAAGCAAAACCCGAATAACCTAAAGCAGGAACTAAAAGAATTTTCTTATGTTTTTAAAATGACTTACCTCCTTGATAAAGCTGTGGTTGGTCATGTTTTTGTTGAAAATATGCGTAATAAAAAAAGTTTAGCCAACTGGGAGGCAATTTAGTTGCTATAGAAATGATTGCTCAATACATGAGTAACTCTGCAAGTTATTCAATTACCCAATATTTGAATTCTTGCTTGTCGTAACATGTTGTTTTCGATAAACTTCTAACAATGCCATATTTAATCGTAGCTACAAAAAACCTTATAATCAAGAAATTCCATGCACATTTAAGATGAATTATTAGAAAATGAGTGGAAAGGTGTTCATAATTTTCGTATCTTTTTATCTTTTTCTATGTGATTTACTGTCATTTGATGCACTTTTCTTTACACGTTGAGTAAAGCTTTAAAATCTTATTACTGTATATTATAGTCGGATAGCAAGCCCAAAGAATATGCGTAACACATGAATAAATATACGAGGGTTCAATGTATTCTAAGAGAGTTGACGCTGACAAGGATGCTGTTTAACAAGGTTACTTCTATCATTTTCTGGGAGAGTACAACTTTCTAATCACATTCTTAAGAAAAACTCCAAATTCTGAGAGTAGCTGAAAGACTCCTCCGCAAATTTTATAGTCTTTTATTTGTAGATTCTTAACTTTATAATATTAAAATGAACCAACCTCACATATACCTAGAACCAACTACAATTCTATCGTTTATGTGTTTCACAAGTAACAGTATTTCGAAGTCAGCTGAAGAATTTTATTTCTAAAATCACAGTAAGGTAAACAAGTGGCATGTTGTCGTTTTGGCTTCAATAACGTCATATTTAATCTTGTCATACCAAGAATAATTGAACAGCTTAAAAACAATCGATTCTATGTCGCTTCCTCGTTGTTCAATGTTCATGTGTACTTAAAATGATAATACATGTTAAACTATATGGGAATACATGCACTTTCAAACCACAGTTGTATTTTGTGCTGCAAAAATTTATCTTTAATCTGTGTGGTCGGCCCAGTGGGTCGAAACTACAGTTCATGTAATCAAAAACTCCCTAAAAGGCAAAAACTAACAAGTGAGATTACCAATTTATCATTAAAGTAAGTTGATCGGTTGATATTTCAACACAAACACCGATGTCGCTTTCAACTGACTTCCTTATCATAAGCACGTTTTTCACAATAACGTCCAACAGACAAGATTTTTCTCAGATGAAAAGACAGCACAATGAATAATGATAAAAAAACGCATGTATTCGATTCCATCGTGAAGATGTACCCAGCGCATAGAATGTGCAACGCATTAGATGAAGTTAAGGTGCAGGACCGAAAGAGGGTTAGCTTGTTTGAAATGTGAAGAAAGTGGAGTTTGTACAGTTGTCTTTCTTCGTTATTAGATGAAGTTATGGTGCAGGAGTCAGGACCGAATGCAAGGAGTTTTTGGTTTATACAGTTGTCTTTCTTCCTTTGATTGATGGAAATAAGTGAAGTTTGCGTATCCAAATTCCAAATAGAACCATGTAGAACCACTTTGTAGAACTCATTGGTAGAACTCACTGGTACAACAATGGAACGGCAGTAACGGTAGTAACCACTTAATCAACTGGTAAAAACCAATAACTATAATCCCAGGTTGGAACAATTAGTTGGACCAGTGTGTATAAAGGAAGCGTAAAGAGATGAACTGGGAGAATAGATTTTCTTCAATGGTCAATGAAAGCATGTTTAAGATTGACGAAGCTAAGGTAAACTACAGATCTTTTACACAACAACATTAACTTCTATAAAAATTCATTTACTATCTAATGCTTTTGTCAGAAAATGTATAGCATAGTCAAAACTCTCCGTCAATTGATCAATAATGCAAATTGCTTAAAATGCATCTTGACCTAGCTGTCAGTCTCCACGGTCACCACAATTAGTTAAAGTTTTAAGAATCATTTATAAACTATAAACCGTTACCGTGTTACTGAAAATAAAGTAAAAATCATATTCCAAAGAGGCAAAACATCTTAAGATTACAAAATATGAACCAGAACACGACGCGAAGTGAACTGTAAATTTTTGACTTTATTTCAAAGTCATTATCATTCTGTCAGAGGATGACTTTGACATAAAGTTGCTGACATTGCTGGTATTAAAGTCTGTTATATTGTATAATATATGTAGTACATCTTCTTTTTAGAAAAGACTTGACAATTTTGGTGTATCTAATCCAACCAATTTTGCTAATATCACTTCATCTTCAGGTGAAAAAATATTTGTACAATTATATGTGTAGTACTGCTTTTTGACATGTACTTCTTCATATTTGAACTAGAGGAGTGAAAGCATTTTTATTTGAATTTTCAGTTCCATCTCTTAATGGTTCTCAAAACGCACAACAGTCAATGCTGAGAAACACTAATCACTTTGATATACCCGAATACAGTGATCTGGGTGATCCTGTCATCAACTCATCAGATAATCACGGCAATCCCTCAAGATCCTTACTTCATGTTTTGTATGAAAAAATTGAAAAACAGAACCAGGTGACTACAGTGGAATTTCTACTCCATAATTCACAATGTCAACTTTTTCTGTACAACTAAATCAGTGGCAGATTTGTGGCAGGTCAGAATACATTATTGAAAATATATTTCTATTTTCAAATATATAAGAGTGAATTTTGGTCTTAAGTACTTTAGTCTTATATTTGAGCCAACAGCATTGTCAAAAAACATTTTGAATTTTCAATGATTTTCTAAATTTTGATTTACCCTAGATCCACCACTGAACTATATATGATGCAATCTATAGTAATGATTGCGTTTGTTATCATTTTTACTACGAAAAAACTATTTTGTTATTCTTGAGCTAACCAGATAATTTCTTCTATTCGTAATTAGATACTGAACATTTGTTGATTTTAGGCATTTCAATTTCTTTCGTCAAAATTTGCAATCATGGAAAGACAACTGAATAATCAACAAAAAGAAATGATTCAACTGAAAGGTTCATGTTTAAAATATAATCTTTGTAAATGATGACAACATGTTAGTGATTTGCCAAATGTTGGAAAAAAAACATGAAATGATGATTCATGAAAAAAAACAAGGACAAAAGCATCTTACATAGGAACTAGTGAGCCATAGCCCAAAATATTTTCTTGGCCTAACTTACAAACATGGTTTTTGTCTACGTTTCTAAAGAGAAAGGTGATGCAAACAAATTCATTGATCATTTCAGCCAACTAAATAAAATTGCCAAGCCCTGCATGACTATTGTATATTATAACTGTTTCAGGACACTAAAATGGCATAAATATCATTGTTTGTTTGTAAATGTTTTTTATTCGCATAGATCAACTTTCCACACTTATTGAAAGAATAGAAGATAACAATCCCAAAATAAGCAATGAATATTTTGAAAAGGTATATTTTGATGCAATGTTCACTATGCATCTCTGATCAATCATCAATCATGTTTTGGAATGGTTTAATGGTAATTTTCAACATTATTTAGTTCAAAGAAGATGTTCATAGTGAATTGAATAAGATTAAATCTGGTATACCAGAAGCAAGGAATAATTATGAATTTTCTAAATATCCACTGGAACGAAGGTAAATACATTTTTACTTGTCTATGAAAAATACAAACATGTCAACATTTTTCTACATAATTTAAACAGTCACAAACTTCTTTTATCTGCCAAATAATCATAGCGTTTACACATTCTTAAACTGAATATTAATATGGAAAATAAATATAAGACTTAAACAGGTTATTTCCAGCCTAGTAATTAGAGGTAAGTACATTCAATAAAAATAATTGCCTTAATGTAGAAATTCTAGTAGGAAGGCCAATTAATTGCATGTTCCAATTTAGATTTACTGTAAACTCATCAAAAGAACTTCTTGATTCTATAGAAGAAATTAAGTCAAGATTAGGTGAATGTGCTTCATGTTTGTTTTCTTGTGCATATGGAACTCATGCTGAATTATTTTCACTTTTCTTCATTTAATTTATCATGGCCGATTTTCATTGTTCAGGTAAAATTGAGTTGAATGTATCAAAAAGTCAGGTCAATGATGAACGTAACTGTAAAGTCATTGAAAAGGTGATTTAATGGTTATTAAGGTTTATATTATAGGAAGAATATATTTAAGGTTGAGCTTTGTCTTTATCATGCAGAATGCAAGTGTATTAGCAGATTGGAGATCAGAAAATATGGAGTCAATGAATCATCTTAGCAAGCTTCAAGATTTGTCCATTGATGAGGTTAAACATTTAAGGTTGTTCAAAGGCCATAATTAATTTTTCCTTTGTATATCAAACTGGTAAAAAATCATATCTAAATTTTCCAATTTATTTGTTAATTTATCAGATCGAGATTTTACAATGTTCAAGATAAAATACATGAACTTGAGCAAAATAGGAATGATGCAAGTATAAACTATGTGTTTTCCAGAAGAGAAGATCAAAAACATGAATTAGGTGAGAATGTATAGCTTAACATATCTTGCTATTTGTTCTTTGTATTTCATAACATTTTTGAACTTTAATAGATGAGAATTCTGATGAAAATACACAAATATTGTACAATGAAAGTGAAAACACTTCACTTTCAAGTGATGACGATGTTCTTAACTGTTCTTCTGTCAATTTGGATTCAAGTGATGATGATTTTCTTCATGAAATTGATGGTAATCATTTTTCTTAAAATTTCACTGAAATGTGAAGTGTTTACACACCTAAAATATAAAATGCCTACTAATAATGTTTGTACATTATGTTACCAACCTTAACAGAACCACTCCAACAAAATTTTTGATGTTTTGATGTCTGATAGCAAAGACACTTTTGTTTAATGTTTGGAAATATCAAATTTATAAACTTACTGCTATTTTTATGCATGGAAGGAGTCTTCAAGATAAAAGTTTAAAAACATTGATTTTTATGTTATGTAGATCTCAGTTTAGAGAGTGAATCAAAAAGAAAAAACTCTTACCAAAACTTGATGTCAGATTCATCAAGTTCATATGAAAACTCTTCAAAAGAATCTTTTAGTGAGATTTATAATAAGTATAATTAAATTATTTGTGTAAATATATATTGTTGATCTTTTTACATCTCGTTAAATAAACCTGCCAAGCAAGTAATTGTTGTGGACAGATTTGTGATGTGTACAAGACTGAGATTATGTTTCATGTTTTCATGAAGAAAATAAGAAATTGAACTACATATGGACATTGTTTGTTAGACTTTCAACATAACTCAGATAAACGTCCTCTAAATCATGTTTTATAAAGATTTTGTCTAAATTAGGCAATCAAACTACTTTATTGACAATTAATCTTTTGATACAACTCTGATAAACCTCTCCAAGGTCATGTTCTATAAAGATGTTTCCTAATTCATTCAAATTTGCACACTCTTTAATCAGAAATCCCATGGAAAATCTAAATGTAAGCATATTTGTATTTTATGCCAGATTCAAACAAATGAAACTCATTATTTACCATAAGATACCTCACTCTTTTTGTATTTATTTCACATATGACATCCATCATTCTTTCTTTGCAAGCTTGGCCTGATGAATCCACATCCACAGAACATGTTCTTAAACGTTTTAGATATTTATGTATGTCACAACTGTTTCCTTCAATGATGGCAAATATGTGTCTTTCAAAAAATGTAACACAGCCATTTACATCTAGTTCTTTCATCCAGTTACTCATTCTTTTTAATATTTTTTTCGTGATCTCATATGATCAAACTTTAAAATACATATTTTTAAGTCACTGTTTTCTACATTCTCAGAGTTCACCTTCAGATCATTATGCTGGCTTTCTAAACTTATTTGAGTATATTTTGTCTGTGCCCATTGAAAAAGTTTCAAAATGAATGGTTCTTGTAATCGAGATAAGTTCTCTTTTGCATATTCTAGCGTTTCTAACCGAATTTCTTGGGTTTGTTTTCGAGTTAAAAGATCAGATGAAACCGAAATCCCTTTTAATTCATTCGGATAAGCATTGTCAATAGATATTAACAATCTTGTGTCATCATTTAAATCGTGTTCAAATGCACTTAATTTCACTGACAATCGTATGTTTTGGATTTTCCCTACGATTAAATCACGACAACGTTTTTCAATATCGTTTTCTGGAATGTCTTCATTTACGAGAAATTCGTCCGTCTTACAAAAGATAGCATTTAGCACTTTAATTTCGTCAAAGATTTGTTGCGCTCGCTCCTCCGTATCGGCCATTTTGGATGTCAAAATGTTCAAATTATTATTTCAAAACAATCTCGTGCATTGTACTTCAAAAGTTGGAAATTATTCCGATTGCTTTCCGTTGAAGTTCAAATGAGCATCTTGGCGTATGTACTTTTCTGTTTACAAATTGTGTATTGTTTCTAACAGTAACCAATTTTCAGTTGTACAGCTTTTCTTGATGTTTACAAGAAAAAACTGAATCGTTTTCATGCACAATAGCAATTATTTTGTTTATTTTTTATCGTTTTATGTCTATCCTTTTTGATGTCTACAGAAAGGTAAGTTGTATGAATAATTGTTCTCGTTTTATCTCGATGCTCGATGTGTTTCATCAAGACGCTTAGTTTATATAGTAGCCACTCATAAAAACCTGATTTATTAATTGTAACATAAAGTCAACTTTCAAGTCATTAATTTTCTATAGCATATCTATACCCAGCTGCTTAATCCAAGGTGCAAGTATTTCAAACAACATTTATTTACAATAAGTTGGGTTTCAAATATTTTTTGTCAGTTTTGACAGTTGTGATAATAAATTTTTTTAAAGATATTTTGATATTTACGTAGGAAAGAAAAATCTCTGTGGGACATTGCTGTTAATAAAAGACAAGAGATTGAAATAAAAAATAATGGTAAATTTTTTATTTCAAGTAAATCAGCAGAGTAAATCAGCAGACTGGCTATGTTACTGTGTGTAAACAAAGCAACCCATCCTTTTATGAACTACATTTTTAGTGCTGCACTACCCTGCTATTGTTTATGTGTTAAATAAATTAAAAAAACAAATTTTTCTCAGGGGAAAGTATTGAAGGGAAAAATAATCATTTCTCTGAAGAACTAAGTATTTTGATCTTGGGCAGTAAAGGATCAGTAAGCAAGCATTTTGAGCAAATCGTGATTTTTTTTATCGTAATTGTTTGTTTTATAAACATTTACTTTAATTGATTTTGTAGGGGAAATCGACCATTGTTCTAAGATTTTTAGACAAGTAAGTACATGATTATTTAAATTGGTTGTTGACTACAGTACTGTCTTTAATGAAGAATACACATGAGTTATGTCAGTAATTGCTTTGGCAAGTGTTCGAGGGCATTTATAAATTTATAAATGCAATATTCAAGAAGTTTATTCATATGTACTTGCTTCATTGCCCTTTAAGTAATTCTTTCTTACTAAAAATAAAAAAATTTTTAATATAGAGATGAGAATCCCAAACCAACCGTTGCACTTGATTATACCTTTGGAAGGAGAGCTAAAAGTCATAACATGGTAAATTATGTCATTATGGATCATTGAATATTATATAAGAAAAATAACCATGGTTAAATACTTATGTAACATTGACAACTATTTAAGTTTGTTGTTACAAGTACAATAAAACATTTACCATGCAGTGAATACTTAATATTCATTTTGTTTTAAGTTATAAAAGTATTGTTGATTTTGTTTGGATTGACAAACGTTCCGCAAGTTTCAACAACATTGAAAGTTATGTCGTGTAGCTAGGGCTAGCGCTGACATAGTTTGAAGTTTGTAAGAAACAAGTCGTGCTTTGAATGATTAATCAGCTGAGTTACGTAAGCTTCATCTACAATAGTGGCGTCGCATGCTAGATTTATAAGTGAGGGGAATTTTTTTCAAAAATGCATGTTTTTTCCGTATTACACAAGTTCTTTTGAAATCAGTTGTTTCTTAGGGATTAAAAAATGAATATATGAATATTGTCCCCTTCACTTATCGAATTGGCAATGCCACTGGATTCATCTTTTGACACGGATTAGGAATTAATGGAAATAAGGCAGGCAGTCACGAATCCTCCAGGAGAAATGTGAGTCAAAGCGATTCCTTTGAAAGACTTAATATAAATGAGAGTCTGCGCAAAAATGACTGGAAAAATAGATGAAAAATTAACTTCCCCAATGATAAGGTCTACTTATGCGCCAAGCAGAAGAGTGGGAAAAAAACAGAGAAAAATAGCTCATCCTGATCAGAGGTTTTTCAGTCATTGGAACCAGTTCATTTGAAACTGGAGAGTGTTGTGTTATTCTTTAGTTATAAGAACAAAGTTTGCTCCTTGCTCTTTAGACAGACATGTCATGCTTTACACGGACTTTGATACTTGATGTTTTGAAATACTTCACGAAACCTGAACATTTTTGTCATTTTTCTTGTAAATGGTAACAGAGTTACCATAATTTCATAAAAGCACTATTGCCAATACACATTTAATATAAACGACAACTTTTTTGAAAATAGACATGTTTCGACATCTCATGATGCATGTCGAAACATGTCTATTTTCAAAAAAAGTTGTCGTTTATATTAAATGTATAACAGAGTTAGTTACTCTCCGAGTATTTCAAGGAGATTCAGTTGATTGGTATGAACTGTATTAGTTTGTCGTGTGGACAGTGCAAGTTATCAGTTATATATTGTAGACATGTTAATGTCTATCTTCTTAATCTTATTTCAACAAATGTATTTTCAAACTCGTCAAAATGACCCTTACTTACCTTTGTTCTTACATGTATTTTACGCGTTTTAGCAAAGAGATATTGGTCATATTTGGGAGCTTGGCGGCGGGACATTTCTCTCAAATCTAATTGAAGTACCACTAAAGGAAGAAACAATTTGGTATGTAAGAAACAACACAAATAACAAATTTTTTATTAAAATTGAGTCTATTTTTCATTTGGTCAATTATAATTGAAATAGTAGCAAATGAAATACACGAGGATTTAAATGTTATTGATAATGCTCATTACTTATAAACAAAACCAATCTTTAATTATCCATCATGCACGAATTAAGTTTCTTTTAAACAATTTTTAGCACGTCGTCTGTCCTTATTGTTGTTGATTTATCGAAACCTAACGAACTTTGGCTGACATTAGAAGTTCTTTTGAAATCAGTGAGTAAATATGAATTATCTACATTGTTGAGATATTTTTGACTGATCCAAATTATGCATTTAGTATTTTATTTCAGACCAGATCTGCTATTGATAAATTGCTTTCTGAAATAAAAAATAAAAATCCCAGGTTGGTGGAGAAAATGGAATGTTTTTAAGGACTAAATGGGTTTACAGTTTACTGTCTTAACTCAGAGAAGAAAATTCTGTTTAGTCTGTAAATGTATGAGTATGACTGCGCACGTAATTTGTTTACGTATATTTTTTCTTCGACAGTTTAGCAAATGAAATCCAAGAAAAAGCCTGGAAACGATTTGGGGATAATCATGTTGTATGTACATGGAAAATATTTTCCTTATACTCCCGTAACAATGTCCCAATGACAAAGTTATCATAATTTCTTTTTATTCTCGGTTTATTGTAAGCATTTGTTTACTACGTATAACATTATTCATATATCCCTGCACAAAATGTTGTTTGTTGCACATAAAATTACGTTTACAACTGTTCACAAAAGCAGAAACTTTATAACATTAGATTTTTGTTTACTTTGTAGGACAAATCGTTTTTAGATCCTTTTCCAATACCCCTTGGCATTGTTGGCACAAAATACGATATTTTTCAGGTAAATTTCGCTTCTTTTCATACAGCTGCATCACGATCAGAATAGCATTTTGAATTTTCGTACGACTGAGATTTTTTCTTGCAAAGTTGGCAACATCTAACACAAAAATATGCGTTTCAAATCTTACTTCAAATAGACGAAAGTAGTTATTGAAAGGAAGCCACTTTTGATGTGGTTCTTGAACATTTGTCTTCATCATTTATTATCCTTAAAAATAGGATTTTGATCCTGAAAAAAGAAAGATGATTAGTCGAACGCTTCGTTTCATTGCGCACTCTAACGGTGCTCATCTTCAGGTACATTTTTCTGGTTTTTTCTTACGTAGTCGCATAGTTTTTTTCTTCTAGATTCTTTATGCTCCTTTACCAACTCCTTTAGAGAAATCAAAGAGTATTTTATGTTAACATATTCTAACCACATACGTATGACAAACTGTAATGACTTGCTTTTGACTCTGAAGATGACTACCGCTAAGGTTGTCGAAACGTCAGTCAACAACAACAAAAACAGTCGTTCTCAGGACTATATACCAACCTGGACGATCTACATTTACAAAACATGTAATGACTTGCATTGTTGACACACTTCCCGAACATATCCTTATTTTTCTCTTTACATGTTTTATAGCCTTATCTGAAATGCTCTTACACCATAATTTATCATGAAAATCTACGTACTCTGATACCATATACATACGTAGTGACGTAATAAACTTTGACAATTTACTATAAGACACTATATTTTGTGCGTGCATGAGTAATTGTTTATCTCAATTTACTTTTAAAGTATTTCAGTTCAAAAGCTGAAGGTTTGATTACACGAACTCGGGCGTTGTTCGGAGGTTTACTATTTCGTACTCAAACAAGGTAATCAAGTCTTATCTCATTTTTTTTTCAGTTATGTACAACAATATTCATTTTATGCCGTTACGCCTACCTAATATAATACTTAAACTTTAGCATAAATCTTCAAACTTTAGCATAAATCATTCCACGTTATGCGTGCTTAAGGTTGCAGAAGAAGAATTCCAATGTAGTGTCTTTCATAACATGGATTGTATTGTTGTGGTGTTTTTGATTTTTGTATTGATAATTTCAATCATAGCAAAGCTATATCGATCGACCATAATAAGCCTATAATCGTACCTGCTGGTCAAGACAATTTTGCACAAATCGGTGAGCATGATTTATCACAACGTTTTCCCAGTTATTTTTTTACGGCTTGAAAATAAATTTGACAACGTCTTAACAGACTTCATTTTCCTAACGGTCACGTGATTTCAAAGGCCGATTTCATTGTCTTCATGTAATGTAAACTTAGAAATTCGTGAAGTATTGGCATTTTTATGAGTCGGTTGAAAACGCTTGGTCTCATTTTTCCACATTACAGGTCCCCCACCTATCACTAATGAGGAATTGAGCAAGTTAACTGGAAAGTACGTTTTCATCAGTCATATTTAAAATGTGTAATTGAACAGTAACAATATACTTAACAAGAGTGTAAAAGCTTCTATTTAGAACTCTTAACCAGCAGCTTGTATGCAACGTTTATAGGTTTATATTAATCTGATTTATGAAGGTGGATCATTTATACTTTCTGCCTTGTTGTAGTACATGGTTACATTCATTATGTGTTCATGACGTTTTTAGGCGTCCATATGACTTGTGGAAGGCAGCATTTGCTACAGTTTTCCCAGAGGAAGTAAGGTGTTATGTTTTTTGCTTGGAAAGTGATTTTTCCATTGTTCAAACCTCTCAAAATGTCTTTAATGATATGCATTATATAAATCATTTCTCTTCAATAAGAATACAATGTAACATTTTCATTGGTGTTTACGAACAATAATCAAAAACTTTATGAATCTAATGTGACCGAAGAAAGCGTACAAAGTATACTTTACACAATTATATATATACACTAATATTTATAATTTGTTGTGTGATATACGAGAACACGTTAGCAAAATTTTTGCGGTATTCGTGTTTGGTGCACAAACAATTTTCTTTTATGTTTATTGACCGCTGACTGAGCCCGCAGTTCAATATCACACGAGACATTTAATAGTTAAAGAAAAGTTTCGAATGAAAACGCTAGAATGAAAATTCTAATATTTTTTTCTAAGACCTTCATATCATAGTTCATGCAAGTTTTAGTTTTGGTCATACAATTTTTATCCGTTACAACCTTACAACCTTGTCACCTGAATTTTATAATACAAAGAAACGATGGAAAAATTGCAGTCTTTGTTTGGCTACCTCAAGATGACAAACGGTTGTAAATTGAATTAAAAATATTTCCATATTTTATGTTTAGAATTATAAAGACAAATTAAAGAATGACGATATTACCCACAATGCACAGTATGCTGAATTAGCAGTCGACGCCGTTCGTGCTCAAAAGGATGAGGTACCGAATGTGAACACGAAGTTTTTTTTATTGTTCCTATCACGTTTTCTTTTATGAAGATATTCTTCGAAAAATTTCTGTTATTTGGGTATCTTTTGAAGGCACTTGCTTTTCCAATAAAATACTTAACAAATGAAATGTCTGTCGTCCAAATGATAGAAATAAAGATATGAAAGATATGAACCCAGGAATATCGTTACATGATGTAACATGTATGCAAATATTGTCGTTCAATCCTTGTGAGGAAACATTCAACGACTTGTTATCCATATATTTTTTCTTTGACATGTAGGATATGGAACGTTTAAAGAGGCAAGAAGAAAAAAAGAACAAAACGTTTCTTCGCGGTGGAAAACGTGCATAATATATGAAAACATGTTATATAACTTGCAATTATTTTATAAGTAAATCAAAGTACAATATAATAATAGATTGTTATTGCATAGAACAATATTAATGTGGTTGTTTTTAGTTTTTGATTGCTAAATATTGAGATGTGCAAAAGCATTGTCTAGTTTCTATCAATAAAGAAAATATTTATGACTATTAAGTGAACACATGTCACTAATTGTTTTGTATAAAGTGCCTGGATGGTGCATTATATTTGCGCATCTCAATATTTATAAGTTTTATTTAGTTAATAACTGGCAAGAAATGCTTGCAATGACGTTGTTCATCATCAATTGTTAATAATATAAACGTGTTCAGTTTTATTTGGTATAAAAAAAATGGTTTAACTTCTAAAGGATTGTCGATGATCTTGCTTCTCATCGCTTTTTTAGAAAAAGCATTGTGCATTACTCGAAAAAAAAACAATAGTACAAAACTCATTGTCTAAACTAAACTCTCAAATTTTTTCAATGAAAATCGAGTGTTTGAATAAATTAAAACACCTGCCTTTACTACATCATTATTCAATAACATTTTCAAAGAATAGTTGTTTAAGAGTTATCTTTTTGTTGAGATATCCTAAAGCTTGATATTGTTGTTCGCTGTAATGCGTTTCATACTTTGCAAACAGAAAGTGTCAAGTTTTAATTTATTAATATTGAAAAATATCTTTAATAAAAAAATATCTCAAACAAAGTCGAGTTAATAAAATATTATAACTATAAGATTCTACATTTTTCTTTCGGTAGCTATATCTTGCCTGTTTTATGCACTCATTGTACAAACGTGAAAAGTACAGGTAGCTATCTTATTTTTTACAATTCGTTAATGTGTTCTTGAGGGTAATTAAATAAAAAGCCGACTACCGAACAAGACTAAAATTTATAATTTGCCTCATAATTGTTATGTTAATCTTAGAGTACCTATAAATAATTTAACTTAAGAAGCTTAAGTCACGTGCCCGACATTATCTTTCTATAAAAAAGTTTAAATACTTTTTTTGCTTTGATAAGACTGATAAATTTGTATTTGTTGAGATAGTCATGTATGAAATATTTAATAAAGCAAGATTTTAAATGCGTGCGTGCAAAGAAACTATTAACCATTATTTCAAAGAGGTAACCATAACAACATATTTGTTAATAATTGAAGAACTTTCAGTGTTGTAACATGGCGACAAGAAGCGGCTAGTTATGAGTTGGAAAGGAGTTTCATTGCAAAATGACAACAGACTCTCCAGTGACAAAAGCTGTTGCGCAAATTGAAAATACTAAATTAAAGGTACAAACTCCGTATGAGAAAGTTTGTGACAATATCAACAACGACGAAGGTTATGCTCAAGATCTTGCTCAGGGCAAAAGAATCGGATTCTACAGTTTACGAGAGGATTTAGGCAGTGGTAATTTTTCACGCGTAAAAATGGGAGTTCATACACTAACTAAAGGTATTTTGACCTAAAAGTTTGAGTAGATGTACAGAGGCATCTACATTAGAACATGCACTAGTTGTTATTAATGTAATGCATTTACTTCAGATAAAGTGGCTGTAAAAATTTACAATAAATTGAAACTTGATGCTAAAACGCAGAGATTTCTTTCAAGAGAAATATCTTCCATGGAGAAGTTGCATCATCCAAATACTGTAAGACTGTACGAAGTTATCGAAACATTCTCTAAACTTTATCTTATTATGGAGTTTGCCAATGGTGGTGAATTGTCAAGCAAAATATCGACGGAAGGTAAATTATCACAAAAAACAACGAAGCGAATCTTTTGCCAAATTGTTGCAGCTTTGGATCATATGGTAAGATTACTTGACGGGCACAGATGACTGAAGTTAGTCCGATATTTTATGCTTCCTAAACATAAATTTTTTATGTTTCGTCTCTGGAAAACAGTGCATAGAATAATTTTTTAAAAAATATGTATAATAATTTCAGATAGGATTGTAAATTCGTGGTATGAGATATGCAGGAAATAATTATTTAATCAATACAGGTTTTTATGCATTCTTGTCGGGAAAAAGAAGTGTCACTATGATGTATTTGACCATTTTAAATTACTGGGAACACATAAAATTAACGCACATTCGCAAAGATTTACAGGAAAATGATATTTTATAGATAGCTGCTTTATAACAAGCGGCGATATATTCCAAAACATCTTGTTCTAAATACCTCACTCTTTAAATAAATATTGATTTAATATTCTAGCAGGCCGATATTTGCAAATGCGCTTTCTTTTGTACACACTTTTATCGGGCCATCTGCTCTATAATTACCCAACATTTTGAATAATTTGTTATACTGGTTGTGAAAAGTATTCCTCAAGTGCGCTTTTTGACTTTATCCCTTACGATCATACAATAATATAAATTCTTATGGTCCTTGAATTTTCAAAAACATAGAGTTCGGTCATGGATAGCATTTCTGTCGAATTGTTTTGCTTCAGGTGTTGACGCTTGAACATTTAGAGAAAGTTTTTGTTCGTATAACAATTTTTTTAATAATCGAGGCAAATTATCTAAACTGCGATAGAAACATTTTTGCATCCTGTAGAAAACAACCCACACAATCAAATCAAACAGACTTAAAATTGCTTCTCAAAAATTAATGTAAATCAATGTTTTAATGACGTCTCTTTATTCCATTATAAAGCACAAAAAGAACATAATTCATCGCGATTTGAAGGCGGAAAATGTTTTTATATCTGGATTGTGTGTTGTAAAAGTTGGTGATTTTGGCTTTAGTACATGTGCATCATTTGATACAGCATTAACAACATTCTGTGGTTCACCACCTTATGCTGCTCCAGAACTATTTAAAGATGATTACTATTTAGGACCGTATGTCGATATATGGGCATTGGGTATACTACTTTACTTCATGGTTACCGGTGTCATGCCGTTTCGTGCAGAAACTGTTGGAAAATTGAAAAAATCCATATTGAATGGTTTATATATTATGCCTGATTTCTTACCAGATAATTGTAAATATTTAATTAGAAAAATTCTGCAACTTATTCCCAAAAATCGATTCACACTTGAGCAGATAAAACGTTGCAAATGGCTTCAAGGCGAGACTTTTCCATTGGACGAGGCGTCTTGCAATACACATCCTCCAAACATTGATTTGTGTAATGAAGAAGAGTTAGAGGCCCGTTGTTGCCTGGAGGAATTGGGAGTACCGCTGGACAATGGTACTAACACGACTATGGACGTGCGTAGCAAAATTACTGGAACGTACAGAATTGTTCTTCATAGAAAGCAGAAAGAAAAATCCGAACTTGATATAAATCTCTTACAAAATGAGGCTAGCTACACCAGAAAAAAAAATACAAAATCTAAAGTTTGTACTATATTGTAGATTGATACGTCTGTTTCAATGTACTTGGCTTTACTTAGGCTATTTGAAGAACACGTTCTCTACTCCAAATGTAAGCATTACGATGGCTGTTGAATAAAAAAATTTTGTACAAAAATATATTTACTACAACGTGTTATAGTTACTTTGTTTAATTATTTTTTACAAAATTTGCTATATCATATTCTTACGACGATAAATCAAATTGCTCAGAGTTTAAATGTTATTCTCTATTATATATTTGCATGTTTGATCAGCTTTGTATTTCCTTTACATTCAATTGTCTGAGATGTTGAAGTTCAATTGTTAATCGTACAGAGACGCATTTAGATTAAATACACGTTTTGAACATATTCATTTGTTTCGTGTCAAAAAATTATAGAAAGACATATGTCACAAATTGAGAAGTGAAATTAGTTATTTTATAAAAAAAAACATGGTTGATCACTTTATAAGTCAGTCGATGGATAATGAACTTCCTCAAAAATAAAGCAAAAATGGGGTGTGCACTGCTAGCTGCTTAAAACCCTTCGTTTTGTTTTTGTTGGGAATTTTACAAAAAGTTGCTACATTAATCACTAATTATCCACATTCACAGTAATTATCTGTACCAATTAGTAATTACTGGAGATAAATAATTTTACAAAGATCATTACTATTTAACAAAGATAGCGATACTTCTAATTATCAACCATGAATCATAAACATCAGATGCTATAGGCCAAATGTCAATCTTGATACAACCAACCGAACGATGAGACAGTTCATTACCCCCAAGATCAATAATTGGCTCCCGAATTTTTGCCATGATTTTATACTTTTTTGACTCCTGACACAATGGCTTCGATAGGTTTTCATTTTTAAATAATACTGACACAATTCCTCCAGGAAAGATATCCTCGTATAAAATGAACCAGTTTCAATACGTACTCGTTTAATATGAAGGAAACTCTTGAGATCAATTTTTATATAATCTCCTTTTTTTGGTGGCCACGACCAGAAGAATCCTTGACGATTTTCATAAAGACTTTGAATTGATACTCCTCCACTAATTTCTAATGATGTACTAACTGTAGCTGCTGGATTGTTCGCTTTAAACTCATAACTTTCCTCAACTGGCAATTGCTTATGTATATTTTTTATTCCTTTCGATATTCTAAAATTACGTCTGTAAAATTTCAATATGTAATTTAGAGGCATGTGATTCCCAAATATGTTGATAAGTTGCAATAAGTCATGAAAATGCCTTGTTTTATAAATACTTCCCTCGATGGAACCAGGAATTGACTCGTACCACAGCCATTTATCTTTCTTCCAGCTGTTAACAGCGGTCATTACAGACTGTAATATATCACTTTGGATGGTCATGTGATCAGTAAACAGAATAAAGTACTCGGAACGAGTCATCGAAAATGTCCAAAGAAACGTCACGACTCGAATAAGAAACTTTGCTTTCTTAATGTAAGTTTGAGTGTAGTTTGTATAATGACCCCAAAATTGACTTAGACCATTTTTACTTGCATCAAGTTTAAATGTACCTGGTATTTTCATAATTTTCAAGCCATTGTTATCAATCCAATACTTGTATTTATTTTTTATTGTTTTTAGGAAATTATTTGTTTCCCTCTTTCCACAATCTCGTAGAGGAACAACAACTGTTACATTACTACTCGATTTTGGCAGGTTACGAAACAATGATTCTAGTGATGTTTTTATTTTTGCAAAACTCCACAATCATCCGTATGAATATAACCAATTGTAAGAAAACCTATAACATTGAAATAGCAAAGAATCTTTATGAAATTGTATATTCTTTATCATTATTTGACTTTTTTCACAATAGTTGATTTTAATACGTACCCTGTCCCATCCTTTGCAATTCATTTTGAAAGGAAAGGGATTTTTGGCCGTTGTCTTTCTTTACAGAGCTTTCTAAGTAATTTATTCCCTGGAAACTATCTTCGAAAATTGGACATGTATTCACATAACTGTTTAAAAGTTCTATAAAAGAATAATTTTATTTCTTCATGTAATTGTTTCTTTGCTCACAGAATTTGTTTGTTGCAATTTACATGATATCAGAATTACGCACTGCATACATAAAATCCATTTTCTGAATACATATTATTGTCGTGCTACTATTTTTGCTTATGGCTGTTCGAGGCTTAAATGTAATTGAGGTGAATTATGGATAAAAGATGTTTGAGATAAAAATATAACTGAAATAAATCAGGACTGAATAATCTTCATCCACATGGGCCTTTTAATATTTTTTTTTGACTTACCCGAGCCACGATGCTTTATGTCTAAGAGCAGAACAGTCATTATTATGAATTTAATAAGAATAAAATCCACGATTTTTTTCGAAACATTGTTACCTTCCTTGAGGTTTGCTCTTTCGTTAATACCGTTTTAGTTTTAATAGCTGCATAAAAATTATAAATTCAGACATTCTTTGGAATGATAAATGGTTGCTAGTCACCATTAGCCTAAATGAGTGATTCACAATGATATGTCAAGCTTCAAAAATCTGTGTACACTGGTTTGTGTTTGGGAAAATTTTTTAGTGCATGATAGAAGGTACACTGGTTTGAGTTTGGGAAAATTTTTCAGTGCATGATAGAAGGACAAAAATTTGTGTACACTGCTTTGAGTTTGGGAAAATTTTTCAGTGCATGATAGAAGGACAAAAATTTGTGTACACTGGTTTGAGTTTGGGAAAACTTTTTAGTGCATGATAGAAGGACAAAAATTTTGTGTACACTGGTTTGAGTTTGGGAAAACGTTTTAGTGCATGATAGAAGGACAAAATTTGTGGGATGTTGCTCTTGAACATTGAAAAATTCAATTCTGATCAAAATTAGTCTAATTTAAGTGTTATTTAGAAGAACAGTTTCGGTAATATTTTGTCGTCTTATATAGTACCAGTAACACAACTGACATTTCAACAGGTAAACAAATGTATAAGAAACTAAAATGCCCTTTTTTCATCCGCCTCATGCATTTTGTCTTTCTTTGTCCTTGGCGGAGTGATGAATGTCTTTGAACATTAGCAATGAAAGCCAATGAATAATTTTAATGTGTGGTTGTTATTTTTGTCAGCAAAAGTTGTAATTTTAGAGCTTATCATAAAAAATGTTGTTGCAAGAGTGTTTGCAAGTGATTTTTTAGAGATTGCCATTGATTGATACCGGTGATTGATAGCATCAATGGAATCCTTTGACCAATGCTCCTTGGTGATTCCATTGTGATCCATTTTCATCCACATGTCACCCAGTTACTCCACAATATCAACAAAGGTACACGTTGTTTCACAGACAAACAAAGTAATCATTGAAAAGATTGATGGTGCACTGAGTATTTTGTCAAAACTCGCCGGTTGCGAGAGATTTTAAATATGCATTTATAAATGCCACAATCATTTCTACTATTTTGCTTCTAAATGTTTTTCGTTCATAAAAATGATATATTTCGCTACTTTAATTCGCGTCAACGATGGTCTCGCTCTCTGTGCGTCTACAGATCTTGATACAACTTTTGAAATGAAAGAAAGTAAGAAACGATTAAAGTTATTATCAAAAAAAGTTGGTCAACTACCTGCACGATGCACAAGTAAAATTGGCACCTATTCTTTGCAGTACGTATGTTTGGCATTGTCACTAAATATTGAGAGATTATGTACAATGATGATGCAGTCAACATAAAATTTCGGATCATTATCATCATTAACTTCTGTAGAAGTTTATTGGTTTTATTATGAGTGAACATGAACACAAATAAATTTACATAGCAAAACCAAACTTGCATGTGAATCAGTCATTGACAAAGTTTGAAGGCTTAAGTTTATATTCAAACGTTTATATTAAAGGTTTAAAGTATGTGTTGTCACAGGATAAATTTTTTAGTCTAAATTGTAATAGCCATACCATGAAAATCTTCTCAAAAGCATAGTAGTTTTATAAAGAGTCAGATGTTGTATATACTGGTTTGTCTTTGACCTCAACTTAAATAGAATGTGCCTTTGTTGCATGGAATGTTTGTTTTGTGTTAAGTGTGGTCTCCAGACATTTATTACAATGATAACTGGTTGTGATTAAATACTTTCTACATGTAGTTTCACAAGAACTGGATCTTTGTGTACAATGATGATCTGCAGCAGTCAATACCCAGAAATATTGGCCTTCAGTTTTTTAACAGACCTTCAAAGAGAATTTCTTCAACAGTATAAGAATGAAGATATTCAGAAGGCCAAACGTCCTTATACGTTTGTTGAGTTTGGTATGTATGTGTTTTTTTTCACATGAGAGACTTCCGTTAACTTATGTGCAATTTCATTCTCGTAATAGATAGAAGTATCATTTAAATACTTCTTTATTTTCAACTACATAGAAATTGAATCTGTCTGTCTTTATGACACTATGGTTTAGGTGATGTGAACTTGTTTAGGTGATGTGAATGTTGTATTTGAACTTGCTTTCATTATCATTGCCTGGCAGCCAGTCTGCTTTTTTATTGATGCAATGTTAATTTTTCTGCATTACTTACTGTGAAAACAATAGATTTATAAAGAAGTGAATGATTACGATGTTTTGAAATTTGCAAAGCAGGAGTAAAACTTGTGGCTTGACTATGTCACTGCTTTCTTTAATATCAAAAATATATGGATTTATACAAACATCTTTTAATGGACAATTTATTTTGAGCACATTTATCTAACTTTGTAAAACTTGTTGTCTTAAAGGTGCTATTTTATAGTATTTACCCCAACACATTTTTTAGATATGTTTATCCAGAGAATGAAGCAAAGATATTCAAATACAAGTAGTTTAACGAGCAGAATCAATGTAAATGATATTAGTGAGGATCTGAAACAAAATCCTCCATATGAAATCAATAATTCTGAACTATATCAGCATAATGGATCAACAATGACAAGCTACAAAAACAGTGGTTGGTAATAATTACTAATAATGACAAAACTTTGGTCAATTAAATGTGTTTCATATTATTTTGCCTTACCTGAGTATTTTTTAAAATCAATTTTTTTCAGGTAAAGTAAAAATAGTTTTACCTCTAAACTGGCTGGGTTATTTGAGTGGAGCTTTATGCTGTGTTTGTGCATTGTTGAACATTCTCAGATTCGTTCCATTATTTGCCTATTATGGTGCTGAAAATGAGGTTGGTTTTTTTCGTTACACCTATAGCGAAAAATGGCATAGATTTTAGTATCAATGTTACTGACTGTAGTCTGTCACGAAAGCATTGCTTTCGGGGATTGCTTTTTATAGGATTGTTTGATTACCTTTATATGGCAATTCAATTTTGTTCTTATGAACAAAATTTCTTAGTTTACTTGTTCACTTCTCAAATCTCAACCATGTTGATGTTTTAGGATCACAGTGTAACAGCTGCTCTAGCCTTTCTGGTTGGTGCTCTTCTCAATGTTTTGCTGGTAAGTAATGCTAGTTTTGATACCATGCGTTTTTACACTTGGTAGTCTTAAAATTAATGTTGTAGCGTTGAAAAGAAATGCTTATCTTTGTACATTTCATTGTGAAATGCTAGTCGATTGCTATTTCAAGTGTTCAGTTTCATGTTTTACTCTTTTTATTCTAAATATGACAAAACCATTATAGAATAATAATCATCGTTTGTGATCGGTTGTTCGGATATGGTAATTGCATGCTAACCATATGACGCTGATTTTTTTAAGTGTATCAAAGGTCGTTCTTGTCTTTACGAAAATGAAACTTTGTTATCTTTGATGTATTATTAGTTCAAACCTTGGTTTTTTGCTTGTGATGAGATTTTTAGACTTTTAAAAAATGTTGTTAAATAGATCGCTACGTAATGCTATTAATATACAGGCTTTGTGCAACTGTGAACACCGATCCCATCGAAGGTAGTTCGTCTGTCATGGATTAATTTCAGCTCATATGTCTGATTTTGTTTATTTAAGTTCATTGATTTTTGTCTACACATTATGATGCTCATTTTGAAGTTAAATGTTTGGAAGTAACTTGTAAAACTGTTTTATGATTTAGTTTTATTTGCTGCTGTCACCGTTGAAGTTCGTACCCTATACAGTGGCAACTCTACTTTTTGCTACAGTATATTATTTATTGAATTATAGAAATATTTTTCAAATATTGTTTCATGTGCTTGTCACATTACTTACGCTATATCAAATACGTCAAAGACAAGTCACTATCAAACCACCGGATTACAATGTATAGAAATATAGACACAGTATTTCATCTATGTAAATCGTACTAGAATATTCTTGTTCTCTCCAAAAGCTCATACAAGTGACCTCCTTTCTCATTTTTTAGAATGATATCAGTACACCTGCACTTTTGTTGATTATACTAAAGGTGAAGGTTTTTTGCTACAGACCTACCAACCCCGGGAAATATAAAAGTTTAAACCTGCAGGAACACTTAGAGGCAAAAAAAAACTTGAAATTTTTTTAAACAAACTTCTAAAAGCGTCATTTCAAAATAAATCGATTATAGTCATCATAATAAGAAGAATCGGAAATTTAATTTTTAGTTTGGAGTTGGGAGTTTGGAAAAATGAAAATCGGGAGAGTCGGCAGGTCTGTTGTTATATTTAGAGTTATGTTTGTAATCTGTAGATGTAATAGAGTGTGTAACAAAGAAGAAATTAAAGAATTCAACAAGATATCAAAATGACTCATAGATCAGATCACATAACTGATTCCTATATGTATACCGTTAACCTTATATATATATATATATAAGTTAGTGTATATAAGTTCGTGTAGATATATATATTAAGGGTATATATAAGTTGGTGTGCTTTTTTTCATGGTTTAAGCGTTAGGGATCTTATATTCGGCGTGGAGGCTAATGCATGGACAAAATTATACTACAGTTATCTGTTCGTTACAAGGTATTACACATGTTTATAAATCACAATACAATGGTATGAAAAGGCAACTGAGAAAACCTTTTACCATATGACAATGGTATGCTTAAACAGATTTGACCTACATGACTTCGTATCTTGTAGTGAATGTCTTAACTATATGGTCTTATGGTGACATATTCACGGGAGGGAGGGAAAGGGATCTTATGCATGGGGGGAGGGGAACTTATAAGCAAATCTTAACGGTACTTTCCATTTCTGGGCATTTTTTTTCTCAAGCTGTACATGTCGCACTTGCCTGTCCATACCAACCATGGTGATGTACCAATTGATACATGATGTAAAGAACTTATGATAAAGTGAATGGTTTGAAGTTTGAACCCGAGAGTATCGTTACAAGTTTGTGCATGTAGATCGTTTATGTTGTTAGAGTCCTGAGAACAACTGTTGATATTGATGTTTTAAATCTACAAATATGGAAGGTGTAATGTATTGTTTTGTAAAATCGTACGTACTTTAATTTTTTTGCCATTTTCTTCTACCCCTCACTTAATTTGGATTTGTATTGTTTCCGGTGGGAAAATTGCCCTATTGACATTTCGCTGGTTACTACGTGAAGAGAATCAAATCTAATGCTATTACGTTTGTTGACAATTGACAATAGAATGTGATAGTTTTGTACCTTATTAAACTGTTCATGGATTTAAGATGGTCTACTTTTAGCTGTTATCAATCTTGCTGTGGCTTTTTCATAAGTGTCGACACAATATTTAATTTGAAATAGAGTCTAGATGAGGTTTCGTTCAACTTGTCTCGTTTACTATCTTCGTCAAATTAGTCCTGGAGTTTGCTGTTATCTGTAATGAAATATGAACTTCAAACGACAAACTTCAAACGACTATGATAGAAAGACAGACGATGGCGAACAAAGTGAAGTTTTAAAGAGACGTCTTTTGTCTGCGTGGAACAATATGAAGTTTGGTAAGTGCTAGTGCAATACATGTCCACATTTGTTGAAACAATTTTACACATTATATAGAATTATGTTGAGTTTTATTTCATCAGTATGTGAGACTGTGAATAGATTTCAATGGGAATAAACCTAGACATGGTACGTCTATCGTCTACGTAAAATTGTTTCCTGTGTGTGTTCCGGGCTACGCAGGAAAGCATTGTTCTTCAGCTATTTAAAGAATTTTTACTGCTTTAAATTTGACAAAAAATGACAAAAGTTCAAGTTCAACTATTTAATGCACCTCACATATATCTTTAAAACATTTTATTTTTCTCAGATTCTTGGTAGTGGTGAATTGAACTTAGATGATTATGAATAATTGTTATTGTGATTGTCTAGCAGTTTTTATTATTCATATAGGCTTAATATCACCAAGCACAACAACATTTTCTATAGAATATCCAGTTTGGATACTGGGAAAGTGCTACAACCTCAATCCTGATATGGAAGGTATTTATTTTTTAAACCATATTCATTTAAGAACAATAATTGAAGTTTGAATAAATGCTGACCTGTTACTTTTTCTTTTCATTACATACTTGGTTACATATTTAATAATTGCCAATATTTGAAGAATTCATTTCTTGTGAGCTCATGCTTTTTCAACAACAATTAAATAATTTGTTTTCTTGCAGCTACCTTGCGTCTGCAACCCGTCCAACCAAACTGCTTGCTTCCCATGAAAGAATTTCGTCGACATTTTTCATCCTTATTTTGGTTTACATACCGTAGAGACTTTCCAAAAATACTGGATTCAGATTACACAACTGACACAGGATGGGGGTGTATGATACGAAGTGCACAAATGATGTTTGCAATTGGTCTGTCTTATTTTCTTATAGGAAAAGGTGCAAATACTGTTCATTAAACAAATATAAGCTCTTAAATATTATTTATGCCTTTTGAATCTGTTATGACAAAATGTATTGCATCAGATTTCAGAACCACAGGAAGATGTCATAGCAGAGTACAGACACATTTGTATAAATCAGTAAGTATTGCAATGATCAATAGAAATTTTTGCTATGGAATGAATGATAACAGAAAAATTTAGTTGTGGGACCAGTATGTAAAAAATAAAGCTTGTGATAAGGTATTATGTATTTTAGTCAAATAATGTATAGATTTTGAAATCCAGTTGAAATATTAAAAATCATATAATTGTTTAGATCTTAAGATTTTTTAATGATTCGCCGATGGAAATCAGTCCCTTTTCATTGCATAAACTTGTTAAACTGAGTGCAGCATTTGGTAAACAGCCAGGTGATTGGTTTGGACCTTCTCTTGTTGCACATGTTTTAAAGTAAGTGATAAAACTTTGTGGCCTCTACTCTTTGGAGTCAGAAATACAAACAACTTTAGTAAACAATCAGAACTAATCACAAAATGCTTTTATGGAACTTTGTTTATTGCTAAAATTTTTAAATATGTGTAAACAAGATCGCGATGTAAAAATATATTGTGTAATCTGTCCTTCTGTAGTTTGTTCTAGTGTTGAACAAGTTTGTTCATTTTCAATAACTACGAATGCGATGAAATTACACGTTTGTAAAATAAATCCTAAAAAAGAAACTTTGTGGCTCATCATTGTGAGAAAATCATATAAGAAAATACCAGATGCCTTGTATAAGCTTAATACACCCTTGTGTAAGCTTAATCCACCCCCGTGTAAGCTTAATCCACCCCCGTGTAAGCTTAATCCACCCCCATGTAAGCTTAATCCACCCCCTTGTAAGCTTAATCCACCCCCATGTAAGCTTAATCCACCCCCATGTAAGCTTAATCCACCCCCATGTAAGCTTAATCCACCCCCATGTAAGCTTAATCCACCCAGTGTAAAACTGATGTAACCTGTGTAAGCTTGGTTCTCCTCAGATCTCATGCACTAAAATCGAGATTTAAAATACTTATATTTATGACCATCTGTATTTATTTAGCTACCACTTTTCGACGGACAAGGATGAAATAAAACTCACATTTTTACTTTTATACTAAAATGTTCAAAAAGTCATATGAATAACATTTTATGTTTTAGAAAAGCATTGGAAGAATCACACAATCCAGTGATGAATTCTAATCAAGGAGTTTGTGTGTATGTTTCACAAGATTGTACAAGTAAGATTCATGCGTCATGTTTCTGTCCAAAAGTATTGAATCGAAGTTGGTTGGTCAAATACCCTTGTAAAATATCTTGGCAAAACTACACATGTTTTGTATTGATTCATGGCTTGAAAAGCAATTTTTTATCATAGATATATAAACTACTTTTATACATTACTAGTCTATAAAGATGACGTAACCCAACTGTGTCAACAATGCGCCGGTTGTAGCAAGAAAAACTGTTCTGACGATAATTGGAGGTCACTTATTATCTTGGTTCCTGTTCGATTAGGCGGTGAAAGTTTTAATCCAATTTACCAGCCTTGTGTGAAGGTATAATTTGATATTTTGTGAATATTTTTGCTCCTTCTACGCTGTCTCAATGGGTATGTCAATTTGAGAGCTTCAGATCCACGGTACATAGGAAGGATGTAATCTAGACCCCTAAGTTACTATGCATTATTGCAAGTATACGTAAGTCCAATTGGTGTTTGTCATGACCATATGAACAAGACCTTTTGGTCAAATGATTTCTCTCATTTGTTCCACTGATTTGTCCTTAAGCGATTTAGTTATCCCCGAAAGCAGTACAAATAGATTCAGTTGATTTTTCTTATGACTTTTGACTGGAACAGTTGATTTAGTGGACTGCGCATGTGTAAATTTGAAGTGGTACATAAATTGTCTGTCTCCCTCTGCTTATTTCGACCAATTCATCTTTAAACTCGTCTAGAAAAACGTAGACTAGCCAATGGATGGTTCTCATAATACACGATTTAAAATTATATGGGAGTTAATGGAGATGTTGAATAAGTTCATAAATCATTTTTATTCAAATTACAAGTGTAGAAGACCATAATTGTTTGAAATTTTCACTAATCTTGGAATCCATATATATTTATGACTTTAGTGGTCCTCCATTTTGTATAATACGCTATTTACTGCACATTCTGTTTCAGTTTTACGTTATATCACTAACATTATTGCGAGTTCTTCGTTTGAAACGCAAATGTTAAATACTTTGTTTCAGTTATGTTTGGTCATGTATTCCTTACCATGTGTATTTTGTTCATAGCATAATACAAAATACAATATGATGGGATGTGTATTTAACGTTTAGGCTCTTTTAACTCTCGATTCGTGCATTGGAATAATTGGTGGACGTCCAAAACATTCCTTATATTTCGTGGGTTTCCAAGGTTTGTAAAAAATGCACAAAAACAGCTCATTTATGTCACAAAAGGCGAGACGTCTTTTTTTTGAAACGAAACAAGCAACAGAAGAAAAATGCCAAAATTAAAGTCTCGGACATCAGATGAAGTTTAGTACGATAAAGCTTAATTAATTTGGCAAAACACTCACAATGTAACTAACGTGTTCTCGTCTTTATTTTCATAAGTGAACGTTTTCAAACCAAGCTTTTTTTCCAGTTGACTTGCAATAATCAATATCTTCATTAATGTGTGCATTGTTCGTTCTCTTTTAGAAGATACTCTTATTTATCTTGACCCTCATTTTTGTCAGCCTGCTGTTGATATGACATCGGAAGACTTTCCTTTCGAGGTAAAAGTCAGGAGTTTGGTTTTAAGGGGCGTGTGCCTCTTCAATAATTAGGACAACTAAGTCCTAATGCTAAGTTTACCTAAAAAACGAATTATAACTTCCGACCACTGCATGATACTACACTTCTATATTCCTTGCATAACAATACGAAATTTCCATTACATCTGACCACGGTGTCAACTGTCTATTTATCAAGAATCTAGTTTTACTTTATTATTCGTGAAGCTGTAATTAAGTTCGACGAAATTAGTTCCACCACACCACAATTTTCTAAAAAAAGTTGATTACAATATACTTGTTAGCTCTTCTTCTTTCACTAAAAATATGTTTGTTTTTAGTTGTAATGATTCACTATCCTATGTTGTAATTTCATGTTTTCATTTGATGTATTTCTTCTTCTGGTCTTTAGCTATTTATTTACAAATGTTTAGACATTTCACTGTGACTCTCCTCGGAAATTACCAATGAAAAAAATGGATCCTTCTTGTACGATTGGTTTTTATTGTGCGAATAAAGAAGAATTTGAAAATTTCTGTGTAAAAGCAACTGAGGTAATTGAAATTTGCGATTGTCGAAATAGACCTATCACCATCATATCCATTGATGTTTGTGTAAGCGCTTGGAAAATTTTTTGAAGAAGTGCACATGAACGTCAGCCGATTGTCCTTTTGAAGTTAAAAGCCGTAGAAGGACTCTTTATTTCAAAGCCCCCATTTCTCACTTCAAATTTTACATGTGGAATGAGAACATATATGTATGCTTGAGGTTACGAAATCAACCTGCGCTGTGTCTTTAAATTTATCTTTGTCGTTAGATCTTTGATTTATGTGCAAATCTACATATTCTACAACCATAAACATATCGTTATCCGTTACTCTGTAGATGTGCCATCCCCCTATGCAGAAGACAACGTATCCCATCTTTATTGTGGCTCCGGGAAACTGCCAAAAACTTACTTCAAGTTTAGATCTCCTATCATCCACGTCGTATACAGACAATCCAAATGAATCAGATCGTTTTCATTTCGAGTGCAGATCTCGTACGACTGATGATATGTACAGTCTTCAAGAGATTGCCGGAGAGAGCATAATGTTAGCTGATAAACCTGCTGAAGACTATGTTGTTTTAGGGTCATTTAAAGAAAATGAATGATAGTAAGTAGGTTTGACCGCAGGTTGCATCACACCATTCTGATATGCATTGTAACTTTATCTTATACTATTCCCTCACGGCTAAAGTTTATTTGCAGCAAAAGATTTCTCATAAAGGCTTAATTTTCCTGCCTTATAACTATCATCAGCATTCAGCAAATTGAGTCCAATTGTTTTAATTTTTTAATAATTTATGAAATATGATGAAATGAATAATATTATGTTATCTCTTGTTTTATGCAGTTGTTTTTTACGCACATATACGTAGAAAATTTCTGCCCCAGACTCTTTTTACACCTCCCTTCTGATAATCCTCCACTTGAATGATAGAAAAATAATAAATCCCTCCCGAAAATAAGCAGTTGAAGGCTTGTAGACAATGTTTGCGACAAAAGATTGATCGCCGATAATAAATTGGCTCAAGCTGACGCATAAATTAACTGCAAGTCGGCAAAGATTCGATTTTATGCAAAGTAGTTTAATGCAAATTTAGTAAACAGTGCCCAATGGTTGTGGCAGATGAATCGCTGGTTTTGAATACAGTGAAATCTCAGGTACGCAGACAGCCTTATTATAGAACTCAATGGTTTCAGCCTTAGATTAGAACAACGGCCACGTGTACGTTTATGGGAGGTTATATATTGACTTATTAATATATTGGCAAACACCTCTGGTAAAAACCCAAATACATTTTCCGGTTTCGAGAGGTGTTGTAGTGGTAAAATTACAACATTTATTTATTTTTGCACATTGCGCGGCTTAGGCCCGGTTCAAACGTCGCATTTTACATGCGCCGAATCAAATCTGAGATTTAGTCGACTAAAATAGTTTTATGCGTAGTTTGATTCAGACGTCGAATTTAATAGTCGCATTTATTATAGTTATGCTTCCACTTTTCATAGTTTATTCATTTTCTTGTACTAATTTCCTAAAATGGCGAACAGAAAATGTTGAGTTTATGCATTTCAAATATGATTCGTGTTAATAGGAAAAGACGAATATTGATGCATGTTACAGCAAATAAACTATTGTAAACGAGACGGCAGCTTCTGCAAATTTCCCATGTTTTTCTACCGTTAATTGGTCAAAAAAAGCCTTCATACGTAGCCCTCCTTATCGATCATGTCGAAGACAAGATAGAAATTCCGGCTGGTGGAAGAAAGTTTGGAGTATTTATTCTGATCTTGGATTCAAAAAAACATTTCGTGTATCTCGAGGAAACTTTCCTTGTACATATAAATTTTTTGCACTTTAAACAAGTATATTTTGTTAAACTTGTGCACGAAATACAAGGGCCATTACCAACACTCGCCGCCGCCATGTTTTTACAACTTTGCGCATGGCATTTAGCATGGAAATAATTGATTTTTGCTTAGAAATATCTTAAAATAAATTATGCATTAAATTCGGCTCATGTAAAATGCGACGTTTGAATCAACATCGAATTTCCGTCGAATATTCGACTAACTCAGTCGAATATGAGACTAAAGTCGCATTAAATTAAAATCCGTCGAATTTAATTGATTCAAACGTCGCATTTTACATGCACATAATTCTCGCATTTGATTCGGCGCATGTAAAATGCGACGTTTGAACTGGGCCTTATGTTGTCCCTAATTAGCCCTTGCTATCTTTCTTCACGTGCTTGTCGTGAACCAATGAAAACAAGCACAACTATCACATTGCCAAGCTCGAGCCAGTGTTGTACTTCACCGACTTACGTTAGCCATTAAAGTTGACGAGCAAGGTTAGCATGAAATGCAGGCAAATCTTGCACGTGGCTCTGTTTTTGGATTCACTCGTGAAATTAACACGGCCAAGTTTAAAATTTGACGCCATTGCATTGCTTTTATTTTTGAATTGCTGAACGGATACCGTTTTAACGTTTAAAACGAAGCACAAGTGACAAAATGTCTGACGATTGGGAAGAGGAATGCAACGTGTCTACTTTTGACAGCAAGGTAGCGTGCTTTTAACGAACAAATCAACTATAATAAATTATCGCAGCTACAAACAATTAACACTTATTATAACTAAAAGCAATTAATACGTGTTATATATGTAATGAAATAGATCTTATAATCTCGCTAAATGCGACTGTAGTACAAAGTTTACCTGCAGGTTGAATGCTTGCGTGGTTGATGAATTCAGCACGATGTTGTAGAGACGTCTGACTTGGGCAAAACATTTTGTGAGTGTCGTTAAATAAGATTATGTTTTTTAGCCATTCGAAGGCAATGGTTTTGATAGTGGATTTGGAGGTGGATTTGAGGACAATCCTACCAGTGGCTTTGCTGAAAGCGGATTTGGGAGAGGAAGACGTGAATTTGGGGGTGATAGATTCGACCAAAACTCAGACAGTGGCTTTGGTGGAAAGAGACGTGGTGGCTTTGGTGATAGCACCAATGACAATGGTGATGAAGGTGGTTTTCACAGTCGTAGAGGTCGTGGAAGGGGTGGTAGAGGTAGATTTGACCATCGCCATGATGATTATGCAGAGAATGATGAAGATGGTGGCTTTGGTGATAGCACCAATGACAATGGTGATGAAGGTGGTTTCACAGTCGAGAGGTCGTGGAAGGGTGGTAGGGTAGATTTGACCATCGCCATGATGATTATGCAGAGAATGATGAAGATGGTGGCTTTGTGGGGAACAATAGAGGACGGTAGGGTCGTGGAGAGGACATGGTTTTTTTGGTGATAGAGATGGGGAAGATACTGGGGGACGTGGGGGTGGTTTCCGCGGTCGAAGAAGTAGTGATCGTGATGACAGAGATGATAATTTTGGTAAGTTTTTAAGACATATTTTTGTGATTTGCAGAGACTAGAGTCTTTGAAAATGGTGTAATTCTAGGTGAAGGTGGTGAAGAAGGAGAAGAAAAACCCCAAAGAGTAACATATATTCCTCCTGCACCTCCTGAAGATGAGGAAGAGATTTTCACGACCATACAACAAGGAATAAACTTTGATAATTATGATAACATAGCTGTGGAAGTTACTGGAAGGGATCCAGTTAAGCCTATCAATAGTTTTGATGAGGCAGCTCTTTACGAGACTTTTAAATCAAATGTTAAAAAGGCTAAATATGTGAAACCTACTCCAGTACAAAAGTACTCTATACCTGCTATCTTAGCTGGACGAGATGTAATGGCTTGTGCTCAAACAGGATCTGGAAAAACTGTAAGTTTTTATTCTCTTGCCTTATATTTGGTAATTTCAACTTTTTTTTTGACATTACAGTTTTCTTTGTTTCCTTTGACATTATTATATTTAACATGTAATGCATTTGAATATACATACTTTAAAGTTAACACTCTTAAGACCTTGCTTGCCATTATATTTTGAAAATTAAAGGAATGAAAATGAAAACATTTCTATTCTAGATAACGCTTCCAGTTGTTGTTTGACAAATTACCTGAGATATATTATCAAAAGATATTCTAGCTTTATGTTCCTTTTGTTTTTATTCATTGTTTGTAAGTGGATGTATGTATAACAAATAAATCATTCCACTTGATCATTGTGTATTTATGGACTTTTTCAACAATTCATTAATCCCAATTGTGTTAATTATGTTTTTTGTATTTCAGGCTGCTTTTATTTTACCTGTAATGACTGGTATGATGAATAATGGATTAACAGGGAGTCAGATGAGCATGATACAAGCTCCGCAGGCCATAGTTATTGCCCCAACTAGAGAACTTGCTAATCAGATATTTTACGAAGCTTACAAATTTGCTCGTGGCACAATGTTGAAGCCCTGTGTCTGTTATGGTGGTGTATCCGCTGGTCATCAACTCTCAAAGATTGAAGCTGGTTGTCATTTACTTGTTGCAACCCTCACATTGATGGATTTCATTGGTCGGAGAAAGGTAAAATATATTGTTACAGCTATTGAGCCTAATAATACTACAGGACTTTACTGTACAATTTTGTGGCTGATATTTACAATCTTAACTCTCATTCTTGAAAATTGACAAGTTTTCAAAAGTGGAGGCTGAAACAGGGTTGAAAATTGAGTGTTCTGACATCATTAATTATATGTACAGTACACTTGAAAAATTTAATTTTGGGCAATGTAAATTTCATGTACTTTAATAAATACAATCAATTTTCTCACATTGTTAAAATGAATTTTATTCAAAGTTCAATACCAACTGTGTTATTTATCACTCATATAAATATTTTTGTAAATTAAAACTTGTTATTACCAACACTAATGATGTTTATGAGCTGTTGATGAATGTTTTTGAGCAAGAAACAGCGATATTGTAGACCTTGTGGTAAGGTTCCCTAACTTGTTAAGATTTATCTAAAATTGACTGCCAGATTCAGTTATGAATGAAATGAATAAAACAGTTAAATTTTTAATTTTAAATATCCTTAAATATACAGTTGACTTAGAAGTATCTTACCTATCCATTTGCTTTTAAGCTATTTTGAAATATTAATTATTCAAGAGCTGTTGCATATTTTTTTATTAGACATTAAATTTGTCATATTTGTGAAATGATCACATTATCTTGTGAAAGATATTGTTTAGATAATTGTTTAAATGTTATCCACATTATATTGCTGCTGATAATTTTATTAATAACAATGTATACATTGCAGTAAATCCTTATGAACACTGTCATAAATAATTATTTGTTCTTTCTAGTTTGCACAATTATTTATGCTTATTATACTCAATTTATGTATATTCTTAGCTTCCACATATTTTTCACAAATTTTATTGAATTTCAATGTAAATTTATCATTTTTAAAGATTTCCCTGGAAGGTCTGAAGTATTTGATTCTCGACGAAGCAGACAGGATGTTAGACATGGGTTTTGAACCAGTTATTCGCGAGCTTGCGTCAAACCCGAACTTTCCCGCTAAAACTGAACGACAGACACTTATGTTCAGCGCAACGTTTCCAGAGGAAATACAAAGACTTGCTGGTGAATTTTTAAATGATTATCTTTTTCTTACTGTTGGTCGAGTTGGTAGTGCTACTGCCGACATTGAACAGAATATTTGTCAAGTTTCTGAATTCGAGAAACGCGATAAGTTAGTCGAAATACTTAATGATGCTGGTACGTATTTTATATCGTAATTTCTTACTCTTTTTACGAAATACTGAAGTTTCAGGAAATAATTTATAAGTATGGTATTGTTTATGGTACAATTAAAGTTTCAAAAGTTAGTGAAAATGAATTCAACTGAAGTTATGTGGAAAAAAGAGATAATTAATGTGTACTTTTTTGTGCATTAAATATTTTTTATATTTCCGCCCACTTCAACGCCATTTTTTTCTCTACTTACGGTAGGCAGTGACAGAATCCTTGTCTTTGTGGAAACGAAAAGGATGGCGGATTTCTTGGCAAGCTATCTTTCGCAAACTGGTTTTCCCACCACCAGTATTCACGGGTATAATCAAGGCACTTTAACTCTGGCTTTTCTATTTTAGCGTCAATTCAAAGCAATCTGTCTACATCATGATCATACTCAAAGAATTCATCAGCACTGACACTATTTCCGAAAATTGGAAAGCTTCAAATTTATATATGCTTGTTTTAATCCGTAGAAAGCAATACATTTTAAAGGATCTTAATACGGCATGTATTAAGTGCTGATACTATTGCAACCATGTCTGAGGGGTGGTAAGGATTTTGTTTTGCAAACGTAGCCAGCATGATGTTTTAAATAAGTTGTGTTTAACAAAAGTGGTGCAACTGTAGCTACATGTTATGCTCAGGTCTCGTTACAGGGTGTTCCAAAAAAAGCGCCAACATAGAAATTATTTTATTGTTCCTTTGACCGAAGTTTGTGTACGTAGAATATCATTAAATTTCCTTGTGTGGTATCATACAAGATTGTAAACAATGAGATGATTTTTATGTTGTCACTTGAAAAACGCTGTATAGCATTAAGTGTAGTTGACATGTTATTTGTTTCATAATAACTTATACATAATTAATTTTTATGAAAACAGAGACAGGCAACAAAGAGAAAGAGAGGAAGCCTTATATGACTTTAAGAAAGGACGTACTCCAGTTATGGTAGCGACGTCAGTTGCTGCACGTGGTCTTGATATACAAGATGTAAAACATGTGATCAACTATGATTTGCCAAAAGAGATAGAGGAATATGTCCACCGTATTGGGCGAACAGGAAGGATTGGGAACAAGGGCAAAGCAACGTCATTTTTCCAGTCAGATAAAGATGCAAACATAGCTAGATCTTTGGTGAAAGTTCTTGGTGATGTAGGTCATTTTAATGTATTATTTCTTTCCATGTAAGATATATTTTGATTTTTAACAGTAACACTATTACTTTATACTACAGTTGATAGAAAATTTGTCGTACGTACACTCATGCGAATAGACTCGAATAGTTTTTGTTTTTGGGCTTTACGCCCAACTTCACATAGTGTTAATTTGCCAAGACATTCGTTAAAATGAAGATTTATTAAAATCTTACACCAGAGTAAATATTTGCCAGTTTTTGAAAGGCGTTTCACTACAAGAATTGGAAGAGTATCCTAGATCCTTCAACTAATCCTTTGTGAGTTAAATTCCTTCAGATTACTTTCCCTCGCAAAAACACCTCGTCATTCGCCATAATTATATTCTTAGTGATATCGTAGGCTTCATTTTTACAGGCCGAACAAGACGTTCCGGACTGGTTAGAAGAACAAGCTGAAAGTGCAATTGGCACAAACTATGGACCTGCTGGTGGTCGATTTGGTGGAAGAGATACCAGAAGGGTTTGTTTCAATGTTCATGTTTGTAGTCAGTCAATTATATGAAAAAAGTTTTGTCAATTGTATGACGTGTGTTGTTTTGTATGACGTATGTTGTTTTGTATGACGTTTGTTGTTTTGTATGACGTATGTTGTTTTGTATGACGTATGTTGTTTTGTTATTTTCAGTTTGATAAAGGTAACAGTGACGGTGGACATAATGATGACTTCAACATTAATGGTGGTGATGACGCTTGGGGTATAAATGACTCAAAAAATACTGGAGGTCAGAGTGATGATGAATGGAACACTGTAGATACTGGTGGAGATGAACCATGGGAATAACTTTCCTCCCGTCCTCCCTCCCTCCTCCCTAAGAAAACAAATAATCTATTGAAATTTGCGATTGTTGTGCATCACTAAGGAATCGATAGATGCAGATTTTGATGGGAAAAGTGTGATAGTATTAGTATGATTTTTCCTAGCAAAATAATACCCTCTCCTCCCACGTAAAACACATCACATTAATACTTGTACGTTAAAAGAGAAATAGACCTATCACCATCATATCCATTGATGTTTGTGTAAGCGCTTAGAAAATTTTTTGAAGAAGTGCATATGAACGTCAGCCGATTGTCCTTTTGAAGTTAGAAGCCGTAGAAGGACTCTTTATTTCAAAGCCCCCATTTCTCACTTCAAATTTTACATGTGGAATGAGAACGTATATGTATGCTTGAGGTTACGAAATCAACCTGCGCTGTGTCTTTAAATTTATCTTTGTCGTTAGATCTTTGATTTATGTACAAATCTACATATTCTACAAACATAAACATATCGTTATCTGTTACTCTGTAGATGTGCCATCCCCCTATGCAGAAGACAACGTATCCCATCTTTATTGTGGCTCCGGGAAACTGCCAAAAACTTACTTCAAGTTTAGATCTCCTATGATCCACGTCGTATACAGACAATCCAAATGAATCAGATCGTTTTCATTTCGAGTACAGATGAAGTTTAATGACTAACAATAGGTACTCCCTATAGGGCTTTTCAGTAGCTATTTACAAAATTGAATACATACACCATATGACTTATAAATGTATGTAAAAAAGATTATTATTAAAAGGATTTTAAAGATAAAAGTAACATTACAAGATGGAACTACAAAAGATCTTTTAAAGCTTTCTTAAAAGAATCAAGAGACTTGGAATTTTTCACATCTTTGTCTAAATTGTTCCACAATTTGACTGCCCTATATGAAAATGTGCGTTGGCCCGTTGATGTTTTGAACCTCGGAATTTGAAATAGGTCTCTATTACGGGTGGCCCGATCGTGAGGACTCTTGTGGAACTTTTTGCAGAGATATTCGGGGGCAAGGTTATTTACGCACTTGTATGTCAAGACTAAGTCCCGATAGTCTAGACACTGTTGAACAGGCTTCCAGTTTAATTGGCGCAAGAGTGGCGAAACATGGTCATATTTCCTGGTGCCCGTAACGATTTTACAGGCAAAGTTCTGCAGCAGTTGAAGTTTTGTTATATTTTGTTGGTGGTATTCGACCACACGGACGAGCAATAAAACATTTTGCTGAAAACTAAGGCAGAAATGATTTTCAGAAGTGTGGTTTGGTCAAAACTTTGTCTTACACGGTTTATTTGCATTAACTTGGACAGACATGAAGACGCTACCCAGATCTCGTACGACTGATGATATGTACAGTCTTCAAGAGATTGCCGGAGAGAGCATAATGTTAGCTGATAAACCTGCTGAAGACTATGTTGTTTTAGGGTCATTTAAAGAAAATGAATGATAGTAAGTAGGTTTGACCGTAGGTTGCATCACACCATTCTGATATGCATTGTAACTTTATCTTATACTATTCCCTCACGGCTAAAGTTTATTTGCAGCAAAAGATTTCTCATAAAGGCTTAATTTTCCTGCCTTATAACTATCATCAGCATTCAGCAAATTGAGTCCAATTGTTTTAATTTTTTAATAATTTATAAAATATGATGAAATGAATAATATTATGTTATCTCTTGTTTTATGCAGTTGTTTTTTACGCACATATACGTAGAAAATTTCTGCCCCAGACTCTTTTACACCTCCCCTTCTGATAATCCTCCACTTGAATGATAGAAAAAATAATAAATCCCTCCCGAAAATAAGCAGTTGAAGGCTTGTAGACAATGTTTGCGACAAAAGATTGATCGCCGATAATAAATTGGCTCAAGCTGACGCATAAATTAACTGCAAGTCGGCAAAGATTCGATTTTATGCAAAGTAGTTTAATGCAAATTTAGTAAACAGTGCCCAATGGTTGTGGCAGATGAATCGCTGGTTTTGAATACAGTGAAATCTCAGGTACGCAGACAGCCTTATTATAGAACTCAATGGTTTCAGCCTTAGATTAGAACAACGGCCACGTGTACGTTTATGGGAGGTTATATATTGACTTATTAATATATTGGCAAACACCTCTGGTAAAAACCCAAATACATTTTCCGGTTTCGAGAGGTGTTGTAGTGGTAAAATTACAACATTTATTTATTTTTTTTGCACATTGCGCGGCTTAGGCCCGGTTCAAACGTCGCATTTTACATGCGCCGAATCAAATCTGAGATTTAGTCGACTAAAATAGTTTTATGCGTAGTTTGATTCAGACGTCGAATTTAATAGTCGCATTTATTATAGTTATGCTTCCACTTTTTCATAGTTTATTCATTTTCTTGTACTAATTTCCTAAAATGGCGAACAGAAAAATGTTGAGTTTATGCATTTCAAATATGATTCGTGTTAATAGGAAAAGACGAATATTGATGCATGTTACAGCAAATAAACTATTGTAAACGAGACGGCAGCTTCTGCAAATTTCCCATGTTTTTCTACCGTTAATTGGTCAAAAAAAGCCTTCATACGTAGCCCTCCTTATCGATCATGTCGAAGACAAGATAGAAATTCCGGCTGGTGGAAGAAAGTTTGGAGTATTTATTCTGATCTTGGATTCAAAAAAACATTTCGTGTATCTCGAGGAAACTTTCCTTGTACATATAAATTTTTTGCACTTTAAACAAGTATATTTTGTTAAACTTGTGCACGAAATACAAGGGCCATTACCAACACTCGCCGCCGCCATGTTTTTACAACTTTGCGCATGGCATTTAGCATGGAAATAATTGATTTTTGCTTAGAAATATCTTAAAATAAATTATGCATTAAATTCGGCTCATGTAAAATGCGACGTTTGAATCAACATCGAATTTCCGTCGAATATTCGACTAACTCAGTCGAATATGAGACTAAAGTCGCATTAAATTAAAATCCGTCGAATTTAATTGATTCAAACGTCGCATTTTACATGCACATAATTCTCGCATTTGATTCGGCGCATGTAAAATGCGACGTTTGAACTGGGCCTTATGTTGTCCCTAATTAGCCCTTGCTATCTTTCTTCACGTGCTTGTCGTGAACCAATGAAAAACAAGCACAACTATCACATTGCCAAGCTCGAGCCAGTGTTGTACTTCACTGACTTACGTTAGCCATTAAAGTTGACGAGCAAGGTTAGCATGAAATGCAGGCAAATCTTGCACGTGGCTCTGTTTTTTTTGGATTCACTCGTGAAATTAACACGGCCAAGTTTAAAATTTGACGCCATTGCATTGCTTTTTATTTTTTGAATTGCTGAACGGATACCGTTTTTAACGTTTAAAACGAAGCACAAGTGACAAAATGTCTGACGATTGGGAAGAGGAATGCAACGTGTCTACTTTTGACAGCAAGGTAGCGTGCTTTTTAACGAACAAATCAACTATAATAAATTATCGCAGCTTACAAACAATTAACACTTATTATAACTAAAAGCAATTAATACGTGTTATATATGTAATGAAATAGATCTTATAATCTCGCTAAATGCGACTGTAGTACAAAGTTTACCTGCAGGTTGAATGCTTGCGTGGTTGATGAATTCAGCACGATGTTGTAGAGACGTCTGACTTGGGCAAAACATTTTGTGAGTGTCGTTAAATAAGATTATGTTTTTTAGCCATTCGAAGGCAATGGTTTTGATAGTGGATTTGGAGGTGGATTTGAGGACAATCCTACCAGTGGCTTTGCTGAAAGCGGATTTGGGAGAGGAAGACGTGAATTTGGGGGTGATAGATTCGACCAAAACTCAGACAGTGGCTTTGGTGGAAAGAGACGTGGTGGCTTTGGTGATAGCACCAATGACAATGGTGATGAAGGTGGTTTTCACAGTCGTAGAGGTCGTGGAAGGGGTGGTAGAGGTAGATTTGACCATCGTCATGATGATTATGCAGAGAATGATGAAGATGGTGGCTTTGGTGATAGCACCAATGACAATGGTGATGAAGGTGGTTTTCACAGTCGTAGAGGTCGTGGAAGGGGTGGTAGGGTAGATTTGACCATCGTCATGATGATTATGCAGAGAATGATGAAGATGGTGGCTTTGGTGGGAACAATAGAGGACGTGGTAGGGGTCGTGGGAGAGGACATGGTTTTTTTGGTGATAGAGATGGGGAAGATACTGGGGGACGTGGGGGTGGTTTCCGCGGTCGAAGAAGTAGTGATCGTGATGACAGAGATGATAATTTTGGTAAGTTTTTAAGACATATTTTTGTGATTTGCAGAGACTAGAGTCTTTGAAAATGGTGTAATTCTAGGTGAAGGTGGTGAAGAAGGAGAAGAAAAACCCCAAAGAGTAACATATATTCCTCCTGCACCTCCTGAAGATGAGGAAGAGATTTTCACGACCATACAACAAGGAATAAACTTTGATAATTATGATAACATAGCTGTGGAAGTTACTGGAAGGGATCCAGTTAAGCCTATCAATAGTTTTGATGAGGCAGCTCTTTACGAGACTTTTAAATCAAATGTTAAAAAGGCTAAATATGTGAAACCTACTCCAGTACAAAAGTACTCTATACCTGCTATCTTAGCTGGACGAGATGTAATGGCTTGTGCTCAAACAGGATCTGGAAAAACTGTAAGTTTTTATTCTCTTGCCTTATATTTGGTAATTTCAACTTTTTTTTTGACATTACAGTTTTCTTGTTTCCTTTGACATTATTATATTTAACATGTACGTACGTGAATATACATACTTTAAAGTTAACACTCTTAAGACCTTGCTTGCCATTATATTTTGAAAATTAAAGGGAATGAAAAATGAAAACATTTCTATTCTAGATAACGTTTCCAGTTGTTGTTTGACAAATTACCTGAGATATATTATCAAAAGATATTCTAGCTTTATGTTCCTTTTGTTTTTATTCATTGTTTGTAAGTGGATGTATGTATAACAAATAAATCATTCCACTTGATCATTGTGTATTTATGGACTTTTTCAACAATTCATTAATCCCAATTGTGTTAATTATGTTTTTTGTATTTCAGGCTGCTTTTATTTTACCTGTAATGACTGGTATGATGAATAATGGATTAACAGGGAGTCAGATGAGCATGATACAAGCTCCGCAGGCCATAGTTATTGCCCCAACTAGAGAACTTGCTAATCAGATATTTTACGAAGCTTACAAATTTGCTCGTGGCACAATGTTGAAGCCCTGTGTCTGTTATGGTGGTGTATCCGTTGGTCATCAACTCTCAAAGATTGAAGCTGGTTGTCATTTACTTGTTGCAACCCCTGGGCGATTGATGGATTTCATTGGTCGGAGAAAGGTAAAATATATTGTTACAGCTATTGAGCGAATAATACTACAGGACTTTACTGTACAATTTTGTGGCTGATATTTACAATCTTAACTCTCATTCTTGAAAATTGACAAGTTTTCAAAAGTGGAGGCTGAAACAGGGTTGAAAATTGAGTGTTCTGACATCATTAATTATATGTACAGTACACTTGAAAAATTTAATTTTGGGCAATGTAAATTTCATGTACTTTAATAAATACAATCAATTTTCTCACATTGTTAAAATGAATTTTATTCAAAGTTCAATACCAACTGTGTTATTTATCACTCATATAAATATTTTTGTAAATTAAAACTTGTTATTACCAACACTAATGATGTTTATGAGCTGTTGATGAATGTTTTGAGCAAGAAACAGCGATATTGTAGACCTTGTGGTAAGGTTCCCTAACTTGTTAAGATTTATCTAAAATTGACTGCCAGATTCAGTTATGAATGAAATGAATAAAACAGTTAAATTTTTAATTTTAAATATCCTTAAATATACAGTTGACTTAGAAGTATCTTACCTATCCATTTGCTTTTAAGCTATTTTGAAATATTAATTATTCAAGAGCTGTTGCATATTTTTTTATTAGACATTAAATTTGTCATATTTGTGAAATGATCACATTATCTTGTGAAAGATATTGTTTAGATAATTGTTTAAATGTTATCCACATTATATTGCTGCTGATAATTTTATTAATAACAATGTATACATTGCAGTAAATCCTTATGAACACTGTCATAAATAATTATTTGTTCTTTCTAGTTTGCACAATTATTTATGCTTATTATACTTCAATTTATGTATATTCTTAGCTTCCACATATTTTTCACAAATTTTATTGAATTTCAATGTAAATTTATCATTTTTAAAGATTTCCCTGGAAGGTCTGAAGTATTTGATTCTCGACGAAGCAGACAGGATGTTAGACATGGGTTTTGAACCAGTTATTCGCGAGCTTGCGTCAAACCCGAACTTTCCCGCTAAAACTGAACGACAGACACTTATGTTCAGCGCAACGTTTCCAGAGGAAATACAAAGACTTGCTGGTGAATTTTTAAATGATTATCTTTTTCTTACTGTTGGTCGAGTTGGTAGTGCTACTGCCGACATTGAACAGAATATTTGTCAAGTTTCTGAATTCGAGAAACGCGATAAGTTAGTCGAAATACTTAATGATGCTGGTACGTATTTTATATCGTAATTTCTTACTCTTTTTACGAAATACTGAAGTTTCAGGAAATAATTTATAAGTATGGTATTGTTTATGGTACAATTAAAGTTTCAAAAGTTAGTGAAAATGAATTCAACTGAAGTTATGTGGAAAAAGAGATAATTAATGTGTACTTTTTTGTGCATTAAATATTTTTTATATTTCCGCCCACTTCAACGCCATTTTTTTCTCTACTTACGGTAGGCAGTGACAGAATCCTTGTCTTTGTGGAAACGAAAAGGATGGCGGATTTCTTGGCAAGCTATCTTTCGCAAACTGGTTTTCCCACCACCAGTATTCACGGGTATAATCAAGGCACTTTAACTCTGGCTTTTCTATTTTAGCGTCAATTCAAAGCAATCTGTCTACATCATGATCATACTCAAAGAATTCATCAGCACTGACACTATTTCCGAAAATTGAAAGCTTCAAATTTATATATGCTTGTTTTAATCCGTAGAAAGCAATACATTTTAAAGGATCTTAATACGGCATGTATTAAGTGCTGATACTATTGCAACCATGTCTGAGGGGTGGTAAGGATTTTGTTTTGCAAACGTAGCCAGCATGATGTTTTAAATAAGTTGTGTTTAACAAAAGTGGTGCAACTGTAGCTACATGTTATGCTCAGGTCTCATTACAGGGTGTTCCAAAAAAAGCGCCAACATAGAAATTATTTTATTGTTCCTTTGACCGAAGTTTGTGTACGTAGAATATCATTAAATTTCCTTGTGTGGTATCATACAAGATTGTAAACAATGAGATGATTTTTATGTTGTCACTTGAAAAACGCTGTATAGCATTAAGTGTAGTTGACATGTTATTTGTTTCATAATAACTTATACATAATTAATTTTTATGAAAACAGAGACAGGCAACAAAGAGAAAGAGAGGAAGCCTTATATGACTTTAAGAAAGGACGTACTCCAGTTATGGTAGCGACGTCAGTTGCTGCACGTGGTCTTGATATACAAGATGTAAAACATGTGATCAACTATGATTTGCCAAAAGAGATAGAGGAATATGTCCACCGTATTGGGCGAACAGGAAGGATTGGGAACAAGGGCAAAGCAACGTCATTTTTCCAGTCAGATAAAGATGCAAACATAGCTAGATCTTTGGTGAAAGTTCTTGGTGATGTAGGTCATTTTAATGTATTATTTCTTTCCATGTAAGATATATTTTGATTTTTAACAGTAACACTATTACTTTATACTACAGTTGATAGAAAATTTGTCGTACGTACACTCATGCGAATAGACTCGAATAGTTTTTGTTTTTGGGCTTTACGCCCAACTTCACATAGTGTTAATTTGCCAAGACATTCGTTAAAAATGAAGATTTATTAAAATCTTACACCAGAGTAAATATTTGCCAGTTTTTTGAAAGGCGTTTCACTACAAGAATTGGAAGAGTATCCTAGATCCTTCAACTAATCCTTTGTGAGTTAAATTCCCTTCAGATTACTTTCCCTCGCAAAAACACCTCGTCATTCGCCATAATTATATTCTTAGTGATATCGTAGGCCTTCATTTTTACAGGCCGAACAAGACGTTCCGGACTGGTTAGAAGAACAAGCTGAAAGTGCAATTGGCACAAACTATGGACCTGCTGGTGGTCGATTTGGTGGAAGAGATACCAGAAGGGTTTGTTTCAATGTTCATGTTTGTAGTCAGTCAATTATATGAAAAAAGTTTTGTCAATTGTATGACGTGTGTTGTTTTGTATGACGTATGTTGTTTTGTATGACGTTTGTTGTTTTGTATGACGTATGTTGTTTTGTATGACGTATGTTGTTTTGTTATTTTCAGTTTGATAAAGGTAACAGTGACGGTGGACATAATGATGACTTCAACATTAATGGTGGTGATGACGCTTGGGGTATAAATGACTCAAAAAATACTGGAGGTCAGAGTGATGATGAATGGAACACTGTAGATACTGGTGGAGATGAACCATGGGAATAACTTTCCCTCCCGTCCTCCCTCCCTCCTCCCTAAGAAAACAAATAATCTATTGAAATTTGCGATTGTTGTGCATCACTAAGGAATCGATAGATGCAGATTTTGATGGGAAAAGTGTGATAGTATTAGTATGATTTTTCCTAGCAAAATAATACCCTCTCCTCCCACGTAAAACACATCACATTAATACTTGTACGTTAAAAGAGAAATAGACCTATCACCATCATATCCATTGATGTTTGTGTAAGCGCTTAGAAATTTTTGAAGAAGTGCATATGAACGTCAGCCGATTGTCCTTTTGAAGTTAGAAGCCGTAGAAGGACTCTTTATTTCAAAGCCCCCATTTCTCACTTCAAATTTTACATGTGGAATGAGAACGTATATGTATGCTTGAGGTTACGAAATCAACCTGCGCTGTGTCTTTAAATTTATCTTTGTCGTTAGATCTTTGATTTATGTACAAATCTACATATTCTACAAACATAAACATATCGTTATCTGTTACTCTGTAGATGTGCCATCCCCCTATGCAGAAGACAACGTATCCCATCTTTATTGTGGCTCCGGAAACTGCCAAAACTTACTTCAAGTTTAGATCTCCTATGATCCACGTCGTATACAGACAATCCAAATGAATCAGATCGTTTTCATTTCGAGTACAGATGAAGTTTAATGACTAACAATAGGTACTCCCTATAGGGCTTTTCAGTAGCTATTTACAAAATTGAATACATACACCATATGACTTATAAATGTATGTAAAAAAGATTATTATTAAAAGGATTTTAAAGATAAAAGTAACATTACAAGATGGAACTACAAAAGATCTTTTAAAGCTTTCTTAAAAGAATCAAGAGACTTGGAATTTTTCACATCTTTGTCTAAATTGTTCCACAATTTGACTGCCCTATATGAAAATGTGCGTTGGCCCGTTGATGTTTTGAACCTCGGAATTTGAAATAGGTCTCTATTACGGGTGGCCCGATCGTGAGGACTCTTGTGGAACTTTTGCAGAGATATTCGGGGCAAGGTTATTTACGCACTTGTATGTCAAGACTAAGTCCCGATAGTCTAGACACTGTTGAACAGGCTTCCAGTTTAATTGGCGCAAGAGTGGCGAAACATGGTCATATTTCCTGGTGCCCGTAACGATTTTACAGGCAAAGTTCTGCAGCAGTTGAAGTTTTGTTATATTTTTGTTGGTGGTATTCGACCACACGGACGAGCAATAAAACATTTTGCTGAAAACTAAGGCAGAAATGATTTTCAGAAGTGTGGTTTGGTCAAAACTTTGTCTTACACGGTTTATTTGCATTAACTTGGACAGACATGAAGACGCTACCCAGATCTCGTACGACTGATGATATGTACAGTCTTCAAGAGATTGCCGGAGAGAGCATAATGTTAGCTGATAAACCTGCTGAAGACTATGTTGTTTTAGGGTCATTTAAAGAAAATGAATGATAGTAAGTAGGTTTGACCGTAGGTTGCATCACACCATTCTGATATGCATTGTAACTTTATCTTATACTATTCCCTCACGGCTAAAGTTTATTTGCAGCAAAAGATTTCTCATAAAGGCTTAATTTTCCTGCCTTATAACTATCATCAGCATTCAGCAAATTGAGTCCAATTGTTTTAATTTTTTAATAATTTATAAAATATGATGAAATGAATAATATTATGTTATCTCTTGTTTTATGCAGTTGTTTTTTACGCACATATACGTAGAAAATTTCTGCCCCAGACTCTTTTACACTCCCCACCTTCTGATAATCCTCCACTTGAATGATAGAAAAATAATAAATCCCTCCCGAAAATAAGCAGTTGAAGGCTTGTAGACAATGTTTGCGACAAAAGATTGATCGCCGATAATAAATTGGCTCAAGCTGACGCATAAATTAACTGCAAGTCGGCAAAGATTCGATTTTATGCAAAGTAGTTTAATGCAAATTTAGTAAACAGTGCCCAATGGTTGTGGCAGATGAATCGCTGGTTTTGAATACAGTGAAATCTCAGGTACGCAGACAGCCTTATTATAGAACTCAATGGTTTCAGCCTTAGATTAGAACAACGGCCACGTGTACGTTTATGGGAGGTTATATATTGACTTATTAATATATTGGCAAACACCTCTGGTAAAAACCCAAATACATTTTCCGGTTTCGAGAGGTGTTGTAGTGGTCAAATTACAACATTTATTTATTTTTTTTGCACATTGCGCGGCTTAGGACCGGTTCAAACGTCGCATTTTACATGCGCCGAATCAAATCTGAGATTTAGTCGACTAAAATAGTTTTATGCGTAGTTTGATTCAGACGTCGAATTTAATAGTCGCATTTATTATAGTTATGCTTCCACTTTTCATAGTTTATTCATTTTCTTGTACTAATTTCCTAAAATGGCGAACAGAAAATGTTGAGTTTATGCATTTCAAATATGATTCGTGTTAATAGGAAAAGACGAATATTGATGCATGTTACAGCAAATAAACTATTGTAAACGAGACGGCAGCTTCTGCAAATTTCCCATGTTTTCTACCGTTAATTGGTCAAAAGCCTTCATACGTAGCCCTCCTTATCGATCATGTCGAAGACAAGATAGAAATTCCGGCTGGTGGAAGAAAGTTTGGAGTATTTATTCTGATCTTGGATTCAAAAAAACATTTCGTGTATCTCGAGGAAACTTTCCTTGTACATATAAATTTTTTGCACTTTAAACAAGTGTATTTTGTTAAACTTGTGCACGAAATACAAGGGCCATTACCAACACTCGCCGCCGCCATGTTTTTACAACTTTGCGCATGGCATTTAGCATGGAAATAATTGATTTTTGCTTAGAAATATCTTAAAATAAATTATGCATTAAATTCGGCTCATGTAAAATGCGACGTTTGAATCAACATCGAATTTCCGTCGAATATTCGACTAACTCAGTCGAATATGCGACTAAAGTCGCATTAAATTAAAATCCGTCGAATTTAATTGATTCAAACGTCGCATTTTACATGCACATAATTCTCGCATTTGATTCGGCGCATGTAAAATGCGACGTTTGAACTGGGCCTTATGTTGTCCCTAATTAGCCCTTGCTATCTTTCTTCACGTGCTTGTCGTGAACCAATGAAAAACAAGCACAACGATCACATTGCCAAGCTCGAGCCAGTGTTGTACTTCACTGACTTACGTTAGCCATAAAGTTGACGAGCAAGGTTAGCATGAAATGCAGGCAAATCTTGCACGTGGCTCTGTTTTTTTTTTGGATTCACTCGTGAAATTAACACGGCCAAGTTTAAAATTTGACGCCATTGCATTGCTTTTTGTTTTTTGAATTGCTGAACGGATACCGTTTTTAACGTTTAAAACGAAGCACAAGTGACAAAATGTCTGACGATTGGGAAGAGGAATGCAACGTGTCTACTTTTGACAGCAAGGTAGCGTGCTTTTTAACGAACAAATCAACTATAATAAATTATCGCAGCTTACAAACAATTAACACTTATTATAACTAAAAGCAATTAATACGTGTATATATATGTAATGAAATAGATCTTATAATCTCGCTAAATGCGACTGTAGTACAAAGTTTACCTGCAGGTTGAATGCTTGCGTGGTTGATGAATTCAGCACGATGTTGTAGAGACATCTGACTTGGGCAAAACATTTTGTGAGTGTCGTTAAATAAGATTATGTTTTTTAGCCATTCGAAGGCAATGGTTTTGATAGTGGATTTGGAGGTGGATTTGAGGACAATCCTACCAGTGGCTTTGCTGAAAGCGGATTTGGGAGAGGAAGACGTGAATTTGGGGGTGATAGATTCGACCAAAACTCAGACAGTGGCTTTGGTGGAAAGAGACGGTGGCTTTGGTGATAGCACCAATGACAATGGTGATGAAGGTGGTTTTCACAGTCGTAGAGGTCGTGGAAGGGGTGGTAGAGGTAGATTTGACCATCGTCATGATGATTATGCAGAGAATGATGAAGATGGTGGCTTTGGTGATAGCACCAATGACAATGGTGATGAAGGTGGTTTCACAGTCGAGAGGTCGTGGAAGGGTGGTAGGGTAGATTTGACCATCGCCATGATGATTATGCAGAGAATGATGAAGATGGTGGCTTTGGTGGGAACAATAGAGGACGGGGGTCGTGGGAGAGGACATGGTTTTGGTGATAGAGATGGGGAAGATACTGGGGACGTGGGGTGGTTTCAGGTCAAGAAGTAGTGATCGTGATGACAGAGATGATAATTTTGGTAAGTTTTTAAGACATATTTTTGTGATTTGCAGAGACTAGAGTCTTTGAAAATGGTGTAATTCTAGGTGAAGGTGGTGAAGAAGGAGAAGAAAAACCCCAAAGAGTAACATATATTCCTCCTGCACCTCCTGAAGATGAGGAAGAGATTTTCACCATACAACAAGGAATAAACTTTGATAATTATGATAACATAGCTGTGGAAGTTACTGGAAGGGATCCAGTTAAGCCTATCAATAGTTTTGATGAGGCAGCTCTTTACGAGACTTTTAAATCAAATGTTAAAAAGGCTAAATATGTGAAACCTACTCCAGTACAAAAGTACTCTATACCTGCTATCTTAGCTGGACGAGATGTAATGGCTTGTGCTCAAACAGGATCTGGAAAAACTGTAAGTTTTTATTCTCTTGCCTTATATTTGGTAATTTCAACTTTTTTTTGACATTACAGTTTTCTTGTTTCCTTTGACATTATTAAATTTAACATGTACGTACGTTAATATACATACTTTAAAGTTAACACTCTTAAGACCTTGCTTGCCATTATATTTTGAAAATTAAAGGGAATGAAAAATGAAAACATTTCTATTCTAGATAACGTTTCCAGTTGTTGTTTGACAAATTACCTGAGATATATTATCAAAAGATATTCTAGCTTTATGTTCCTTTTGTTTTTATTCATTATTTGTAAGTGGATGTATGTATTAACAAATAAATCATTCCACTTGATCATTGTGTATTTATGGACTTTTTCAACAATTCATTAATCCCAATTGTGTTAATTATGTTTTTTGTATTTCAGGCTGCTTTTATTTTACCTGTAATGACTGGTATGATGAATAATGGATTAACAGGGAGTCAGATGAGCATGATACAAGCTCCATGAGGCCATAGTTATTGCCCCAACTAGAGAACTTGCTAATCAGATATTTTACGAAGCTTACAAATTTGCTCGTGGCACAATGTTGAAGCCCTGTGTCTGTTATGGTGGTGTATCCGTTGGTCATCAACTCTCAAAGATTGAAGCTGGTTGTCATTTACTTGTTGCAACCCCTGGGCGATTGATGGATTTCATTGGTCGGAGAAAGGTAAAATATATTGTTACAGCTATTGAGCGAATAATACTACAGGACTTTACTGTACAATTTTGTGGCTGATATTTACAATCTTAACTCTCATTCTTGAAAATTGACAAGTTTTTAAAAGTGGAGGCTGAAACAGGGTTGAAAATTGAGTGTTCTGACATCATTAATTATATGTACAGTACACTTGAAAAATTTAATTTTGGGCAATGTAAATTTCATGTACTTTAATAAATACAATCAATTTTCTCACATTGTTAAAATGAATTTTATTCAAAGTTCAATACCAACTGTGTTCTTTATCACTCATATAAATATTTTTGTAAATTAAAACTTGTTATTACCAACACTAATGATGTTTATGAGCTGTTGATGAATGTTTTTGAGCAAGAAACAGCGATATTGTAGACCTTGTGGTAAGGTTCCCTAACTTGTTAAGATTTATCTAAAATTGACTGCCAGATTCAGTTATGAATGAAATGAATAAAACAGTTAAATTTTTAATTTTAAATATCCTTAAATATACAGTTGACTTAGAAGTATCTTACCTATCCATTTGCTTTTAAGCTATTTTGAAATATTAATTATTCAAGAGCTGTTGCATATTTTTTTATTAGACATTATATTTGTCATATTTGTGAAATGATCTTGTGAAAGATATTGTTTACATAATTGTTTAAATGTTATCCACATTATATTGCTGCTGATAATTTTATTAATAACAATGTATTCATTGCAGTAAATCCTTATGAACACTGTCATAAATAATTATTTGTTCTTTCTAGTTTGCACATAAATATACGTACGAGGTCATATTATTTATTTATATTATGCTGAATAATTAATAATAAGCTAAATTATTTATGCTTATTATACTTCAATTTATGTATATTCTTAGCTTCCACATATTTTTCACAAATTTTATTGAATTTCAATGTAAATTTATCATTTTTAAAGATTTCCCTGGAAGGTCTGAAGTATTTGATTCTCGACGAAGCAGACAGGATGTTAGACATGGGTTTTGAACCAGTTATTCGCGAGCTTGCGTCAAACCCGAACTTTCCCGCTAAAACTGAACGACAGACACTTATGTTCAGCGCAACGTTTCCAGAGGAAATACAAAGACTTGCTGGTGAATTTTTAAATGATTATCTTTTTCTTACTGTTGGTCGAGTTGGTAGTGCTACTGCCGACATTGAACAGAATATTTGTCAAGTTTCTGAATTCGAGAAACGCGATAAGTTAGTCGAAATACTTAATGATGCTGGTACGTATTTTATATCGTAATTTCTTACTCTTTTTACGAAATACTGAAGTTTCAGGAAATAATTTAGAAGTATGGTATTGTTTATGGTACAATTAAAGTTTCAAAAGTTAGTGAAAATGAATTCAACTGAAGTTATGTGGAAAAAAGAGATAATTAATGTGTACTTTTTTGTGCATTAAATATTTTTTATATTTCCCCCCACTTCAACGCCATTTTTTTCTCTACTTACGTAGGCAGTGACAGAATCCTTGTCTTTGTGGAAACGAAAAGGATGGCGGATTTCTTGGCAAGCTATCTTTCGCAAACTGGTTTTCCCACCACCAGTATTCACGGGTATAATCAAGGCACTTTAACTCTGGCTTTTCTATTTTAGCGTCAATTCAAAGCAATCTGTCTACATTATGATCATACTTAAAGAATTCATCAGCACTGACATGATTTCCGAAAATTGGAAGGCTTCAAATTTATATATGCTTGTTTTAATCCGTAGAAAGCAATACATTTTAAAGGATCTTAATACGGCATATATTAAGTGCTGATACTATTGCAACCATGTCTGAGGGGTGGTAAGGATTTTGTTTTGCAAACGTAGCCAGCATGATGTTTTAAATAAGTTGTGTTTAACAAAAGTGGTGCAACTGTAGCTACATGTTATGCTCAGGTCTCGTTACAGGGTGTTCCAAAAAGCGCCAACATAGAAATTATTTTATTGTTCCTTTGACCGAAGTTTGTGTACGTAGGATATCATTAAATTTCCTTGTGTGATATCATACAAGATTGTAAACAATGAGATGATTTTTATGTTGTCACTTGAAAAACGCTGTATAGCATTAAGTGTAGTTGGCATGTTGTTTATTTCATAATAACTTATAAATAATTAATTTTTATGAAAACAGAGACAGGCAACAAAGAGAAAGAGAGGAAGCCTTATATGACTTTAAGAAAGGACGTACTCCAGTTATGGTAGCGACGTCAGTTGCTGCACGTGGTCTTGATATACAAGATGTAAAACATGTGATCAACTATGATTTGCCAAAAGAGATAGAGGAATATGTCCACCGTATTGGGCGAACAGGAAGGATTGGGAACAAGGGCAAAGCAACGTCATTTTTCCAGTCAGATAAAGATGCAAACATAGCTAGATCTTTGGTGAAAGTTCTTGGTGATGTAGGTCATTTTAATGTATTATTTCTTTCCATGTAAGATATATTTTGATTTTTAACAGTAACACTATTACTTTATACTACAGTTGATAGAAAATTTGTCGTACGTACACTCATGCGAATAGACTCGAATAGTTTTTGTTTTTGGGCTTTACGCCCAACTTCACATAGTGTTAATTTGCCAAGACATTCGTTAAAAATGAAGATTTATTAAAATCTTACACCAGAGTAAATATTTGCCAGTTTTTTGAAAGGCGTTTCACTACAAGAATTGGAAGAGTATCCTAGATCCTTCAACTAATCCTTTGTGAGTTAAATTCCCTTCAGATTACTTTCCCTCGCAAAAACACCTCGTCATTCGCCATAATTATATTCTTAGTGATATCGTAGGCCTTCATTTTTACAGGCCGAACAAGACGTTCCGGACTGGTTAGAAGAACAAGCTGAAAATGCAATTGGCACAAACTATGGACCTGCTGGTGGTCGATTTGGTGGAAGAGATACCAGAAGGGTTTGTTTATATGTTCATGTTTGCAGTCAGTCAATTATATGAAAAAAGTTTTGTCAATTGTATGACGTGTGTTGTTTTGTATGACGTATGTTGTTTTGTATGACGTTTGTTGTTTTGTATGACGTATGTTGTTTTGTATGACGTATGTTGTTTTGTTATTTTCAGTTTGATAAAGGTAACAGTGACGGTGGACATAATGATGACTTCAACATTAATGGTGGTGATGACGCTTGGGGTATAAATGACACAAAAAATACTGGAGGTCAGAGTGATGATGAATGGAACACTGTAGATGCTGGTGGAGATGAACCATGGGAATAACTTTCCCTCCCGTCCTCCCTCCCTCCTCCCTAAGAAAACAAATAATCTATTTTTGTTATTGTACATTAGAGACGTTTATATTACTCCTTGAAGACGATAAAAATATTTTGCGTAATGTTTTATTCACGATCGCTTTATTTTGGAGATTAATTGTTGTGTCAATTTATTCTTCATATGATACTGGCGAAGGGTGACTATGAAGGCAGGATTATTTATTACTGATAAAAATTTTGTTTGAACTTTTTTTCAACAAAATTTCATCAGTAAGGGTCCGGTTACGGGCTTAATTGTAGAAATATGAAACTTATAAATTCAGCAAAAATATTTCTTGTTACTTCTCTTCTGCTGCGCAGTAACTAATTTTTTTCATTTCTATGTACTAGAGCATTTCTTTTAGACTTTCTCAAGGAGCAATGGATTCGTTTTGCTGTGTCAATGATTTATAACACTATCAGTACCATTATAATCTAACCTGTTATATAACATAACATTCTCATTATAACACAAAATGTACCTGTCATTTATTTAAGAAACAAAAGATGCTTACTGTGTTTGCACAGGCTTATGCAAACCGAGGAGACCTTTGGGAGAACTCGAGAGAAGATCGGTGCGAGTGTTGCGCCTGCTCGAGAGTTCTCACAAACGTCTCCGATGTTTGCATAAGCCTGTGCAAACACGAAAAACATCTTTTATGAAATAACAATAATACGAAACAGACAAATTTAAAATAAACGTTATAATTTTTCTTCTAACATGTATTCATGATCTATTGCAAATTCTCTTTCACTGATTAATTGTTATGATTGATGTGTTGGTTAAGCTCGGATGTGTTTCACAGGCTAATGCAAACACAGCTCTAGACCAATCAGCGCACGCGTTTCATTGTGTTTATTTTATAAATCATTATAAAACTTCCCACGTACACCCCATACATTTACCTCTATAATCTTCCCTAAATACACCCCTCTCCTGTGTACCATAATAACCTCCCTAATTATCCGCCACGTGTACCATTATAACCTTCCCTTAATACCTCAGTCTCATGTGGACTAGTTCACTGTTTTCATCAATTGAGCTCATATGAATAATGTTAGCATATATATATTTTGTCACACTTTCATAACAGGTTTTTTAAGAGTTTACCAGTTGCATGTTTTGAATTATTAATAACAATATAAAAATATACGATTTGACTGTGTAACCTTTCAAACTACTTGTCTGTTGTAAACATGTCAATTTCAAATTATGATAACTACCCATACTTTGGAATTTGTTTTATTAAAGAGCTGTCAAATAAAAAACATTTTCTTCAACTATTTTAGCTTAAACCCAATATAAAGGTACTAGAATGTCGCAAACTGTACGAATATTTTCAAAATCAAGACTAAAGAAAGATAAGTTTATAACGATAGCATTCCATATTTTGTTGTGTTCTACCTTTGTAATTTTCATGTCGACACAATGGCAGTTTTTAATTCCATTTTTCCACACTTTCACCACGAATGAAGTCGAAAATCAAGAAAGATTATGCGTGCGATATCTCTCCTATCAACCTCCAGTAGGTGGATGGAATAATCAAAGAATTGCGTTTGAAAATGCATTGATTATGGCTTTGTTGTTAAAACGAACTCTTCTGGTTCAACCTCTAGCTGCTCATGGCCGTCAAATTGAGTTAAAATCCAACCATTCTACTAGTTATGATTTGTATAATATGTTGTCAATTGAAGACCTAGTTCCCCTCTCAAAACTGATCGATTTGAAAACACTTTCGTCTTTCCTACCAGTTGAAGAAGTAAACACAACTCACTTAGAGTTTTTTCATAAATATCGAAACTTCTCGTGGTATAAAGTTTGTCATAATGGCCTTCGAGAAATTTGGGTTGATGAAATGCACCCGACATTAAATATTGCTACACTTGTAAAGCGCAAACGCAAACAGAATATTCCTAAGTATCGTCAGATTTGTCCAGAAAAGAAAAAGTCGAGCTACTGGATATTTTTGAATGAATTACAATATCGCAACGAGGATATCATTTATTTTGAAAATGGTTCGTTGTTCTCTCGTCGCGTATATTTCACCAATGCAAGAAGAGCCTTAAAAGTGGAAAAGGCTATGCTGGACTGGATAAGACCCTCTCCTGAAGTGTTACATAATGTTCGAAGGGTTTTAGTTGAGATTGGTCGACCTTTTAACGCGATTCATGTGCGAAGAACAGATCATAAAAGTAGTCGAATGTTTAGCGTTAATCACTGGCTCTCCCAACTGGCTAGGAAAAAGGCCTTAAAGCGCACTAAAATGTTATACATAGCTACAGATGAGACCAATTATACATGGTTCTTTCCTTTAAAAAAAGCTGGCTACCAGCTGTTGTTTGCCAAAGACTTTGCTATTTTCCGTGAAATTATGAAGACGAATAAAATAACTGGCCAGGATATACTTGGTTATCACGAGCAAATCGTTTGCTCGCGTGCTTTAGTGTTTATTGGTTCCTCGTATTCCACATTCTCTTCATTTATCAAGCGAACGAGAGCAGCGAGATACTGGGACTGGCATCGTTTCCAAAATTTAAAATTTTTGTCAGCCAAGTTGTTGAATATTCATAAAACAAATAGTGTTAAAAAGAAGCTATTTCATGCAATACTTAATTTCAGTTAATATAATCGTAAATGCTAAATAAATGAAGTCCACACACTTGGATTTATATATCATATGAATAAAATGAGTATATTATCTATGAGAAAATTGTTTCATAATAAATTTAAATAATTTAGTACATAATAAAATGAAAAATAAGCTCATCACAAGTTATAGTTTAAATGGATCAAAATCAAAAACAGTAAACGGCACATTTTTAAAAAAAACGCGTAACTCTAATATATGACTACGAAGTAAGCAATGTTCCTTTCTAATTTTAAAACTGACCAAAGGAAACCTTGTAATAAAGTCATATAATTTACTTTTTCCTCCCTTGAAGCAGTCTTCACGTTGTTGATTTATTGCATGCAATGGTCACAAGTTGTTTATTTAGCGTTAGTTCATTTGCAACTGAAGACATCTTCATTTCTATTTTAAACGTTAAATATGTACAATGACGTGATGCACAAGCTTTACAGGACAGTTATACATGTTTAAGGATGACATTTGTATCACTAAGAAGATACGTTTGAACGATTTTTTTACGAAACCACATGAATTAAGTTTGTTCTATTTCTTCTCGAGGTTTTGCTTTTATTTCTCAAATTTTTCTGCACATGACCTGTATTTGGAATCTATCTAACGATCACTCATCGAAAGAGCTGGAATAAAATAAACATAATAACAATAGGTAATACATCGTTTCTTACATATCAACAATGTTAGACGAGTCAATGATTTATGATAACACTAGATGAGTGAAGCCTGGGTTAAACTTACATTCTATTTCTCAAAAGAGCATCCTAATATCTTCGACAAAAGTTTGTCATCAACCTTCGAAATAATATAAGTTTAGAATGCTCCAGTTGAAGAATTAGAGATTTAAAATTGTTCTTACATTTTAGGCTAAGTCTTTTCAACGGTGATGCGGGTGATACACATTCACTATTTCATCGTCTTGCTTAAAAATAATGGAGAAAGAACAGGTAGTGTTATTGAAAAATGTGCCGGTACCAAACTTACAATCATAAAAGTTTTATTTTTTTCATATTTTGAGAGTAAATTGTAGTAATAAGATTTTAGCATTCCAGTATAAGAATGACAGAACAGTTTAGTAAATTTCGCCAAACTATTTAGGAATACATAGCAGTTTGTCTTAATTTGACTAAAGATACTTGATGCAGCACAAGACCGAAAGCCAAAATGACTTGTTTTTTCATTGTGGTCCAGTCTGTGAATTTGCTACGTTGTTTGGGGTTTCATGTTGTAATTTTTGTTATCTTACTTTGGCGAATTATACGGAGTACGCACGTGCAGCACTGGATCCCTAGTAAAGACGATATGGTTCATCACGTGGCCAGTGGATCTTCGTTGTCCACTCTTTATTTACCACCTACACAAAACATGCGCTTTCACGTGACAATTGATTCAAGTCTTTACCAGTTTGCTAGAACAAAAAGAGAGTTGATTCTCGATAAGCTAATTCCAGAAGCTTTAGATTACTTTCATAAAACGTTGAAAGTTCGACCATCTAAACTTCCAATAAGGCTGCAGAGAAAGTGTCGTGATCGCCTATATTTCTTAAAAGATGTGAAAGGACAGAAAAAAGGAGATACAATATTTTGTAAAGAGGAATGTGTAAAAACTTACTGTGGTCCAGTTGAAATACCTCAAGAACATCTTTCATCTTGCAAAACATGCAATGATCGAGGTTTATCATGCAAGACGCATGAACAAGATAAAAAAGGTATTGAAAATGTAGATTTCATTCTGTACGTTTCATCTCTACCCTCGCAGCACTGTGCAAATTCAAAAACCGTTGCTTATGCATCATACTGTCAACAAGAACATATCTTGGATAGACCGATCGCTGGCTTTGCTAACATTTGTCCTAATGGAGTTAGCCATGATTCACTTCAATATCCGAGTCTTTTAGCAATGATGAAACACGAAATTTTTCACGCTCTAGGGTTTAGTGTCGGACTATATGCATTTTATAGGGATAGCAAAGGTCGACCGTTGACAGCAAGAGACGCATATGGTTTACCACAATATAATAACGATACCAATTTATTTCAGTGGAATGAAAAGATTGTGAAAAAATTCACGCGAAAAAATTGGGAAACTTCTCAGGGAATGAGAGAACATGATGTGCTAATGATAGTAACTCCTAAGGTAAAAGAGGAAGTGAGAAAGCACTTTCGTTGCAATTCTTTGGAAGGAGCAGAGATCGAGAATCAGGGATATTTTGGGACTCGTTGGACTCATTGGGAAAAGCGTATATTTGAGAATGAGGCGATGACTGGAACATACACTCAGAACCCTGTTTTTTCACGTATTACCTTAGCGTTAATGGAGGATACTGGTTGGTACGGAGTTAACTATGATATGGCTGAAGACTTAGACTGGGGTAAAAATCTAGGTTGTAAATTTGCTCAACACAGTTGTCGAACTTGGATGAGACTTCAATTGAAGAATAGAATTCGGCCATCGCCATTTTGTTACCAAATCAAACAAAAACCATTGCATTCTCGTTGTACACATAGCAATGATGCAATGGCCTTGTGTAATCTTGTGAAATATTCCAAAAATCTACCTCTAGAATACCAATATTTTAATCATCTCACAAGAAATAATCAATCTGTAATTTATGACGCAAAATCATACGGTGGAGCTGTCTCTTTAGCCGACTACTGTCCGTTTTTCCAGAAGTTCCGTTTGAAAAATCGTGCCAATAGAGCTAGAGAAACTGTTTGTCGGTTACGTGAAAATAGCCCGGATTATTACGACAATTTTGCCTTAGAAAGTTACGGTGTGAATTCAAAATGTATTGAACAAGCAAGCCGATGGATTGCACAAAGTGAACAATATATACGTACGATGATAGATTGGGGAAGTGGTTGTTACGAGTATGAATGTAAAGATGATAACTTATATATTTATGTTTCTGGAGTAAAATACAAATGTAGAAATTATGGTCAAGTTTTATACATAAACAGCACTCTTGGCAAATGGAGCATTCAAGGATCATTACGTTGTCCTCATAGTAAAGAATTTTGTCCTAGCTCTTGGGTTCTCCATAAAACTCAATCGTCAGAAAATTTTACAATGCATTATGAAATTACTGGACACAGTAAGAGTGATGGAAGCCACAGAAGTTTTCAAATGTTCACCTCTATAATAATATTATATTATCTTATGTTAATGTACTATTCTATTGATGTTCTTTAATTTCCTTAATTTCTTTAAATGTAATTTTTGTACAAAAATTGTCGTAAACTGCAATCTCGATTGTCAGACTACATTAAAGAATTCAGAGAACAATTCTACAACTTTTAATGTCACATCCTCGTTGTTGTATTGTTGCGATACTACAAACGCTACACGACGTAATTTAAATCCAATACAGATTTACAAGCTCATTTTGATAAAATTAACGATGAATAAATTACATCATTTACGTTTATTTTTAGATTGTTTATCAAAGACGTTTATATACTTTGACGCTATCTGATAATCATCTACAGAAATTGAAAACGAAAATTCTAATATTAGATTGAGACAAAACAAAATAATACGAGCCAACTATAAAAATATCACCTTGTAATGTCTTAGTGACGTGCCCAGTTTGATTTCCCTGAATTAGGACTTGAGTACCATGATTTAATTTCCCAGGCAATTGTGTAACTAAGAAATATTCGAAATTTTCTCAACCAAACATTGATAAAATACTTCGTGACTATAACATAAATATCAATAAATCATACGAATAAATTTTACAAAAATTTCCATGTTACACATTTGCTTTACCTGAAGTACTAGAAGCAGCTTTGAGTTGCAATTTATGAGAAAATTTGATGGGATCGATACCAAAGTACTCCAAATTTTGTACGAGAGTAACCTGTGGTTTAACAGAAAATTAAAGAAGAATTTAAAGCAAGCGATATTGTACACAAACTTTATTCATTTTATATGATTTATTTCACTTCATTAAAAATTTGCTTAACTCGTCCCGTCGTTCATCAAATTTTATGGTCGAATATTTATAACAAACTAGGTATGATACGTTTAACTATAAATTATGAGCTATATACTTCTTTCTCATATGATCTTCGAAAATTTTGTTCTCTTACTGTTGTAATAATAAACGCGTTATGATTTGAAACAACCATAAGCTGTACAGCACAAGTGGGGGAAGCGGAAATTCGTGCACGAAAAATTCAATAAATCAGACACCTTCTTGTTTCCCATACGTTGCTCCAGTTTTATTTCAATAACTTGTAGTTTACCTTTCCTACGAAAAAAGCAAAAAGCAGAAATAAGAGATAGTCTTTTATCAGCATAATGACATAGCCAGCTAGCTTATGTAAAAGTCCTTCTTTGTTGATTTTTCTATGTTCTTACAGGACAAAATCTTTCTGGCTGAATTTGGCACTGAAGATGTATAAGCTCAAAGCAGTGTAAAGGCCATTTTTACAGGCGAGATTGCTCGGGAAAGGCAAAACTTTTCGCGCAAAATAATTTTGCGCATGCGCGAGAAAAATTACAACATACAAATTCGCAATGCTAGAATAAAATTAAGTGTGACTTATTCAAAAACTCTATTTTTGATGTAAACAGTGAGCTGAAAATGTAAAAAACCTGATTATTGGAGATTGTCCGTTGAATTTCACGATATGACAAGGATTCATACGATCAAATGTCCTTAGATAGAAGAAACAGTTAACTTGAAAGATTCGTAAAAAAATACAGCAGCATAAAGCATGAGATATTGTTACAATACGCTCATAAATAAATCTGAACGTTGTTAATTTTTTGAAGTAGTTTTTCAACAAACCTCTTAAAAATTTCTTCCCATGAAAGAGAATCGTAATTATTTTCCCCTTTCTTGTGTACGATATTAAATAATACAGGATCAAGTTTAACCATTCTAAAAGAAATTGTAAATAAATTTAATAAATATTCATAAGACAAACAGTAATCGTTCAATATCGATCATAAATATTCAGTGAATACAACATGTATAAACCTGTTATTTTGAGAAGATATGAGGTCCCGATCTTTGATATATTTTGTCACAACTTTTCGAACTTCATTCGCCGATAGTATACTACCTTTACTACAACGAGAAAATATAGTCATAACATTATCATCGCATCTGCATACATTACTTGTGTACCCTGTCCCCTCTCCTAGCTTCAGACTATATTCTTTCCCTTTAATTATTACTCCAAGCTTCAGACTCCCTCTCCCCCTCCTTAACTATGTCTCTTAGCATCAGACTACCCCCTCCTTCCCCCTTCCTTAACTATGACTCTAAGACATGCCTCTCCATCAGACTACGTACGTGCTCCTCACCTTATTCGTTAAGTCTCATAACTTCAGACAATATGTTTGAAATGTTTCTCACAGTAGAAATCATTCAAATATATATTTGTGTATTACAATACCTATATCCTAAGCTTTGAAATAGAGTTCTTGTACATCCTGAAACTGAGAACGCCTCTTCGATTTCTGGTGGCTGGTGGTAAAAATGATAAAGATTGAACAACGTACTTACATCTTCACGTTGTCTAAACGTTACTTAAAACACATTGTAAAGACGTGTGTCATCGTCTTCAACTCACTATAATTTTCTAAACACACACAGAGAGTTCTCATCAAAGATAAATAAACAATTTTACCCATAAGGTGATTGATTGTCGAAAATTGATGTAAAAATCAATGACTACATATTTTATTCTGTACCTGAAATTTTTCATTTGAGGTTCGTTCATTTGCAATTTGACTAATTTCCTCAATGCTTTTGGAATTCTTTTTTTTAAAGGCTTTAAGTCTAAAGTAATGGAAATATTTTATTTTTCTTATGTCTGTGAGGGTTGATTATTTCCTTTTGTTGTTTATAGATCATTGTAAAGATAGATTTCTTTTTATTCTTACTCTTCATTTTCCCAATGAACCGAGTCAATACAATGTACGCCTTTTGATTGTTCTTTTGTTGTAATTAAACCTTTCTTTTCCATTACTTGAAGAAACTTTGTCAACTGAATTTAAACATAGACGTTCGTTCAACTTTCCTAATTTATCTCATACAATACGTAGGAAACGCAGCGTGAAAAGGAAGAGCCTAGAGGCCTGTCTACCCTACTTTCTTCCAAAAACACGCAACTAACGTACAACACATTAGCAAAGGGAAAATACTTTGATAACTAATTCAATATAGTTTTGTTCTATTTGATAGGTTGAAAACTTAGACAAATATTGATTACATTCACAACGTTTTAAAAAACGTTTCTGTTTCAATACCTTCTTGTAACTGGATTTCTTAATATCCAAAGATTGATTCCGTGGGCTAAAAAATTATATCTACTGAGCTAAACACACATAATTTATGACAGGAAATAAATGACGTGAACATCTTACCAGGAAAGTAGAAGATGATTTTTGTAAAATGAGCTCGTCAAAATAGGTAATTCAATATTCTTAATGCGAATCAAAGAGAACATGAAACAGTTTTCCAACAAAATGTCCATAGTATCTGAAATAAAATAACACCAAGCTGAATCAACACCATTAAAACAACATGTAAAGTTGAGACTGTTAACTGCTCAGTACGTATATGACATGCTTTGCCTTCCAAATACCCGCAGAAGGTTTATGGCTTTTCTTATATGAGACATAAACAGCCGACCAAACGCAAAAGCAAGTTTAGAAATAAATAAGTTGTCAACGTTTACAACAAGTATTCCAACAGAATTTTTGTTAAAATATGGGTTGAGAATCAAAAAGTCAGCATCAGGCACATTATGTTTGAAAGTTTTATAACCTTCAAATATGACGAAAATTGGAGAAAAAGAAAAGTGAACAGAAACATAAAACATAAAAAATACACCTGACTATCATTTCAGTAATCACTAATCATACCATAATGTGTCTACACCATAATTTTGATTCAAACTACGAATCTTACCAGTGGAAGAGTATTGATCTTCATGTTTATTGAAGATCGTATTAGTTACTTGAGAAGAATTGTTGTCTATTCTGACATCACTTATATCATCTTCAACCAAAATAAGTTCATCTCGATTCAAAGTCAACGACGATTCAACACCACAAGCTAAAGAATCTTCCTCATTCCACGATGTTTCTGTTCCACCTTCATCCGTGGTAAAATTTTCCTCAATCCGCGATGTTTCTGTTCCACCTTCATCCGTGGTAAAATCTTCCTCAATCCGCGATGTTTCTTTTCCACCTTCATCCGTGGAAAATCTTCCACAATCCGCGATGTTTCTGTTCCACCTTCATCCGTGGTAAAATTTTCCTCAATCCGCGATATTTCTGTTCCACCTTCATCATTGGTAAAATCGTCATTTAATGGAGACGACGAATGTTGCAATTTGTCAGATGGGATGTACGGAAGAGCATTTTGGGTACCATGCATCCTTAAACCAGATCCAATGATTTATTCAATTTATTAAATTTGATCATAAACATTGAAATTATGCAATGTTCACCATTCTAGTACACCATAGATGACCTTCAGTGTGAACAGTCAAAGCCATGACAAAACACGCTCAGTCAGTCAAAAAGTTTACCTAACTTTACAAAAACTGCGGTTTAAACGTACTTACCACAGTTGATCCTGATAAGAATGAAGTATTATCACACCCTTGCCTCGCATACCTTGTTCACGTGCTTGATCTGACGATACAGCTGTATAACCAACAGCAACTGGCGCCCTGAAATATGGTAAACAATGATTGGTTGACTTGTACATTAAAGAAGATTTTACCACGAATCTTCATGGTGACGAAAGTTGATGGGTTTTACGTGTGTACATTTCTTTACGTGTTTAGCATGTGAATTACGCAAAATGCTTCAGCATGCCAACAGTCTAGTTGATATCGTGTGAGAGAACAGATGACAGACGAAACAGCCTCACTAAATGTTTTATGTGACAAGTGCTCAAAGCTTTCATAACAGAGTAAAAAATATTATTTAATAAAGATTACCTGTTTCCAAGTAATACGACAGAACAAATTTGCCCTTTCAAATATTCTGTATTTTCTCCGGACTCTACTATACCTGGCAACATCAGATCTAAAACAATTATTTTAAGATATTAAGAAAAAAAAGGCAGCCAACGACATTAAGAAGTCTTCACAAATTAACTGTACCTGCTCCACCACGTAAGTTTTTAAAAACATTTGGCCATGTTGTAAATACCGGTAAAATATTTGGGTACTGCCACAAAAGATAAACTGAAAAACATTTTTTTACTTAGACATTTCAAAACGGAAATTTTTCGATGGAAAAGTGATGAAAAGACAAAATTTTAACACGATTCTCTTTCGCGTTAGTATGCCAATAAAATGACTTTTTTACATTTATGTAAATATATTTCCCACTAACAGTAGTAATAGTCAACCAAACTTTAAATGAAACTTTTAAAGTTTGTAGCGTTCCATTTTTAACCTCTAGCTCCAAATTTAGAAAGTTAATCTAAAAATCATAGAATTATAACAATTTTCTTAGAAAATTTAAATTGCAGCTTTGTTTTAATCCAATTTTCAATAGATAATAATTTAAACTCATGAAATATGCATTTATAACTCATAATGAAAGAGACAACTTATGCCCAACCTCCTGAACCACAACTTTTAATTTAATAAATTATTGAAAAAAAATGATGTGGCTTGGAATGGAATTTATAATTTAATATCACAAACCTGTGGGGTAGTATTTTTTCTCAACTTGAAAGAGTATCGGAGTTCCACAATGAAGAAATGCTGTGACACTTTTCCCACAATTTGTGATTAATTTCATTACAGATATGTCATCCTTGTTTGGTATAATCTCGGATGCAAGCTCAGTTGTCACATTTGAAAATTCCAACAAAACATCATTTCTTAATTTTCGTCTAAACATGAGTAATGTGACAATATGTTGTATAATTAAATCATATGAACGTGAAATACATTTTTCAAATTAAATAATTTGATTTTAAAACACAATTATAATTGGTTATTTAAGTAATGCACAACTAGAAATAGAATTTTTTGATATTTTTGTGAGCAGCCAGTAGAGGTAATACTTTATTACATGCCCTTTCTTGCCAAATGCTTTGCAAATGTGTTAAAGTAAGCTTGCCATATACTAGTATGGACATACACTAGCTAAGGTATTAAGATTGACAAGCTTGATTCATAACATAAGACCTTCATAATACTAAAATGTGGAAAGGAAACAGTACAAGTTATTGAATATTTGTCTTCAGTGAATTAGTTTCAGTTAGTGTGCACAAATAGTCAATTGGAATGCATTATTTTTCAAAACATAAAGAATTCATCCATTTAGTTCAAAAATTTTTACCAACCTATCAGAACCTCGAATTGCAGTATTGGATTTAATTCGAAAGCTCTTGAGAAACATTTTGTGTTGTTTATTTTTAACACATTTCTTCGTTCTCTCTGAATTCACAAAATCATCTCTGAATTCATTAAAATAACTTCAAATTGGAAGACCAGTTATTTTGAGAACCAAAATTACTTACAGACTTTAAATAAACAGAATATAAGTTATTTCAATGAATTTCACTCAATCAATAATGATAATTGATAACTTCACGTCGACAAACTTCAAATCAGAAAACTTTTCCTCAAATTACAACTCTTTCCATTCCAATTTCCATCATTCTTTCATTGTAGGTAATATTACATGAAGTATTAAAATCGCGATGTAAGCATTCGAAATCGAATAAAATTTTCTGTCGTGGAAAAAAATTTTTGGGAACTTTTTTACTAAGAAAACGCTCGCATAATGTATGTAATCCAAATCTAAGTATTTTTATTATAGAAGTTTTTCAGTTGGAACTGTAAGTTACGTTTGAATTGTGTCCATTGGGATTGTGACGTGATGAAAACTTTTCCAATGCATTAATATTGTTTTAATGAAGTGGAAGTGACCGATAGATGTGATTGTTAGGTTTCCTGTGTTTCTGTCACAACGTTTCTAACACACAACGTTACAGCCTACTGTACAAGGGAAACATGTGTTAAAGTCTCTTTATTATTACTATATGAACACATTGTGAAGATTCTTCATGTTTTCCATTATTTCACATTAAATCCCGTGAAACTGACTCGACGCAGGAGTTGATTGTATTTATTCTTCACTAGTTTTGAGCATCACTGCATACCCAGATGCCTGTTATCAAGAACAGTTTTACTATATTGACTATATAATGGATTATTTCGTCTAAAGATTATGTAGTCTAGCTGCTACTTTTGAAGGTATGTTGAATCTTATCTCATCAAGAATTTCTCATTCGAAAACTGCTGACATTGCCTTGAATAAATGGGGTGAACAATAATTTTCATTTGTCATTGTTGAAGCTACGTTAATGGCAGCTCTTATTTTAAGTCAGGTGTTCATGTAAATATCAGTAATATAGCTCTGCAAGCATTAAATATAGCCCAGACGTACATCTTCCTACGCATCTCGTAAATAATATTGATTTACTAATAATGTAAATATGCGATCGTTTCACGGCGTGGGTGACACTCCATGAAGATTGTCCATGAACATTTTTTAAGCATGTTAAAGCTTCGAATGTCATCTTAAGGTCGTGAATAGTGTGAACTTGAAAATTATGTGAGGAGTTATTATATTTTATTTCTATTCACATAAATGTAGCAAGTTTATGGTTGCTGTGCGTTTTTAACATTATTAGAGAATTTTCTTTCGACTTCTGCTGTATAATAAATGAATGAAATATTTTCCGTTAATACTGTTTTCATTTCACGGGCGTAAATTGCACATAATGTTTTCATCATCGTTACATTTTGAAATTGATATTTTTGCTTTTTTTTGCACAGGGGATGAAAAATTCTGAGATAATTTTTCTTAAGGTGGAGCATGGGAGAAGTCTACAATACACCTGCCTGAACAGATTGTGTTGGTTTTGCTATCAGAAAATGCTCATATTTTAGTGATACAACAGAGATAAAGCATTTCATCATCATGATGAGTCTAGATATGTTGAGCACTTTCTAGCTAGTAAATTTATGTCAAAGGTAAGTATTATATTCTTTTAGATATATCACAATTTATAATCTTCACAAAATTTTAATTAGATAACAGTTTGTCTCTGAAATTCAAATGCATATTAATTGATGCTTGAGGTAATTGAATTGCTTCATTGTTGCATGAAAAACTGCTTCAATTTTAGTTATAGATAATGGTCAAATCTTGTGTACCTACCGTGAAATGTTACAATGTATATAGTAAATGGAGAATTGCAATATGTATTTACTGAACATGTTGTATCATACAAAACATTTATTGCTAAATCTGGATGTAGGATTTTACCCATATTTATTCAAGTCTGAAGTCCCATTATCGAAATTTGTAGTTTTTGGTTTTGTGAAAATGAAAATACTACATATACAATGTTCTTGTTTTATCAACACTGCCACAAACTCTTGTGGTTATTTCAAAATGATCAAATTTTTTTATGGCCTAATTCATGCTGTTTTAAAAACTATAGATATTGTAAACAAATTTTATTATCAATGTCTGTTTGATTGCTTTTCAAATAATCATTATTTTTATCATAAATATATCATGCTCATTCAAAGCTCAAAACAACTACTCAGTTTCTATTAGAAATGTGTATCTGTGCATTAAAAAAACTCTATTTCATCATAAAATTTTTCTAAACTTCATCTTCAAAGTTTGTTTTGACGTCATCATTGCATATTAACATGTTTATAACATAATATTTCATTAAGTGATGGGAACTTGTTTCACCAAACATGTTAAGTCCGTAAACCTTATATTTCATGATTTGTAAGTGCACCAAATTGATGGAGGCTAAGATGTAAAATTTGTTTCTCATTTCATTATAAACTGTTGAACTTGTAAACAAATTTCAAAAGTTTGCTAGTTTATACGATTTCAATTTAGATTAAATTGAAAATATGAAAACCATGTGCCATGAACTGGAACTGTAGTAAAATTTATAATCTATTTAATATGTTTCTTTTTTGAAAGTTAATTATGTTCACTATATTTTTATAGTGTCAAATTTTTTTAAAATGGATGAAAAAGATATACAATATAAAGATACAAAATCAGATGTTGGTGAAATCATCAAGGAGGTATGCTCAGATCAGTGTGAAAATCAACACTGTGCGATGTGCAATTTGCACATCGTTTTCGCTAAAATAAAAAAAAATTGCACATCACTTTTTCAAATGATATGCAAAAAACTTCTTTAATGATTACTACCACATAAATTAAAAAAGTTTTCAAGCTTAATCTTTACTGATCTTTACTCTATAAACAAGTGTGCCAGACGACATTAAAATCTTAGGCCATGTAGACACAATGTCATCAAATTCAAAGACGTCGTCACAATCATGTCTGTCAACAGTTGACATACATGATGCTTATATGCTTATGACTTTACAAGCCTTAAATAAAAAAAACCTTAAATAAGCCAAATTTGAAAAATAATTTTCGGGAGCCAAATGTGAGAAAAAGAAGCCAAATTTGTCCCAAATAAGCCAAACTGGCTACATTGACCAAGCATACTTTTTGCTTTTACACACTGTTTGTAATATGACAATATGTTTTTCATTATGATTAAACATCAATAGAAGCATAAGGATGTTACTGTAAATAATCAGAAGAGTGCCTCTGGAGAAACATTTTTGTTAAAAAATTGCATACCATTTTTTCTCAACTAATTCGCGTACTGGCTCAGATTCTATCATTTCTTTGTACCATCCAATTGATAAATCCTTTCAATTATGGGCTTGTGTGTTTTTGCTTGAGGCTGAGCTGATAATTAAGACTTGATATGTTTTCTCATTTATGTATGTTAAGATTAGTTGTGTAAATTTGTATCTTTTCTTTTTTTTCATTGATATTTTTATAAAAGAATTAAAGTACCATATCTATATAATCTCATACTATGGGATCAAGTTTGTCAAAACTTCTTTCTCTATCAATTACCTATTTAAAAAGTTAAGGAAAACGTAAAATTTCTTACATGTTATTTGGAAACAATATATTTTCTGTGTACGTATTTTCAACATTCTGTTGCCTGCTTCTTTTGCGATTTTGTTCATGTCAGTTATTATTGTGTAAAAATTGTGGAATTGAATAATATTCCAGTGTTATATTATTTTAGGACAGTGATACAGGATTGAATCTCTATAAAGAAAATAATGTGAACTGTACTTGTACATCAAGTCCTGCTCAAAAAAATACTGTCCATGTACAACATGCTCATTCTTTTCAAACTAGTGTTGTGGCAACCACTGTGTTACCAAGAGTCCTATCTGAGGTAGAGAATTTTAATTGTATATTTTGCCTTGTTGATGACTGTTTATACAAAGCTTGAGAAAACATTTTTTTAACTTGGTCTTTTGGCAGTGGGTATGGATAATTTGAAAAAGTTGTCACGGAAAGATTTTTAGCAAATTATCAACAATTTAGATATTATGTACAATTGGCTATGATCTAATTCCAGCAATCCAAACTAAGGATTTTGACTCGTGCTCCAGCTGTTCAGAGTATGTCATCAAACTTGTCGGAAGAATCTGTTGAGGTATATGATGTTAGTAATTGAGTTATTGTTTATGGAAAGCATTGTATTATGATGGAAGGATCAATGTCTCACATGTCATTGCATGCATGCAGCTGAATCTGACAAAAATAGTTAAATGCATTATGAAAGGTTGTTGGATGAGTTGTTTAAACATCAGTTTGGACTTCGCAATGGTTCGCATCAAAATGTTTTCCACAAACAAACTTGCTTGAGATTGAGGAGATTCATCTTAACCTTACCATTTAAGATTCAAATATGAATGTAATTTTGACTTTGAGATAATTTTACCGATCATTTTGAAACAGTGACAAGTCTATTTAATCACTCAAAATAATTTTAACATTAATTTGTACATGATGTACTTATCAGAAAGATATTAAATAATGGAGCTTTATTACTGCAAATGACAGGAGACGCCTAGGTTTGCTCAACATGACTGCCTTGATTTATTGCAATAAGTTGACATTTCATTTTAAACTTTTCTGTTAAGGATGTTGCAATAGAAAGTGAAACAACACATCAACCATCCAGTAAGGATACAGATTCTGAGTCTGGGCCATCTAGTTTATCATCATCTCGAGGTAAACCTTTCAACACATACTTTTATTAAATACTAGAAAATGCACTCATCATGTATTTTAGGTGTATTATGTTTCATTTTGGATTTTTTATTTCAAATAAAATTTCATAATGTATATCAAAAGAATATATATTATATATTAATCCTAACACGGTTTTTTTAATATGCACATGAAAAACATGTGACTTGGACGTAATTTGAACTCGCACCTTCGGGATACTAGTCCGCCCCTCTACCTGTTGAGCTACCAAGCCCACAGGGATTAGAGACGAGTCAAATCTCTTTTAAACTGCGTATGGACGAGATTTTCTCGCCACTATAGCAGTTTACTATCAAAAGATGTTCGACATATTCCTAAATGATATTTTATTACATGTTTCCAAAGGATGCCTGATGAATATCAAGTTAGCACACAATGCCTTTGTAATTTAATCCTATTGTAGCCCTTTCAAATCACAGACGCTATGACATTATGGAAATGAATTTTGCTTTCACCATACACAATGTTTTGAAGCTTTTGTCTGTGCAGAAAATAGGAAAAATTGTTTGAAAGGTTATTTTCGCATCCATCATATTGAAAATGTTGAGTTGACTTTTTTTATAGAGAGCTCTTTAGATTATACTGACTCAACTGGAACAGACTTGAATGAGTTTATTATAAAAACTTTAAAAAATCCCAGGTAAACGAAACAACATGTATGTTCAAGTTTCTAAACAATGTATGTATGTAGTGTTATGTTTTACTTCTGAATAGTTCTTTCGTGTAATTTGTATGTCAATAATACTTCGTAAATCGAATCTAGAGTACCTAATACGTAATAACATAGGATGTATTTTTACCAAAGCATCGTGGAAGGAGGGGGCGTTTAAGTGCATTATGAACGTGGAGAAACTCCTCCCAGCCTCCCAGAATTACTTTACCTAAGAAAATGGTGTACATCCAGTGTTTTTCCTATGATTCACGTCTTTCATTAAAGAGTCATCTCAAATTTGTTTTTCAGGGATAAGAAACTGTTGCTGAAACTCGAAAAGGATTTTATTGGATTCATCTCCGATCCATTGTATGTAACGACATATGGTCCTTTATGGACACATCTATATGCGTCATTTCATAATCTTTGGTTTATGACCCAGGCTACGGAACACGCGTTGACATAATTATGAGAAGGAAGATGACACTGCTAAAACATGTTGATATTAAGTCATTTTTTACAGGAAAGTCTTGCTGCAATATCCACCAATGACATCATATCATCGAATGATTGTACATCGTGTCGCTGCGTACTTTGGTTTAGATCATAATGTTGATCCCACAGGCAAATGTATAATTGTCAATAAATGTACAAATACAAGATTGTAAGTATTGTATGTTTACTTTTGAAGTGAAATCATCTTTAAAATGATCAGAAGTCATTTAGCAATTACGATAATGATTCGAAAATCATCTTAACATTATCTTGAACCTAATTAAACTTTACAAAAAGATTATTTAAAGCTCTTAATTCAGCTATTACATCTGTTTTATATAAAATGAACGATAGATAGAATTGCTTTTAAATTAATTGATTGTGTTTTGTATATTTTTGCGAAAAGTCATGTTTTATCAAATTGTTTGTTTATAACAACCAATATATTTATTATTTAGTCCGGAACATAGATTTATAGACTTGGTTCATGAAGATTCTGAGGAAGATCCTTCGCCGAAATTAATATTAAAAAGGCAACAATCGCTAAGCGATGATTCAGGACTACACGAGGTGTGTTTTTTGCTTCAGTTAATGTTTTACGTAAACTGGAATTCTGGAGCCAGTCTACGAATTTAATCACTCTTCTTAATAGTGCCAGGCTTTACTTCATCTTTATTCACCTTTTCAAGCCGTCTTTTTCCAAAGCAGTGGCGGATCAGTACTCATTTGACAGGAGGGGTGTTCAGAATTTTCAAGGGGGTTACTTCGTTATCTCAGCTAAAGTTGCAAGGACCGGGCTATTGTGGATTTTAGGGTTACACATGAGTGCATCTTGCGTAGTGAAAGTGTTATTGTGGATTTTTAGGGTTACACGTGAGCGCACCTTGCGTAGTGAAAGTGTTACTGTGGATTTTTAGGGTTACACGTGAGCGCACCTTGCGTAGTGAAAGTGTTACTGTGGATTTTTAGGGTTACACATGAGTGCACCTTGCGTAGTGAAAGTGTTACTGTGGATTTTTAGGGTTACACGTGAGCGCACCTTGCGTAGTGAAAGTGTTACTTTGGATTTTTAGGGTTACACGTGAGTGCACCTTGCGTAGTGAAAGTGTTACTGTGGATTTTTAGGGTTACACATGAGTGCACCTTGCGTAGTGAAAGTGTTACTGTGGATTTTTAGGGTTACATATGAGTGCACCTTGCGTAGTGAAAGTGTTACTTTGGATTTTTAGGGTTACACATGAGTGCACCTTGCGTAGTGAAAGTGTTATTGTGGATTTTTAGGGTTACACATGCACCTTGCGTAGTGAAAGTGTTACTGTGGATTTTAGGGTTACACATGAGTGCAGTATTACTGTGGATTTTAGGGTTAAAGTTATTACTGTGGATTTTAGGGTGAGCGCAACTTGCGTAGTGAAAGTGTTACTGTGGATTTTTAGGGTTACACGTGAGCGCAACTTGCGTAGTGAAAGTGTTAATTTTAGGGTAGTGAAAGTGTTACTGTGGATTTTTAGGGTTACACGTGAGCGCAACTTGCGTAGTGAAAGTGTTACTGTGGATTTTTAGGGTTACACGTGCGTAGTGAAAGTGTTACTGTGGATTTTTAGGGTTACACATGGGTGCACCTTGCGTAGTGAAAATGTTTCTAGTTTTTTAAAACATTTTGAATGCGTGTTAAGTAATTTGATTTAAATGCTTTTTGGTGGTAGTATAAAATATGTAATTGCCTTTGAAATTACATAGCCTTACTGTACAGTTATATTAATCGTCTATCGTTTATTTGTTCAGAGACGTAGTACGCATTCTCGACGTTCCATGGAAGGCAGAAAATCGAAATCAATCGAAGAACGTGAAGAAGAGTATAAAAAAGCTCGTTCAAGAATATTTAATCACGGCTCGTTGTCATCTCAATCATCAGCATCTTCGAAAGATGGAGAGTCAGCATTATCTGGTACAACTGATATGTAAGTATATTTTCAAGATTATTTTGTTGAGCGTTGTGTGTACATAAACCACTCTGTCCGTGTATAGTTTTGGTTATATCCTTTTCTTACTTGCTTTTCTATGTTGAGTATTTGTTAGCTATCGATGTCTTGATATGTTCGAGACATTCTACCTTAAATATAAATAAAATCATAATTCATGTCTTTAACATAATGATATGTTTTGTTTTTCACATGAAGCGATGACGAACCTGAGAAAACTCATGATTTTTTCGATGCAGAGAAAACTACAGAAGTGTCGAAGACAGGTACAAATTCTAGATTCCTTGTCTTTACCTTTTCCGTATTCTCAAAAAAATTATTTGATATTTTTTAGCTGTTAGAGTTTTGACAAACCGTGCACGAACACCAGAAGATAATCCAAAATTAACTTTGGAAGTTAGTTCAATTAGTGAGGCAAACACCTGCCAGGCAACTCCTGGAACTACTGTAACTGAGTCTGGTAATTACTCCAGTACAAATCGTCGGTCCGCGGATTGCACGAATTTTTCCCCAGAAGGTACGTCCAATGTCCCAAGAGGAAATATCGAGGAGACTACACGAACGAGATACATGGAAATGATTCCTCAAATTTCTCCCAATCAAACAGGTAAATAATTCAACATCATAATTATTTAAACTATAATATTGTACCATAGTAAGGGTGCATTTAACAGGCCTCATTAATCGCGATTGTCATTAGTGTAACTATTTTAGTCTTGTGTCAATGCTGTTGCACTAAGATGTTTCCCATGTGCTTTAGGTGGTGTCGTATGGACTATTCCTCCGAATCAAGTTTCCTTCCAACAAGGACAGGTTCCAATCTATCAAACTAATGAAAATCAAGGTAATGATCTTCACGACACATGAGTATTGTTTTATTTTGTTGTTATTGCATCAAAACATGTGATTTTGAAGTATTTACATATTTTACATAAAAAAATTAAAAAGTTATGTAAAGTCAGCTTCAGCAAACTTATTAAGGCCATAAACCTTACATTTAATGCTTTGAAAGTGCACCAATTCGATAGAAATGTTTAGTAAAATGAAATCATCGATAATTTCAGGTCCACAGGTAGTAAAACCAGAAAGTTATACATTGGGAGCTCAACAAGCAATTGCTGCACCAACATTTTACTTCGCGAACAATCATGGAGCAGGCGTTGCCATGGTTTCCCAGCCGTCACAAAGACAAGAAAATAATGGTCAACAATTGCCTCATAAAACTTACCCTACGCAAGCTGTACCATTACCTCCACAGTTTGTTAATCCGACTTCTTTTCCTGTGTACCAATCCCCAAGAGTGTACACACAACAGGCAAGTTTTTCTTTAATTTCTCATGATATTATTTTTTCTTTAATTTCTCATGCTATTGAAAACAACCCTAAAACACTTGTGTTAAATTTAATTTACTTGTGTTAAATTTATTGAAGTAGATTTCCTAGTTGGTTTTTGTTTTGCGATTAAAATATTTATAATTTAAACTGTATCATCACAGTTCGCAATTATTCTGTCTTAAAACTGTTCCGTTGCGCGTTTTTTCTGAGATGTTAGAACTATTCGACAATAATTAACGTTTAATCTTCAATGACTACAGGATTTGGATATGTTACCTTGTCAACAAAAGAACACTACAAGCGTTCAAGGTGGCTCAGCGACTTCATATCAAGAAATTAGCAACCAATTTAGTGGCATTGCTATAAATCACATTGAACCTGAGAACCCCACGTTGTCAAAACAAGCTGGATTTTCTTCAAATTCGTCCCAAGCTTTCCCTTCAAGTAAAGCAATGCATTTTGTTGTGTACCGCAATGTGCCAGGAACGATGGTAATGAATTCTGCCGCTAATCCCAGCCCAGTAAATTCTGCGTATGTTTATCCATCACAATCACCAAATACCTATACGCAACAAGGGTACACTCCTCAGGTTTATACACATGTGTACCCGGCATCACCAAATTTCAACCAAGGATATCATTTAGGAGAGCAAACGATGCTTTCCCATGGAAATAGTACTTGTACTCCACCAACTCCTTCTCAAGGTGGGCCAACTTTAAATGCGAACCCTCCATATATACATGCTCAAACAGTACCTGTAACTACAGCATCTGTAAAGATGACGAATCAGGTAGTTAACCCAGGTTTGCTGCCTCCCCGGTTAATGAATCCCTATGGTATTCAAGGACAACAGGTTATTCAAATACCTGCGAGACCGCAGTTGTATGGTTTGACGCAGGTTCCCTTTACTCCTGATCAAAACAGAACAAACTTATCACAATCCAATCGTTATGTGGCGTTTTCAGAAAATGCTGCTGCTAATGATATTTATACGCCGGATTCAAGGCGACAATCTTCCAATGATTATTTATCTCGTTCAACTATGTCCTCGAGTCAAACTAGAAGATCTGGTGCTGCCTCTTCTAGAAGCAAAAATGATGCGCAAAGGTTTGTTGAATATAAGTAGGCAAAAAGCTTGTTGTCTTAAAGTTAAGATTCTGCTTTATTTGTTTCCATGATATTTTGTATTTTTGTATCATTTTGTTCACGTGTATATTAGGATAACAATCTGCAATATAAAATTATTGGTTTATGTTTTATTAACAAGAAATCAACATCATCATGCTGGCAAAAGTAGACAAAAACACAAGAGGTCACAGCAGAAACACAGCGTTGATGTATGTCGAAAACAATATCACAGTGGCTCTTTTCCTAGTGGTTCGTCTAGTTCTGAACTGGATCAAGCCACACAAAGTGGTAAGTAAAGTCTAAGAAAGGGAAACCTGCTTTTATTTCTGTTTTTTAACAGTCTACTGAACATGAATAATCCATCATTTTTGATTTGCAATTCGATGAAATTAAAGTTAACTAAAAGTACTGGCTTTGAAAAACTGGATTTGCTCTTTTGCTTTTGAAAAACCTCGTTTTCTTTTGAGAAATTTTATTTCTTTTCATCTTAGATCAGTACTAGTCTTCCTTTGTTTCATATTTCTTTACTTTTCAACGAGGGACAGTCATTATTCTACCTATCTTTTCATCGTCTTTCCATCGCCAAAACTCATTCCACTTGTAACTTAATACCATTCCTTGTGATAGGTAGGGTTTTTTCGCCATATGATACGCAATATTTCGCATTTTTCATTCTCAGGACGCAGCTCGTGTGTCCTAGAAGTTTATGATGTCAACTTGAATTCACGTGATCAACATGAGGTTGAGGAAGACTTGCTTCAAGCCGGAGCGAAAATTAGCTGGGATGAAAACATCAGTAAACATTCCGGCAAGACATTAACTGCTAAAGCCACTTTTAGTTCAGATGAACAAGCTGAACAAGCTTTATTGAAGAACTCCAATCAAAATTATAAATTGCGTCGATGTTCCAATGATATTCCCTACTCGTAAGTCAGAAATATTCATAGGATTTTATGTAATTATTTTATGGTTTTTTAGTTAGAACGCATTTATCGCGTTAATTTTAAAAAAATAATGTTAGAGTAATAATATGTTATGATAACATTGATTAATTAAATTGAGAAAAAAACCATTAAAACAGCGGTTGTTCTTAGGAAAATGCCATATATCTTTAAGTCATTAACGAAATTGTTGAATGTGATTCGACTTGCATATTTTTTTATGATTGGGGCAACTCCCCGAAGGCTCCGAACCACAACTAAATAGTTTCAATGATATGCAGGCTTTAAAAGTTTTGGTTGGAGAAAAATGTCGTCGAGTGTCGATTGGTCTTCATTTGAAGAAAGTGGATACGATTAGCTAGTTTAGAGATGCAAACCTAGAATGTAGGTTTTTTTCTCAATACAATTATCAATTTCATTCACATTCATCGAAATTGAGAAATCTTTACGGTATGCATTTATCAGAACCATCAATTACTGTTGTCATTTCAACCCCTAGGCAACTAATAAAACGTCAGGCGTTGATGATAATCGGGGTCGAAAAGTAGTCAACACACACGAACCAATCATAGCATAGTCTTTAAATATTTAACCAATGAGGAGCTTGAAAATCAATATCGTCCGGAAACTGAGTTGTCCACCATGGAACACGTGTAGTTGAAATATCTATTTCGATATTACCATATGGGATATACATTTAATTGGTTCAGTCGTTGCTGACGTTCTTCAATTCAGATGTTGTAGCATTGTGTGTCTCATTTGGTAGCTTTTACATGTTGGAATACTTACCGCTTCATGTAGAGGTACAATATATTGTTTTTTTGTACTCAAGTACTACATATCGAGCTGTATACATCGCCAATATATAAATTATGAAATGAACACCGGCGATCTGCACACAAGGAGTTCATTTGCCATATGTAAATATTTATGAAAGAAATATTTCGACCGCATGCTAGAGATTTTTTTTGCATTCGTTAAATTATAGGGAATCCTGCCTTTGTGTATTGGGTATTTTACCGGTGAAATAATAGCTGGTTTAAGCATGCCTAGGAATTGTGTATAAAAATCATGTGACGAAGCGTGGAAGTTCGTCCTCGGTCTATTTACATTGAAAAGTTAGTAGAGCTGTTTGATGTTGCCTTGCCATTCATGGATATATCGTTATGTTTGTTTAATAGAGTGTCGAACAGTATTGCGAAATGGCTGTGCAGCCAAATAAGTATGAAGAAGTAGGAGAAATTGGTACAGGGGCTTATGGTACTGTTTACAAAGCTAGGGATTTGTTGAATAACAATCGATACGTTGCTCTTAAAAGAACATTGATCACCAACACCTCTGAAGAAGGACTTCCAGTTTCAACATTGCGTGAGATAGGCTTGTTGAAACAGGTAAACAAAATTGGACATAGAAATATAGTCAGGTAAGCCTTTAGTTGCGGAAGTTTTTGGAATTTATGCTGTTTACTTGGAATCAAATTGCGTGAAATCCTCTGCAAAATTATCTTTTTTAGCCGTTTTATAATCTTATAATTTCCACACTTTTCTTAGCGACGTAATACATTCGTAAAGATTGATATCTTTGTAATTTTGTTGTAAGTTATATCTCTTGCAGGTTGCTAAGAAGTGCCGTGAACGAAATTTGATCTTAAACAGACTTTACTTGTCAGTTCATTAACTTCCTAGGCTACAAGAATTCTTTCCCCACACACTTCCAATTTTTACAAAGCTATAGTTTTTTGTCAGTGTCTGATTATATTCCTTTATCTCTATATCATAATTGATAGATTTTAATTTTTCACTTCCACCTCTATTCTTTGCTAAAAAGTTTATTCAATAGTGCAACAAATAGCTAATTGAATGAACCGCGATTGAGTTTCACTGTTCACATTATGGCAATTTGTAATCCTGCAAAAAAGACCATTCAAACTTAATTGAATGACAACAACACAGCACATTTCACCATATACAATGAATTCTATACAAATTTCAATGCCAATGTCTTAATTTGCATTGCTTTTGTTTGCAATGTGTTTAATCATGTCTGACTATTTTACTCCAAACCTTGAACGGTCCTAGTAGAGAGCGATAACACAATAATTTATATTAAGTTGATTATATTTTATATATATTTTAATGTGTTGACTACTTGAGTTGTGTTGGAAACTTCGTCAAACTAATGGTTCACTGAATAAAATGTTTAGACTTCATTTTCATGATAATTGTCTTCCTGTTTTTTCATAATGATGTTTTGTTGTGTCCGACGCTTTGAAATTAGCTTTTCTGGTTTATGTGTTTGGTTTTTTTAGCCAAAAGCAATGGCATGGTTTGCCAATATTAATTATAATGAAACTCAAAGCTTCGAATAAAATATTATCTTTGGAATAAAATGTTGGATTTTTATCATAAACGAAAATAAATTATTTCTGTTTCATTAAGTTCTAAGGAACTGTGTATTTGTTGTAGACAACACGTTCATTATCGAATTTAGTCTCCTCCTTGCAAGATACATATGTCTGTGGAAACGATCTTTCTTAAATCCGCGATAAGCTCTTCAGGAAATGAATGTTTCTCATTGAATTGTTGAATTACTTTTAAAGAATTGATGGCTTATATAATGAAAACAATGTCTACTTTCATTTTTCGTTTGTTTTCCCCGTGAAAAGGAATCCCTGGAATTTACATCAACCCTCTACACTACTCATCTTACATTTATTTCATTATCTATAAAGCAGGACAGTCTTGAACATTATAGGCTTATGTTTCACATAGCTCAGAATGGGGTAATAATCAATATCCAACAGACTTGAGTGATGGGTGGGGTACTCTATTTAGGAGTAGGTGTCAACTTGTCTGGTTCTTTTGTAAAAACTAAACGGTATTTTTACTACTAGAGAAACTCTTTTGGAAAATTGGAGACGATAAAGGACCATGAAAGTGGAATGTCATCAGAATAATACACTCCGATTGAATAACATTCGTTTCTTACACAAGCAAATGCGACTGAAATACAAAACATAAATTAAATGTTATTCCATCGTAAACAAAATGCACTTAGCTTGAAAATCGTCCCTTTTCAACTTTCTGTCCGAAACTCAGACACATTTGGCGACTAAAACTTTTTTTCTTCCAAAAATCAGTATTAACGTGCGTTTGGTCAAAATTAGGTGCTGAGTGTTTTAACGCCGTTGTGATTTTGTGAACACACGAATACAACAGGGCAAATCATGTATGTTTCTCTTTAGTCTTTTGGATGTCTTTCATTCGCCCCACAGTGCATCTAAAAAAGAAATTTGGCTGACGTTGGTTTTCGAGCATGTAGAACAAGACTTGACGAGCTATCTTGAAAAATGTCCTTCACCGGGAATTTCTTCTTTCACCATCAAGGTTTGCGCCAATGTTCATCGCAATCTTTGTGTTGAAGATGTTTAGATAGTGATTGGCCTAATAGTATTGTATGTATATCACTATGGATGATTTTGCTTAAAACATATATTCCCTTGAGTTATCGTGTATGCAACATGACGCGCGAGTTCCCCGTTTCCTAATGGGTTGATGCTTAAACTAAACGGATCAATACTATACAATGATATTATTTTTTATATATTTAAAGCATGGAACAAGTCGTCTTCAGCTTCATGTTGTTTAAGAGACGTACCATTACTTTCAAATTAACATGAATAAAGCATGTGTTTTCTTGGCCCTGAGTTTGTCAGTACTTTGTTTCGACTGCCATTGAATGGTGACAATTATAAAGTAACTTTTAAGAAGACGAAAAGAGGAATTCAAGAAAATTCATTGTTTGAATAATTTGCAGAGCATTGTTCATCAAATACTTAAAGGGATTGATTTCCTTCACACGCACCGTGTCGTTCATCGAGATTTGAAACCACAAAACATTCTCATTACAAATGATGGCTGTGTAAAGGTTGCGGACTTTGGACTTGCTCGTATTTATGGGTTTTCGAAGCTACTAACATCTGTTGTAAGTCAATTATGTTTTATTGTATTGGATATCTTATGTGCTTTAACCGACAACACAGGAGGGCGCAATTACCTCTTCCCTCCCTTCCCCCCTTAAAAAACCTAAGTGGATAAGTTACGAAGTTTAAACACAATTCTAACAAGAAATATGGGAGAACTAGAGCGGTTTGATTTCGCTATTCGCCTCCACTTATGCCTTTATACGTTATAGTGTTCGTACGTACGATACTTCTTGAACATTTTTGTCCTAATTATCTGTGATGGTAATTACTAGATGAGCTGTGAATTTCATTGCATTTTACGTATAAAATATTTCTCTTTAAAATATTTTGTTGAAGAACTTCAATCATGTCATGAACGTCTTCGTAGGTTGTTACATTGTGGTATCGTTCACCTGAAGTTCTTCTGCGTTCTGATTACGCTACGCCGGTTGATATATGGAGTGTAGGATGCATTTTTGCCGAACTATTCAATCGTCGACCGTTATTTGAAGGCAGAAACGAATGTGATCAACTCCACAAGATATTTTGGTTAGATATCTTTATATCATTTGTGACATTTTTTATTTTAAGGAACTTGGAAAATCTCACATAATACCTTCCACAAAGCCAGTTAAATTAAACCTTATTAGATCTTTGTTTATATGCCAGCCTTATCGTGGACGTCAGAAGAGTTGCTTTAGTTTTTGATTGGAGATGCTCATGTAACAATCTATGCAGTGGTAGGTTAATGTTGTTTGATGAGTGGGGATTATCGGGGACGATATTTGGTGTATGGGCATGATCGAGGACGATGTTGAGGGATTGGTTGTGGACGATATTTTGTTAGTGGAAATGGTTTGGGGATGATGTTTGGTCAATGGGATGATTGGCGACGATGTTCGATCAGTGGGGATGATTGGGGACGATGTTCGGTCAGTGGGGATGATTGGGGACGATGTTTGGTCAGTGGGGTGATTGGGGACGATGTTTGATCAGTGGGGATGGTTGGGGACGATGTTCGATCAGTGGGGTGATTGGGGACGATGTTTGATCAGTGGAGGTGATTGGGGACGATGTTTGATCAGTGGATGATTGGGACAATGTTTGATCAGTGGGGATGGTTGGGGACGATGTTGTGAGTGGGTATAGGATGGAGAAAGGTATTGGTTAAATGACCGTGGCAGGAAATGTTGGCAGTTGTTGTAGATAAAGCAATCTTGTTAGCTTAAAAATAGATTCTCGAACAGTATAAGTTTTAATGATTTTGCTCAGATGGCGCCAGCCATGACGTCGCCATACAAAAATTAATTTACTCATTATGTACTATTAGTAATTTTTAAGTGGGTCCAAGATTGATGACGTCACGTTGTTGACGATAAAGTTTGCTGCTGCCTAAATGACAACATAGGAAGATAATTTTATCATACTTTTGGTTTAAATTTCAGGATAATTGGCTCCCCTCCTGAAGATGAATGGCCGGACTATTGCTCTTTACCATGGGGTCAATTTATGGGTTATATCCATGTTCCATTGAAGAGACTTATACCTGAGATATGCGACTTAGGCGAGGATTTATTGAAGGTATAGTTCCATTAAAACTGTGTAAATTCTCATAAACCTTTGTGTGTGTGTGTTTATTTCAAAACAACAGCAAGTGTTGTAAATAATCATACGTTTATCTTGTCGTAGAAATTGATAACGTACAACCCGCACCAAAGGATAAGCGCACGGGCGGCATTAGATCATCCTTATTTTAAAGAACTTCGTGACTCAAATGAAAACAAAGAAAACTATGACGCAAAGAATATAGCAACGTCAGCTCATAACGTTAAGCAAAAGCAAGATGATGACGTCACTATCGTTGCCCTTAAAGATTCAACCAACGATGATCCATTAAAAAGATTGAAATATTCACATGACCAAGATCCTGTGGGAGATTTTAAGTAATCTCAGTGAGCTTTCATACCCGTACCATTGAGGTTCATATGTGTAGGTTGATGAACCAACTTGTACTATAAGGTAGTTGAACCACTTGTTTTATCACTAAAATGACATCAGGTTTGCAATAGAAAGCATGTAATATATAACGGTGGGATGGATGATGAGGAATCATTTAGTACATGCCAAAAACTGACAATGATACCAACATTCCAAAAGTTTTCAAGTCATCATTCCTACCGTGCTATCCTTCATTTATTACATTAAATTGTAAATAACCAACTAACAAGATGTTTCTTAAAGAAACACGTGTTCTCCGGACGACGAGAACATTTCTTGGAAATTTCTGTCAATAATTAACATGATCTGTTTCGTCCATAACATAGATATAGCACTTGCTCACTAATTTGACAGTAAGAATTTTTAATCTTTTGCATCAAAAGTCGGTCGTACAATAAAGAGATATTTTTGAGCATAAAAGCGTATCCCACGCAACATTAAACAAAAATCCTTTACATAAATGTTTTACAGAAAATATGTTAGCTTCACAAGCATTTTAATTTATTATACTTTTTACCGACGTGTACATAAATATCTCAACATGTATCCTTTGATAATAAAATTAATTTTCAATTTTTTAACTTGCGTGACTGTTGGTTTCTACCTAACACAAAGATGTAACAAAAGGTACTTAGAAAATTTACATAATTGTCATATGGGTGTGTAAAAACTTTTTTCTCAAAACTTCCTCCTTTAAATACTTATTGAACAATGATTACAATATTGAATATTATAAAAATAGCGAATATTTACCACACGAAACTGCAATTGATCTACATCTGAGTATTCCTTTTAACTTCCATACATGCAAGTATCAATGAAAACTGTATTAACATGTTGACTACTTATGCTGAAGAACAACAAACCTAAATTTCGCAAAAAACCCGAACTGGGTTCGAAGGCGAAAGATATCCCTCAAACAACGATATTTCAACACTCAAAGTGGCCTTACTTAGCCTCACAAATAGGATTGACGTAAATTGCGTCACGGTTAACCTCGCTATCATCATCATCATTTTTTCTTTCATCAAAATTATCATCTTTTTCAACACCTTCGTGTTTTGTTGACTTTCCAATTTGATGAAGATTGTATCGTTTGTGGTGATAAAAGTCTGTAAGTTTATTCATGAAACAGAGATTCTAGGATAAAAAAAAAAATGAGATCCAACATTAATTTTTCGTTTCTTTAGCAGACTGCCTTAATACTTTAAAAATGCACAAGATAATAAATACGACATCCTGCGGCCCTGAGACCCGACTTTGAGATCCTGATTGACCAACTATTTGCACAAAAATCATTCAATATGTCTAAATAAGTGGATTTTTAACTTTTCTCGATTGGATCATACGTATGATGTTGCAAGTTGAACATCAATCAAATATTTGATACAGTAAACACTAGTTCGTAAGGAGTTACGCCAAACAAAAAAAACACATTTCATCATGTCCTGCTCGATACCATACAGTTACTTAATAAGATAGAGCTATCCTTGACTTGTCATGGAATTTATCAAACAAAGTCAATAGTCCACGTAGAATGTGTCGTAAAGGGCATTAGTAAAATATTAGAAGTAAAGGCATTAGTAAATACTAGAATGTGTCGTAAAGGGCATTAGTAAATGTTAGAATGTGTAAAGGGCATTAGTAGAATGTTAGTGAATGTCGTAAAGGGCATTAGTAAATGTTAGAATGTGTCGTCGTAGAAAAGGGCATTAGTAAAAATGTTAGAATGTGTCGTAAGGGCGTAAAGGGCATTAGAATGTGTCAAAAAATGTTAGAATGTGTGTCGTAAAGGGCATTAGTAAATGTTAGAATGTGTCGTAAAGGGCATTAGTAAAGTTAGAATGTGTCGTAAAGGGCATTAGTAAATGTTAGAATGTGTCGTATTAGAATTAGAATGTCGTAAAGGGCATTAGTAAATGTTAGAATGTGTCGTAAAGGTCATTAGTAAAATGTTTGCTATATGACTAACATGGCTAAATTGCAAGTTAAGAATACGACAATATTGAGCTAAAAAATAATCGCAAAATAAACATATAACGACTTGCGTAAAAAGGTTGCGATGGTCTTCGTGACACTACCTTCATAATTTCAAGCACAATGACAAAATCAGGATTTTTCAGGTCCACTTTATCACCAAGATTCAAAAACAAAGATGACACTTCAGAAAGAACATCGTTTCGCTTTAAATTGCTGTTGAATCTTGACTTGAAATGGACGCATATTGACTTGAAATAAACAAAGAATTTATATTGAAAAAAAAGAAATAAATTCAAAAAGAATATCTCTAACAAATACGTTAAAAAAGTTCACCGTATCCATTATAAAGTAATAGAATTATACCTTTAAATTGAAAATAAGATAACACTACATACCGAATAGAATTTACTTAAATGTTTTAAAGATAACTTAAAAGAGATAAAGTTGCTGTGTGAGTTAGTTTGAAATAAAGAGTGTAAATCTAGTAAACAGCGCTGCCTGGGATTCTAGTAAGCGATAAAATAACGTTACCTTTAGGATCATTTATACCGTAAATAATCAAACAAACGACCTGGACGAATAATTCTAACAATTTTTTGGTGTCAGGCATGGAGGGGGGAGTTAAATAGATATGAGGCGTTTAATAGAGGGTATTTACATTCTTTTAATCGTTTTAGTGGGAGCATTAGAGCGAAAACTATACTAAGATCAAATTTATGTTTTCTGAAACCAATTTGTACTATAATTCTATTATCATCGTTGTAATATAGGGACATACATGTGGATCATAGTATGCTACTAGATCTTACAGCTAGGTACTTTTGAGACTCAACAAAAACTCACGCTTTAAGGGACGGAGCATTTATTAGATAATAGGAAAAGAATTGAACATCAAAACTGTGATGGTTTTTTAATCAAAATATGGAGATTGAAGTAAATTTTACATACTTTTACTGAACCTTCAGTATCTTTCTCCAGATAATGTTCATCAACAATTTTACTGATTGACTTAAGTTCAGCTTGACAGATGTGTGTGATAGGAACAAGCCTTTGAAAGCTTCTATTCATTTAACATGTAACAAAAAGAAAGTTTTAGATTAATCATTGTAAGTCTGTGACCAACATTTCAGATCAATAGTGAATCCTACCTCACTTTGCTTTGTTTGGTTTTTGCAATGTCACATAGAATACGATGCATCAGTCTATTTAAATCTTCACATGATAATGTTGTCTTGATAAATAAAATGGCTCTCACACCAGTTGGTATATGTTGAAACCGTCTGTTTGCTTTTAGACTACTAATTTGCTCAATTTCTTTTGCAATTACTTTCTCAATATCATTTGCATTGTCATTCTCAGAACCTGAATCAATGTCCTCATGTTCAACAGTTTTATTTCCATCTCCTTGTTGATAATTGATTACCATTGTTTTTGGTTTTCCTTCTTTCCGTGTATCAGATTTTACCTCCTCTGAGAATTCACAACCAAATAGTTCATCAGCGTACTAAATAGACACAAAAATAAAGCAAGTGATCAATAAGACTAATCAATTATAGCTTTACCTCCTGGCACTATTTTAAAGGTTTTTAATCTCCCCCTTTCCAGCAAATATCTTCCTTTTTGCCAAGATCCTGGGGGTAGAAAGTTGGAAATAATCAACCATGGGGCAGATTCACAGCTCCCAATGTACTCAAACAACTTAAATTCTGTTACTTTATTGTTTTCTGCTTAACGATTTAGGGAAACAAAAGCAAATCACTTAACAAATCTTGAAGGCAAAACTGTCCTTCCTTGCAGTTGGGAGCCTAACAGCGCCTGTTCCCAGCCTAAAACGCCAATGGATATTCCCTTGCATGTACAAGGGATCAAATGAATTCTTTATATCACACAACTAGTATATTACTGATATCAAAATTTGCTTCGTCGTAAAGAGAACAAGTAAAGTTATTAAACACTGTCAAAAATATTACTAAATAAGCAACTAATTTTTACTATGTGATTTAAGGTACAACTGAAATACATCACCTCATTTAACAAATTGTAAGCCTCTTTTTTTGCCTTTGCCTCGTTATCTGCACCAAATACAAGTACGCCTCTCATTCCAGGTTTAATAACATTTTGATACTTCTGAATAACAATAAAATCAAAATATTTGATCAAACACTAAATTCCAAAAATCTATCTGCATTCAAAAATTTAAAGAAGCGCGTTAAACATTACCCCCTTTTTGCCAACACCATAAAATTTTTTCGTCTTTTTCTTACGTTTCCCTGCTTGAGTAGGAGAATCAGCCATGTTTTTTGTTGTTGGTAGTTAGTAATTCGTGTGACATGAGTAATGGGCTATACAGCATTATTAGGACTGCTGTCCCTTTTTGAATTGCGCACTTTTACGTCACACTTTGCCTGCGTTGCGGTTGCGACGCGACCATGTTGCGACGGTTGCGTGTTGCGTAAATCATGGTTGCTCACAACTGCACCAACTTATCACTGCACTGTACCTAATGAAGCCTTTTGGTTTCAATGGTTGCACTTTGCTTCTCTATCAGTCATAGGTCAAGTAATAAAAGTCTTTGGTTGCAGCTTGCAACTTTGCTTTTAGTTTTAGTGAAACAACTTTTCTCTGATGCTCATAGTGTCTGGATCCACCATGTGCATAAAGATCATTGTAAATCTGCGAGGGGAATTTTATTGCTGCTTCAATCAGTGATGTAAATTTTCTCATTTGTAGCAAGCGGTAACCATACATTTCAATTTGCAAGTAAACCTTGCCTCTCATTTTCACACTTAGCTTTTGACAGGGGTTCTACCGTTCTATGTACCTTATAACAGAAAAGCAGCCTAGCACATAAGTGTATCGACTGTCGAGCTAAAATTGGAGGAACCTGACCCAGACCTGTCAAAGACTCAATGCCAAGCAAGATGTCCACATTATTCGAGGTCTATTTGGGCGATGGAAACTAGTTTCATACATTTGTAAAAAGAGCGTGCTTTGGTGTTGTGGAGTGGAGAGTACATTTTCACAAATCAGTTTTATAAATGTGTGATTTGTGCTCAAAGTTTCTCGGTTTTATGGTTTTCTTCCAGTAATTTTATTTTGTAATTTTTATGTGTTTAAAAATGACTGTTGCTGAAGGAGATGAAACAACGACCACAGCCACAAGGGTCATTCAAGTCACTAATGTTGCTAAAACTGCAACTTTTGAGCAGTTAAAATCATTTTTTGATGTCCTTGGCGGTATTGAAGAAATGAAGATTTATCCTACACAGTAAGAAGAAGCTATATTTATTTCGTTTCTTTATATTAAATTTATTGGCTGCTATTGGTAGCGTGTTATTTTGTTAAACTGTACTTGCTTCTTGTCGTAGACTCGTAGAAACTGGAAAATGTGTACTTTTATGCCAAACTCATATTGAACAAAGTATTTTTGCTTTGTTTTTTGATTGTGGTTTTATCCATCAACAAGCTATAATTTCTTGATGAATATGACAAGTCGCGACTCAAATTTTAAAATTTTTATTTTGCCAACCAAGTATTGGAAAGATACCAAAGTATTAGATTGGTATCCTAATTTATCTGATCATTAAAGGTTTATTCGCTTCTATTTGCATTCCCTAATCATCCTGTATTCCACCTTTTTAGAGACCTTACATCATTTGGTGCCCAAGTTGTGTTTGTAAAATTTCAAGATCCATCTAGTGTATCTATAGCACTACATTTAACCAACACAGTTTTTATTGACAAGCCTCTGATTGTTGTTCCTGTTGGTGATGGTATGTAGGCATTATTATTGATGACTTAATGTAAAATTTCAAAATTTGAATCTTTCTGCAATTGGTAATTTTATTACAAGAAGTACAACTTAATCATGAAAATTACTGAGGTTGTGAAATCAGTTTTCATGAACCTTAACCTTCCATATTCTCATATTCAGTTGGTACCGGGAAGTTATCACAAGTCACGGATCCAGCTCAAGGCAAAATAAATTATAACCACTAATTTTAAATTTAACATACCTTTATAGCAAAGACATTGGTTATAAATTTCTAAAGAATAAAAATAACCATTTGATGTGTTGAAGTAATTTATTTTGCCTATAGCTAAATCCACCCCTGAATCTCTCATGTGCCAGAAAAAAATTTTTTAAAATTAATTTTATTGATTCTTTTAAACAAAACACAATAAAAACCAACTAAAACTTGTGGATAAATGAATATTGCAAAGGGGAAAGTAAATGATGGAGGAAATAGCCTGTAAACTACATATCTGTATCTGTTAAAACCGAATATATTTTTAATAAGAATCGTAATTAAAGTCTTGTTAAATTCTTGTGCCGTTTGAATTATATTATAGGGAAATAAAATGCAGTTTGATTTTTTCAGGTAATATTCCTGAAGAACATCAAGCTTTACAAGTGGTAGCACCTTCACCTGATGTAATGGGAAATTATGCAGGTGGACTCATCAATCAGGTTAATATGCATATGATTGGTCTAATGTTGTGTTAATCACATGTTTGTGGATGTTACATGTTCTGAGTCAAACTGAAGATGACTACCTCTAAGGTTGTCAATACGTCAGTCAACAAAAACAACAACAGTCCTTTCAGGACTCTTTCTAACCTGGACAATCTACATCCAGTGCGAATTAATGGTGTGCAATGTGCAATTTGCACATCGTTTTAGCTAAATGTAAACAATTGCACTTTTCAAACGATGTGCAAAATAAGCGGTTTAAAACACTATCGTAAATCATATGAATTTGTTCACATTTAAATATATTAATTTAGCAGTTAGCGCTATATAATAATTAACGTAATATTGATTTGATTATGCCTCTAAAGAAACACTTTTGTCAAAAAAATTGCACATTGTTTTTTCTGAACTAATTCGCACACTATCTACATCTACAAACATGTAACGATACTTCCGGGTTCAAACCATTTACATTGTTGTGTTAATTCATAATTAAATTGCAATTATAAGGTTTTGGATAACAATTACAGAGATTGTACTAGAATGAAAACTTAAAATGACTATTTTTATCATTATGGGGTTACTACCCAAAACTATAGTTTCAAAATATGTAAAGTTGTGTTGTTATTTGCTAATACATTATGATGTTCAATGAACTATATAAGCTCTTTAGAATGAAAAATCACATCTTAAAATATTTCAATGAAAGATCAATACACACTTGAAGTTATTTAATAATGTGTATAATTATGTATAATCATAAAAGAAGTAAGTTTTGAGTGCTTAATCTTTATGATTATTACCATTTATTGCGATTTTGGCATGTTTAGCAATTTGTTCATTTTAATTCATCCATTTTATTTTACTTATACTACACATATACCAAGAATATCTTAGAACTTTGTGCTATTTTAGTGTATACCTGGAATTGTTCAAGCAGTGGTTGGAACTCCAGAACAACCTGTAAGTAATTCCTAGTAATTGGGTTTTTAGAGCTACATTATGCAATTGTTGTAATTAAATTCTAATATGCAGCTTCTGAATTTATGAAATTTTTTTTTGAAATATGAAAACATTACAAAGGTAGTCAAAATGCAGCTTACATGCCCACAACCTCCGCCACTTCCTGATGTTGAACCACTGAAACTTGACGAAATAAGAAGAACTGCTCATATCAAGCATTTACCCTGTGATGTATGTATGAGTAGAACTACTTATATCAATCGTCTACCCTGTGATGTATAGAACTACTTATATCAACCATTTACCCTGTGATGTATGTAGAACTACTTATATCAACCATTTACCCTGTGATGTATGTATGAATAGAACTACTCATATCAACCATTTACCCTGTGATGTATGTATGAGTAGAACTACTTATATCAAGCATCTACCCTGTGATGTATGTACAAGTACAACTACGTATATCAGTCATTTACCCTGTGATGTATGTACAAGCAGTGTGGAAGTTATTGTAAATCTTTGGCATCATTGCTGAATGTATAAAGAAAAGCTGAAATATTATTTTGCTATCATTAATTGTTGCTGTAAAATATTATGACTATTAACTGGTTGAATGTTTCTATAATTGAAAATTTAGTGGGTAAAATTACTCAAGAAAAACATACTGCTTTCCCTATAATAACAGTTGTATCAGAACATTATAATGCCAAACACTTGGAGAATGTGCTACAGAACACTTATCTGAAGCATGAAAAATACATAATTTTATTTAATCACATTAAATTATTATTTGATATAGATAAATGCAGAACAGTTGATGTCATTTTTTGCAGCTTGTGGTGATGTTCGGTATGCTCGTATTATTGGAGATGATATAGAAACACCAAGGTTTTGAACATTTGTTTTTTATTGTTTGTAATATTGTCATTAATCAAAATACGTATTTGAGAAAACAAGATTTCGGCAGCCAAAATCTGCCATGCAGCCATTATGATATTGATAGTCAGATAAATAACGATATATGTAAGTTTTCTTTTGCTCAAAACATGCATACTTTTAAAAAATATTAGTTGCAGTGGTCCTGATTATCATTTATGTACAAAGTAATTGTTTGTCAAAACTGCATTTGTCAATTTAATGATATAATGTGATCATTTTCTAATAAAGATACGCATTTCTTGAGTTCAATGAAGCAAGTTGTGTTGCTAAAGCTCTTCAATACAATGGTGCAATGTTTGGTGGTGAACCTTTAAAGTATGCAAATTTTGTTTGTTTAATTAATTTGAATGCAATCAATTATTCATGAGTAAAGCATGATTTCACAGTCATTTTATGTTGAAGAAGAATTCTTGATAACTCATTTCTGTATTAATTTGCTTTCTCAGAGTTGATTTTGCGAAAACTAACATATTTAAACCTGAAAAGGAAATTGCGCGAATAAAAAGTGGTATGGATAAAACCATGAAGAAAGTTACTGAAGCTTCAAAACTTGTCAGTGAAGAGCTTGATGGTAAATTATTCAATGATTAATAACCTAGTTTTAGCCAACGTGAAACATATGATAACAAAGTTGAATTGTCATTTACTTATCACACTAATGTTTACTATTTGTTGCATTATTGTTACAATGATGTTGCAATGATACAATATTCATTGTTACAATGATGTTGCAACCATACAATATTCATTGTTACAATAATGTTGCAGCCATACAATATTCATTGTTACAATAATGTTGCAAACATACAATATTCATTGTTACAATAATGTTGCAAACATACAATATTCATTGTTACAATAATGTTGCAAACATACAATATTCTTTGTTACAATGATGTTGCAATAGTACAATTATATGATATTGCAATGGTACAATATTTATTGTTAGAATGTTGTAAGGGTGCAATATTCATTGTTCATAATTCCATTCTTTGACCAATAGTCACTGTTGTTGTGCTTGCTATAACATGTTTGTATTAACTGTATATGTGCATAACATGACGGTGAAATAAAGACATTCGTTATCTCTATGTACAGCAGTACATGATCAGACTACAGATCTATCTGCTGTATGTAGATTTAGATCTTAATGATGGAACGTGAAGAGTTATATTTTTTCGCCTGGCGTTAAAAGCTTCTGTCGTGTGTTGGAAACGAAACCATTCAATTGTATGTAGAACGTGTATTTTTTCCCTTTCAGATGATCCAAAATCGCGAAGCCGAAGAAGTTCAAAAAGTCGGTATGTATGTACGTTTTGTCGCCATGAAGATCTTGAAATATGTGCAACTCAATTTATTTCAAACTCTGATTTATCGTTGCCGTCACAAAAAACGTACATACGTATTCAGGTCATGTGCAACTCAATTTATTTCAAACTCTGATTTATCGTTGCCGTCACAAAAAACTTACATACGTATTCAGGTCGTGCAACTCAATTTATTTCAAACTCTGATTTATCGTTGCCACAAAAACTTACATACGTATTCAGGTCATGTGCAACTCAATTTATTTCAAACTCTGATTTATCGTTGCCGTCACAAAAAACTTACATACGTATTCAGGTCGTGTGCAACTCAATTTATTTCAAACTCTGATTTATCGTTGCCGTCACAAAAAACTTACATACGTATTCAGGTCGTGTGCAACTCAATTTATTTCAAATTCTGATTTATCGTTGCCGTCACAAAAAACTTACATACGTATTCAGGTCATGTGCAACTCAATTTATTTCAAACTCTGATTTATCGTTGCCGTCACAAAAAACTTACATACGTATTCAGGTCGTGTGCAACTCAATTTATTTCAAATTCTGATTTATCGTTGCCGTCACAAAAAACTTACATACGTATTCAGGTCATGTGCAACTCAATTTATTTCAAATTCTGATTTATCGTTGCCGTCACAAAAACTTACATACGTATTCAGGTCGTGCAACTCAATTTATTTCAAATTCTGATTTATCGTTGCCGTCACAAAAAACTTACATACATATTCAGGTCATGTGCAACTCAATTTATTTCAAATTCTGATTTATCGTTGCCGTCACAAAAAACTTACATACGTATTCAGGTCGTGTGCAACTCAATTTATTTCAAACTCTGATTTATCGTTGCCGTCACAAAAAACTTACATACGTATTCAGGTCGTGTTTTTTATGAAATATTGAATGCTGGAATTCTGAAAAATTGTTGTTAATTTTACTGTTAGAATAAGATGGTTTGTAAGACAAGTACATTTTAAAGTTTCATGGTTTAAGACATTCAACTTGTTTTTCCTATGACATAATTGCTAATGATACGATTCAATGACATTTCATTAATTCCCATATGAAATGCAGTGATTGTATTGAAACGACGTACAATGTAATGTGAGATGAAAGATTTTTTGGTTTGCAGATCTCGATCTCGTAGAAGATCGCGTTCAAGATCTCCGTCAAGAAGAAGGAGAAGTCGTTCCAGATCAAGGTTAACGATTCATACCATTGATGTAAAAATATATTTTGGTTCTATGGTTGTGTCATTTAATTTTTTGTTACTGAATTGAAATTCTCTTTTGAATATCGCCCTTGAAGATACTTGTTTCTAATGCTCTGTCTGGGGTCAAGAATTTTTTTTTGATCTTAAACAAAAGAAATAAGAATTTTTAAAATTTTCCAGCAACTTTATGTAAAATTTAGCTTTATGTAATGCTTCTGCAGTGAATTTTTTAACAAAAACACGTTGAAATTATTCAATTTGCGCTGTAAAATTCTTGTGAACGAAACATTTTTTTCAGTGTCTTTACGTTTTTATGATCATATGTGCAACTATGCAAAGGATTTTATTGCACAAATGTTTTTCAATATTTACGAAACGTTTTTAAGCTTGTTATTTTGTTGATCATGTTGTTGTATTTTTTATAAATAGATTTGATGTACCAAGTTACTCTGTAGGTAGTGTTATCAATTTTTTTATTTTTTGTTTTTACGTAGTGATCGTTACAGACGTCGTAGGTCTCCATCACGTGACAGATATAGACGACGCAGGAGTCTCAGCAGGTACAAAATTTACGTTAATAAATTTGTCCCGTTGTTTTAACTTAGAATTGATTAGCTAGTCATGAACCATTGTATAAGATAAATTAGCAAGATTATTTCTTGTAAACATACTGTTAAAATTTTTTAGTAATGATTTCTTGAAGTTTGGTTCTAGAAGTTTTGTATTTACTGTACAAGGTTAAATTGTAGTACAGAAGTATCCTATTTGCAAGAGACTCCGTATTGTGTATCGTATATAGAAATATCCATATGTGCAAGAGAACCAGTTTTGTTTAGTACATACGTATATATTTTCAGATCTCGTAGTCCGCGAAGATCACACAGTTTTGTTTAGTACATACGTATATATTTTCAGATCTCGTAGTCCGCGAAGATCACACAGTTTTGTTTAGTACATACGTATATATTTTCAGATCACGTAGTCCGCGAAGATCACACAGTTTTGTTTAGTACATACGTATATATTTTCAGATCACGTAGTCCGCGAAGATCACACAGTTTTGTTTAGTACATACGTATATATTTTCAGATCACGTAGTCCGCGAAGATCACACAGTTTTGTTTAGTACATACGTATATATTTTCAGATCACGTAGTCCGCGAAGATCACACAGTTTTGTTTAGTACATACGTATATATTTTCAGATCACGTAGTCCGCGAAGATCACACAGTTTTGTTTAGTACATACGTATATATTTTCAGATCACGTAGTCCGCGAAGATCACACAGTTTTGTTTAGTACATACGTATATATTTTCAGATCACGTAGTCCGCGAAGATCACAACGATCATCATCCAGATCTCGTAGAAGACGAAGATCTCCCAGTCGATCACGTAAATCCAGATCTCCAAGCAGGTAGGAAAATATCTTTCAGAGTGTAAGAACTTTATGCACGCTTTCTCATGTAAGTATGTAAGTACAGTGGCGTAGTTAGCATCCATAAGTTGGGGGGAGAGGGCAAAATTCATAAAAACGTGTTATAATCTGCAGAAAACAATTGATTATAAAAAGGAACTTTACACCGCAAACATAAATATATAATTTTGCCTTCCCCTCCCCTCCCCCCCCCCAAATTATCAAGCTGACTACGCTGTTGTAGTATACGTATTTGTAATTTTTGGAAGTCGACCAGTCACCTTCTCATCTTTAATAAAATTGAACTCCGCTTAATCAATAAGACAGCAGTAATTTTGTCATTTATGTAATACGTTGTTTAATATGGTTAATAAGATGTCCGTGTTTGTCTGGGTGGCTTCATGGTAATTTGTAGCTGCTCTATGTTAGTTTATTAAACACTACTAATTTAAAACATCAACTCACCGTCTCTTTATAAGTTTAAAAAAATTTACAAGATTGTACAGTTATGAATAGTCGAAAAATTGAATAGGGTTTTTATCGAACTTAGTGAACAGCTGCTGATTTCCTCCTTTTTTTTCAACTTTGAACTTTTTTCAATTGTTGGATTTTGTTGTAATTTCCTCAATATGTTTTGGAATAAATTTTAAAATAGAGATCGAAAACGTCGTCGCTCGTCGTCACGTGGTCGTTCAAAAGAGAGATCACGACGCAAATCACGTGATCGCTCGGGTGATCGTGATCGGTCACATGATCGTAGCAAAGATAATTCAAAGCCTAGCACTTCGAAAAAGAAAAACGATAAAATGGATGATGAAGTAAAATCTCCTGAAAAGAACGAAAGTGAAGTGGTTAGTGTGAAGAAAGAAACTGGGGAGAGTAAAGAAAAAGTAGACAAAGAAAATGAAGTGAAGAAGGAAAGAAAGAAATGGAAAAAGAAGGAAGAAATGAACGGAGGAATCTGGAAGAAAGAGAAGAAATGACAACGAAAAGGAAAAAGAAAAGGAAAGATAAGGAAAAGAAAATGGAATGGAATGGAAAGAACGATCGGGATCGAAAGAACGGATCAAAGATCAGGGTCGTGATAAAGATCGTGAAGAGGTGATAAAGATGGAACGTGATAAAAGCGTGGACGAGACAAAGATCGTGATCGTGAGAAAGAACGTGACAAAGATCGTGAGAAAAATCGTGGAAAAGATCGCGAGTCTCGAAAGAAACGTGATAAATCTCGAAATTTCTAAAGAGAGATCACGTTCACGCAGCAAAGGTCGAGACAAAAAAAGAACTAAAGATAAATCACCTAGTAGATCGTTATCCAGATCACCTAAGAGATCATCTAGGTAAGTTAATTCATTCTTGTGATAATCATAATCCAGATCACCTAAGAGATCATCTAGGTAGGTTTATTCTCTCTTGTGATAAAGAGAGCAACTCTTAACAGTTCATTAATTCATTTTAAAATTCCATAATTTGACAATCATACTAGATTTTTTTGTTCTTAAACAGACACAAGAAGAAAAAAGATAAACGTGAAAAACGAGATGAAAACGAGGGTTTGCTGTTGTTTTAAAATCTAAACATAAAGTGTTAAATTATAATTTTATTTGTTCTTCCTCAAATCATACCTCTTGGTTTCATTTAAAGTAGTCTAATATGGTGTATGCTGGCTGAAAAAGCTCGCAATGCTTTGAATTTTACCCAAAATGCTTCCTTGGTATATTCTCTGGAAGTTTATACTTAAAACAAAAAATATTTTTAGGTAAAAAGCGAATTCGTGATAGTGATAGCGACAATGAAGAACGTCGAAAGGCGAACCGAAGTGATGATTCGGATGATGATCGAAAAAAATCCCGACGAAAACGCAGCGAGGATGAATCGGATGCTGACAATGGCAAGAAACGAAAACGTCATTATAAGAAAAAGCCAATATCTGCTGACCACTACGACAGTGCGAGTGATTAGATTGTGATTTTTGTTCGAGCTGATTACTGAATTTCTTGTAGCTTAATTAGACGAATCGTTTATGGGCGTCATGCCTGTTGACGTCACATAACTTTTGCATTATTGGCTAATACAAAGTTGACGTCACATTACTCTTGAATTATTGGCTAATACGAAGTTGACGTCACATTACTCTTGAATTATTGGCTAATACAAAGTTGACGTCACATTGCTCTTACATTATTGGCTAATACCAAAAGATGAAATTTTTCTTCATTTCGCAATTGTTACTTGGACTTTAACATTACCTTGTACATTATTGTCCTTTTTAGTTCGTACACTGCTCACTCCACTTGTATTTGAAAAAATTATATAAGGTGTGGTCCTAGTGTTGTTTTTCGGCCATTTTCCTTGTTTGTTGCCATGGTTAATTAGATTAATTTATGTTTATGTCGTGTTTTTTCCGAGGTATTCGTTCTCTTTTGGAACCTTTTTCAAGATAATATTGACGTTTGTTACTTCATGAAAGCCAGAGTTAATATCTGGGATTCTATCATTGTTTTTTTGTGAAAATTTCTCCTTTATACTTCTGCATTTTTATCTCCCCTTTTCATCTCATTGATGTTAAACTTCGCTGTTTATCGTGAAGCCAAAATGTGCAGAGGCATCTTGCGACGAAGAACGACTTAATAAAAAGTAATTTATGAAAATTTATTTCAAAGCTTTCTTTACCTCCGGCTCTTCCTTAGATTTGTTTCATGTTTGATTCATGGCGGTAGTCCTGAGTGACTCTGAAGACTGACTCCCTAGCGGTAGTCGTGTCAGTCAACAACAACAAAAACAGTCCTTCTCAGGACTATACCAACCTGGACGATCTACATTTACAAACATGTAACGATACTCACGGGCTTAAACCACTTACGTTATAAGTTGGTTTGTTAAACAGGGACTCACAACATGGACTTAACCCTCAAACGCTCTCTCAACTGACTTTGTAGAACATTTTCTATGTCAGAACAGATTTTTCTCATACTTATAGTGCTTTTCCGTAATATCATTTGTTCTTTGATTATCAAAGTGAACATGATAGATATATCATTACCTATATCAATGATAGATCAGTGTGACACATGGCAGATAAATCTTTACCAAGTAAGATTCCCTTATCTACTCAGAAACTAGCCACAGCAATTTCTTCTGGTCAGCCATTCTTTTCTATTAGCTATGATGCATAAACTTGAGTTACTTGAATACTTGAGTCACTTTTTTCTTGTTTTATTGAATAGAAATCATAGTTTTTGCTTCATTTTTTAATTATTTACAATGTTAATCTTTAATAGAAACATTTAGCATAAATATTAATTGAAATAATTTATAATATATAAACTCTAAAGAATGTGGCAAAACAACGACGTTCAATTTTGATCAAAATCAGAGTTAGAAGATGAATTTCACCAATTTACTGTTGATAATCGTTAAGTATCAGATCAATCATATCTGATCAGGTTAAAGTCTTTGACTGAATGGACTTCCACCGCTACAGTGATTTTTGTTATTTTCCATTTGTCGTAACGAGCAACTGTGTTGAGAACCACAGATATCATCATCCTCATCAATATGGTCTACACAAAATGAAAACGGTCTACACAAAATGAAAACAGTCTACACAAAATGAAAACGGTGTACACAAAATGAAAACGGTCTACACAAAATGAAAACAGTCTACACAAAATGAAAACGGTGTACACAAAATGAAAACGGTCTACACAAAATGAAAACGGTCTACACAAAATGAAAACAGTCTACACAAAATGAAAACGGTCTACACAAAATCAAAACGGTCTACACAAAATCAAAACGGTCTACACAAAATCAAAACGGTCTACACAAAATCAAAACGGTCTACTCAAAATCAAAACGGTCTACTCAAAATCAAAACGGTCTACACAAAATCAAAACGGTCTACACAAAAAAATTTAAAAACTCTATCTGGAGAACACAAAATATGTTGCGATGTAAACAGTTATTGCTTACCCTTTTTTTGTAAAGCTTTTTTGCAAGCTAAGATGATCGCAACAACAATGATTCCGAAAACAAAAGCAGATGCAATTGCCGATATAAAAACAGTTGTAGTTAACCATGCTTCGGTTGACGACCCTGTTATGTCATTGGCTGGTTTTGTTGAACCTGTAAAATTGAAAATATTTACATTACAAGATGTAATTCATTTTTTGGGCGTATAGTTATGTTTTAATTATGCGTTGAACAATAAGCACTATCATAGGATATCCAAAAGGTTTTTGGTGTAGAAGATCGAGTTTCACACAAAATTAGTAAGGCTCTAAAAATCTATTCTTGTACAAAAATAAAACGGGCAGAAATAAAACTAGAATAAAAACAGATAAGAAAATTTTAATTTCAAGATAACATCACACATTCTTCCTTACCCATTTTCTCAACGATTTTCCCTGACGGCCAAGATGATGGTATGATCTTCGTACTTTCTGGAGTGATCTTTCCCTTTTTTGGTCCGCTTATAACACCAGATGGCTTTGTTGCCAAGGTTATTTTTGATGATGATGAAGACTTAGGAAAGGTCGGCAAAGAAAGCGTTGGTTTCTCGGTTGAAACAACTGGACAAGAAGAAATATCACAATCCTTGTCCAACGTAAGACCTGAGAAACAAAAATATTTGAAGCAAACGTGTGAAATTTTTTTTGTGCCTCAACTTTCTATGCAATTTATGAACAAGGATTGAAAACGTTATATTACAAAACGAAATAACAAGGTAATCATACCTTTTTTCCCAAAGTTCATTCCATAAACTGACTTTCTATCTCTTGTAACGTAAACAGCAAACAATATGGAACATTTTGCTTTCTTGCTTGATAAACTAGAAACTGTACCATCACCATTGTCTATATAAGATACACAAATCATGTATCAATCGATGTATTACATTGAATATCTTTTAAAGATGACAATTTTCTGTAGCTATAAAACTTGTCGTTATATTGAAAGCCTGGGGAAAATAAAATTGCATGATTTCCATTGAAAGCGTTAAAATATGACTAAAATAAATAATATAAAGATATAACATAAAAGTAAATTTATTTCACAAATCGAAGCGATCATCGAGTGAATTCTTCATTCTTTTAAAAGTATTCATTACCCCTCAATATTTTTTCATAGTGTAACTATAGCAGATTCGACAAAAATGATCTCATTATTATTTCCTTTTCATTAAAAAGAAATCACATAACATTATTAGATCAATTCATTTGAGTAATACAATGAAGATATGATGTATTTTTTTTCATGTACACCAAAAACAACCTCTAAAGCTAAAATTGACAGCATGCAAAAATTTTCACTTTTTGTGTGCATGCATGTACGAGCGATTGACGTTGAAATATTTTAAGGATAATTGTAATTGTTAAATTCTTACTAAAAATATGTAAATCCTGTGTTGGTCATATTTCTTATTGATATCTTTGTTGTATTTATACGTCACATCAAAGGAATCGTACTTTCCATCCTTGCATTGGTGTAACCTGACTGTTTCTAGAAAAGTATAGTTTTAGTAACACGCGTGAAATGATAAATTATATGAAATGGCGATTTTATGAAATTTCGTATGGTACTGTCTAGACAAGTATAAAGGAAAATCAAATTTCGGGGCCTTTCTCACAGATATGGAAACATTTTACAACTTTCCTTTCTTTTTTCTTTGCCAACCCCCCCTTTAAAACATGGAATCCGGGGCAATCCCCCCTTTTAACGGCCCTGATTTCACGCTTACGACACATAACAAAGGGGGGGGGGTGACTACCCGTTCTATACAGGGATAATTTTTTCACAGTTGACATGAGGATTTAAGTTACTTAGAGGTTTCATACCTGAGCTTTTTGGATCACAGAAGGAATCAATTGTTCCATTTCGTACTCGATTTATGAAGTCATTTCTACTGCCGTTCCATTTTCTTCTATAGATGTTCTCGTTACGAGTGTCTCCCGTTCTTTCAGAACCATCCACCAAATTTGTGGTGACTTTATCAGTGGGACAAGTGAATATTTGTTTATCGTAGAGGTCAACATTAGGTATTACCAACCAGTTGCATTTACAGTGTAACCTTTAATAAAAACATGAATATTTGTACATCATATAGATAGGAGAACATTAGGTTTTAAACCCTTAAAAAATGTCAATTCTCATGACAAAAATATTCATGTTAAGTTTATGATGTTCATCGGTACGATAAGAGAGGGAGCTGGGGCTCAATCTTGCTTCAAAACGCTATTTTCTATTAATTCTCTTTCTCTGAACAAGACTTCGGAGATATATAGTGCCTTAGTGCCTTTCTTTGATGAACATAGCCCCTGTCTCTTTTCTTGCGATGTCTGTGTACTTCTCAGCGAATAGAAGCTCATAGTTAGCTTCTTCATTGCTTATTGCTCATAGAAACAGAAACGTGTCGGTTGAAAATATGGTGACAAAGAGGGGAAGGTTAGACATAAAGTTCCAATTAAAGAAGATAAATTCGATAACAATATCAGGGCTTTTTAATAAAAAAAACAAAGTTTCGGTGATTTAAAGCAGTAAAAATCATTATTTACTAGCTCTTGTTAATTGATCTGGATAAGAAAGAAGTACGTTTGGCTTAGGCCTAGTTTAGACGTCGAATTTAATGCTGTCGAAATTAAATAGTCTTTATTTTCCTCAAAATTTCAGCGGAAGTCAAAATAACTTTTTCAAATTCATTAGGTGTAACACTTTCTCAGCGTATCTTCATTATTTAATTGTTGGTTTTATAGTGTTTCGTTTTGTCATCTAGTTATTAACAAATCAATAACGTCTTTGTGCTCGATACATTCGGCTTGTGAGACAAATATCTCATACTTCAAAGCTCTTTGTCTTGGTTTCGTGGGAAACCTATGTGCCATGTATTTAAAAGGGCAAATTAATTTAAATTTAGTTGTACTTCTGTTTGTTTTCCCATGATTATATATGCAATTTAGCTCCCACTTTTTTCCAGATAATTACAGTTCATTATAACTTAACATGTTCAATTACAAAATTTGAAGTTATAAATGCATCTTTTGGATGGTTTGCCTTTTGTCCAGAAGTTGAAATTGACTAAAATAATCCACATTACATAACATTTACACAAGGAGACTTTCAATATATGTAATTTGAACTACTCTGCAATAATTGCAAGAATAATATAAGCAATATTTGGTATGAAAAACTGCAGTAGGTTTATTTGAAGACATGTTTTTTGAATAATGCTGCGGGTTTATTGAAAAATATACGATGATTAGATTTCAAAGTACCATACATTAATCCTAATGATTCCATTATTAATATTTTTTAAATATCTACAATTTAGTATCATATGCATCATATGTCTAACGTATGATTTCCTTTCATTATAAAAGCGAAACAAACAACATGCAACATAAGTACGAAATTTTTTGGCGACAATCAACTTTTACTTAACTAAAATACTTTTTTAAATCCTTAAATAAGGCGTGCATGCATTGCAATATATTGTCCATGTCAACTGAACGTTTCGATGTGACAGAACGTCCAAAACAAAGGCGATTTCACAGGCACTTGAAATACGATAAAATTCAAATTCAACATACTTCCTTATATGTCTTTTGTTCGTGTTTTGGTGTAAATTTTACGATATTCTCCATACCTACACTACTTTCAAAAACGCTCTCAAATATCAAGTCATCATCAAAAAACCAAAAAATGCTTTTGTTGGTCTTATTAATAAATAATAAATACGTTATTCAAAATAGTGTTGAGTAACATTTAAGTGCCACCAAAATTTTAAACTTGTTTCGGCAAAACCTGCTTAGTTGATATTTTTCAAAACATAACAGAACATCTAAAATTATCATTGATATCACATACATTTTTGTTTTGCGTTGCGATCGATGAAGCAGGCGGGAATATAATCGAAATATAGCCCAGAATATAATGCGTAAAACAGCCACAAAGAAAAACATATATTGTTTCTCTTCTTTATGGCTGTTTACGCATTATATTCTGTACTTTAATATTTATATAATAATTCTTTTACGTAATGAAACTTTATCTAAATAAATTTTTCTAGAACAGAGGCAAATGTTCAACACATCGTACTTTCATTAACATAAACAGACAGTCAAACCCCTGCTTTGCCTGGCGTGCAGAGCGTCGTTTTGTGTAATCAAGCAGTTTTCTGAAATTTGTCTTAGCAATATGGCGTTACTTACATTGGATTTAAATGATCCCATACAATAGTAGGAAGAAATCGAGATGACCTAACGCGATGATTTCCCATGAAAGACAGTAGAACAAAGATTGTATAGTAACAGAATATTCTCACAGATAACGAAGCCATGAGCGAAGTTATATTTCAAACTCAATATTTGAGGAAATTTTTGCCGACGGTTTGAGATTACCAACAATATATGAAACCACGACTGTCTTTAATTTCTCTTTGTACTCACACGTTTTAGAACCGTATTTATATGCTTTTTATATTATAATAATGCGTCGATACCGTCAATGTGTCGTCGATGAGAGCACTTGACGAATATACAGCAAATGTTCACTGCTCAGTGTCATAACATGACTGTCAAGAATGAAAGCGCATGTCGTAAGAAGATTAAAACTATCCCACATTCCACAAAGTTAGTTTCTTCGTTTCTTCCGTCTGCTTAATGGTGTTCGATTACAACACGCGCGATGAATACAGTACTTGTTATGAGATAATATCATTTGGCGAAAAGATATAGTTACTTTATTAATAAGCAGCTTTTGTGCTTTTATTTCATACTCTGTTCAATTCAAAAGTTTTTGCAATTATGATTCATGTCGAGACTATTCAATTTCTAAAAGCAAAATATCGACACCTGTAAAATGCATTGTAATATAATCATTCCCAATAAATTATTTATAGAACCTGCATTTAAGTGCTGTCGTAGAAAGTAAGACATTTCTAAGTGATATGTTGCTTGTAAGTTTTTTCGTTGTGAGCAGGTTGTTTTGCTTTGTCGATAATTTCAGTTTGATATTACTTTAGTTTGATTTTCTTCGTCAAATTCCAATAAAAATATCTGGTAAACCGCACGGCGCCTGTCACCACGCAATTTCATAATTCAAAATGACACAACAAAAATACAACAACTATACTTTGAAACATCGATAGTATTTTATTTGTCTGCTGTCCTCCATCAGCTCCTTTTACTCTAAACCTGTATTGTAAAAGTACTGAAGAAACATGCTAAACTTCGTCTTTGCCTAAAAACTAAAAACGATGTTGCCAACTTAGTTTTTATCACTGGGCATGCTCAGTACGTGCCTACTCAAATAGTACTTCAAATATTTTCTCGTAGAGATTTTGGTGTATTTCACAGATAAATAGATAAATTCCTATTTTTTGACTGTTTCGTGATATTTGAAAGTTTCCAATCAAAAAATCAACAGCGAAGAAACTGAAATAAGAGCTTGTTTGTTCAGAAAAGCTCCAAGAAGAGCTTGCTTAGTTCAGAAAAAATTCAACCCAATTAGTTATCTTGACATTATATGCAACCAAGCCAACGATGAAATACGGGCAGGTGTGTAAACAGTGCGAAAGTAAATGTTTGTTTATAATTATTATTCTACAAATATTTTTCAAACTTAACACGAAGACACAGGAAATTGCGTCATCATTGCGATTATATGGAAAGACATCTGCAAACAGAAAGTCAATGACGTATAAATGTTTTGTTTGACGTTATTTTGAGTAAATTTTACTCAAGCTTAATGGAGTATTCAACCATCATCAGAGTACTCTGCGAGCAGGCTAATCACGTGATAAGACAAACGTGATTTCGTGAGAAAAAAGTTAGCTTTGCCTTCGCTTTGCAGTAAATAAAGAAGTAAAATTCAATAGCAACACTTAAAACTTATGTAGAACTATAACCCTGTGACGTAGCTAGCGGAGGTACAGCCAGCCCCCTGGAAAAACTTTTGGCCCACGTAAAATATGTTAAACAATTACAATGTTTAAAACAATCATGGTCCTTCTTCTCTTTAACTGGCCCCTTTGACAGAAAATTCTGGCTACTTTATCGCCTGTGAATCATGATGAAAATTCACAAGGCCTTAGCTCTTTAAAGGACATTGGCAACGAAAATTTTTTCATACGTTTATCATAGATAGCTATGGAATACTTAATTTCGTGTTTTCGTGTCTCTTTTGAATTTTACTGTTGAGAAAATTTGACATAAAGTTGAATCCTTATCCGCCATTTTGGAAAAAAAGCCTTATGCTAAATTATGCCGGAATACATTACTGACGTCATTGGCTGGTATCCACTGAATGACACAATATAAAATAATAGTATTATAATAAAGTATAGCACATTTGTTCACTGGAATTTTAAAACAAAAACAACAGTCGGCGGTTGTTAAGATTAACAAAAGTTGTGTAGTTTATCACGCTTATATACTTTTCCAATATTTAGTCGTTATAAGACGTAGAAACGTTTATTTTAGCAGATCTTACAACTAGGCTTTGCCGACAAGTGTAAGCCCAGACGACAACAAGCGCGTTTTATACACTGCACATTTCGTGCAATAGAAATATTTCATTTTCCCATATTACAAACCTGTGACCAACAAATGAGTTATAAGTTTAATTTATTATTTGTATACATAAGAGTCTTTGAAAGATTATGTAGTTTTATATAGGTGATAAGCTATAAGCCGCTATGTTTTGTTCTTGACTGTAGAGTTTCGTTTATCCGTAATGTTTTACGTGCGTGTTTGCGTGCACAATGTACAAGTACACTTTTTTATTAACTTTATAACTTATGAATGAATACAAGTTTTGGGTGGATCACTCATGCATTTTGCTTTTGCGCAGTTCGTGACAATCCTTTGACAATGATATGGCATCGCAATTGCAGATCATAACAAAGAACATGAAAGAGCGTCTGTCTAAGACTAAATTTACGGTCTTTCGTGATAACATGCGTATTTAAAATGTGTATAAAGTCCGTCTGGTGACGCGAAGCGTTTTCGCATGCTAGCATAAACACAAGCAGGAAATGGTCTTCGATGTTTCTTCCCAAAATTTGAAAATTTTGCGACTATCGATACAGCTTGTGTATTCTCTAGATCCTCTTCAGACAGGGGCCAGTTTTCTTCAAGATGCCGACACACATCTATCTTTAACACACTTTCGCATCTATGCGACTAATCGATACAGCTTGTGTATTCTCTCTAGATCCTCTTCAGACAGGGGCCAGTTTTCTTCAAGATGCCGACACAGATGCCGACACACATCTATCTTTAACACACTTTCTGAGAGCATATTGTCCCTAAATTCTTGGTGTGTTGTCAAGCAATTTATCCTTGAGTTTCAGTTTGGCCTAGCAAAGCCTCATACTCATCGTATTCAAGTGCTTTTTCGTGGCAACAAAAACACTCGATTGATTGCCTTTTTTGACAAAGTACAATGTCCACACTTACACCAACTAAGAGTTTGAAGGCGCCAAGCATTTGCTTTATCAAATTCAGCATGTATTTCATCCTCCGACGAGGACAAGTCGCTCTGCTCACTCTCCTGTTCGGAACCGCTTTCTTCGCTTGTTTCGGCCTTCACTTCAGGTTCATATTGATAGGGCAGAACCTCACCCGGTTGATTTTCGTGTATGTCATCCATTGCAGCAAAAAAATCCCGTAAAATACGCTTTAAATGTGTTGTAACGCAGTCAATCACAAAGTATATTGTATTGTTGTTTTGACTGCTCACCAGCCAATGACGTCACTACCGCTCGAGATAATTTTTCAAAATTTTATCCAAGATGGCGCAATTTATAAAACTTTTGCTGCAAATATCTCAGCAAGAAAATATTTTTGAGAAAAAATTTTTCTATTTTAGTTGTTAGACATCACAAAGGTTCAAAAATATGTCATAAAAATTTTCGTTGCCAATGTCCTTTAAGCAAAAAATGTTTCTTTTGTTGGGCTCATGTTAGTTGTGCCATTGTCTATTTTGTTCAATTAGTGTTAATTTTACCGCAGTGAACTATCTAAATGAGGCATGTTTCAGTCCCTGCGTGTATTTACTCTCTTATTTTCGGGTGTAAAGACTGGAAATAATTATTTTTTAAGCCATAAAAGTTACAATTCTTCTAGTCTTCTTCAAATATTGTCATTGATTTATGAAACACGATTACCATACAAATTTTGGAAAAAAGCTCCCATAAATTCTAGCTAATAAATACAGTATGTTTCATACACATTAAATAATTGACCGTAAGGCATCTCATGTAGATCGGGTTTTCATTTTCGTATATTGTAATTCGTCTGGTCATATTTTGTTGGAATAATCAAAATGAATTGCAACAAATTACAATCTACGAAAACCAGGGGTGGAGCTTAAACTTCGGACTGGGGTGTGTCTGTGGGAGTGTGTCTGTGTGTTTAACCATAACCATGGCAACATTTATTCTTTTCGGATGCCAGCATCCTAACTACTTTGCCAAATACTTTTTTAAAAAAAATATTAAATCTATAAAATCAGTTTTAGCTGTCTATGCTATTAGCCGTGAAATGAACGTTCAATGTTGATAAATTTTATGGTAGTTTATCTCTACGTACTACACAGAGCATCTGCTCACCAACACACGTCATTTCACGGATTTTAACCCCCCCCCCTGTTCGCACACACTCACTTAGGAGCTACACCCCCTAATGAAAACCGTCTTTCAATATGGTTACTGAATTCATCCAGATCTCGTAAGTTGAACAAAAAATGTCTGGATAATTTCACCAACAATCTTTACATAAAGCAACTTGACCTTTAATAAAGTCACGACACGGACAAAGTCTTGTCTGCATGTTTGAAGATGAAACACAACTGTATAGCAATGGTTGTTTTGTAAATAACAAATCTTTGTTTTTTCATCATACGATGGTGCAACCAACGATTCAACATTCTTCACATCTTCACAATTTAATCCCACCCTAAAAAAAGATGTCATTTGAAATTATTTATAAAATAACAATGCAACGCGGGAGCTGATTGATCTAAAGCTGGCTTTACTTTAGACCGTGCAATATGATTTGAGCTCAATCAAGCAAAGAGAAAATACAAATCAATCATGACTACATGTAAGAGGAAAAATTAAAACTTTTGTTTTAAATTTAAGTGTTTTACATTATAGTTGTTATACCATCACAGAGAATAACTCTCACCTCTTAAACCAAGTCTTGTGATTCACTATTTCCCAATAGGAAGGTTCACATAATAAACCTAAAAAAATAAACGATTCACTAGCTCATGATCGAAAAATACAAAATCCATCTCTTGATTTGTGTAAATTTGTGCGCACCTTTGTTCCAACATGCATCTTTACAAGTTTGACCAACTTTTCCTTTTACAGTCATCATGTTCTTCAAAGGAGGCCACTGATTTTCTTTACAAAACTCCTGGATAGAAATATACATTAATTTTTTAACTGAAAATATACTTGTTAAACACCACACATTGAGATTTACGTTCATGTTCAGATGAGTGATTTATTTCTACATGTTTTCTTATTAACTTACCAAATGCTCAACTTGAGCGCTCATTCTTTCCAACATTCCCTCGTGTGTATACTCATAAGGAAGATATGGCTTCAGCTGAAAATGAACCCTTGATGATGCACAAACTGACAGACGTAAACTTTTATAAAACTATGTTGGTTTTACCTCTGTTTTCATGATCTTTTCCATTGCTCTCGAAACCTCACTGACATTTTTTATATCAATAGTGTATACATAAGGTTCACCTATAAATTGTTCTGCATATGGATTCTGTGACGTCACTAGCCTTCGTGTTGGTTTCATTGCAAAGAAGTCAGAATTATATCTGTTGAGTGGATCTGGAAACTGCGGAGAAGTTGAGTATTCAATCAATTTAAGTCAACATTTAACTTTTCATTTTTCACAATTATATTTAACATTTTAACCTTAGGGTTCAAAAAAGCTGCTCCGTTAGCAATTGCTTCGAGAGGAGCGGGTCCTTCAAATGGAAAACCAAGACCAACAAAAACCTAAAGTTTAAAATCATCATGAAAATAACAAGACACAACTATAAAAAAAACATGACCACAGAGAAACACCTACTAAAGACCAAATTTCAAGAAAAAAAACGTAAATATAAAAGCAAGCAAAGACAAAATAAAAATAAATATATCAACAAGATTTAAGCGTGAAAACGAAAAACAAAGTTAACATATGCTGTATTGCTGAGGACACCTACAGCGTCCCTGCTGCCTCTCTTTTGATATGTCAACAATTTTAGCCAATCAGTTGAACAACCTTAAATAATCAGTTTTATGGTACATCATTTGCATCACATGTGGCAAATCAAGTTTCAGTTTCAGTTTAGTTTCGACTTATGAGCGTAGAAACATGGTCTTGGAATAGACAATTTAAAGTGGTTACAGGTAGTATTTATCAATACCGTCATAAAAATGAGAAAGAAAACTTACCTTTGATTTCTGCAACAAGTTCTCCAAAGTAACTCGATCTATAACTCCGTGGTTTTTAACGTACTTTGGTATATAAGACGGCCAAGTCTTTTTACTCGACTACAAAGCAATTAGCACGAGGATGATAAAAACGTTTTCAAAACATGCTTCATAAATAACTAAACAAATATGAGAGAACCTTTACTAACAGCAAATTATTTTTATAGCTGTATTGGGCATTATATTTATAATATATTGGACAGTATATTTTCTCCTAAGGAACTTTCATATCTAGCCATATTCTTACATTAAAAGTGCCATGCACATCAACATATTCATGAATTGTGTCCAAATATCTTGGATTTGTTATCTGTAAAAATTTTAAGGAAATTATCGATGTTATACTGATTCAAAGTCGTGAAAATAAAACGCAAACGAGCATGCTTACATTCCAATAAACATCTTTTTTACCATAAACTAAACCAAGTTTCTCTTTATGATACGTGTAAGTTTTAGAAATTTTGCTGGCAGCACCAGAAACAAAACCAAGGAAAGAATTATCTGGAGTGTGCGCTAAAAATATCAGAATTTTTGAATGAAAAAAATATTCGATAGAACATTGCAAGTCTACAACATGACATAATAGAAAATATAATTTGCTGAAACAGACGAGAGAGAAAGAAGGAAAATGTACATGCATAGAAGATGAATTTTTAAACTACCAGCAGTATATTAAATAATTTCGTACAAAAAATTACTGCGTGAGAATGTTACAAATTCTTTAGCAAAGAAAGAGGGGAGACGTTTAATAAAATAAAATAAATTTGAACAATCCTTACGAAACATTGTCATAAACTGTTGCAGATTGAATTCCAGTCCTCCCCATCCAGATTTGTACTTTTTGTTTTGAGGCAAATTTTATAAAGTTGAATTGCGCTTCTGTACCAAACGTGTCAACAATTCTCGTTTTGCATCTAAAAACATTTCATATCGGCCCATTTTAATTTCCAGAGTGTCTTTTTTATTAGTAAGTGCTTTAATTCCTTCAACAAACCCAAGTTGAAGTGTCCATTTTCTTGGGTAACACCAATCTGTATATCTTACCTAATTTCCGACCAATTTGGACCAACAAATTTTGCCATAAGTCGAATACCAACAATGTCGACATACAACAAATCAAACGCAAACTTTTGCACTGTCTTTATGTCGATACATCCATCTTTATCTGTTGGTGGAATGAAGCTACACAAAGAAGGTGCAATAAACTATCGATTATACACTAAAATATACACTAACAATCTTATGAACATCTGCTGTGAGTCGAAGAACCAGCAACAAACCGTTTCATTTCGTTAATGCTTGTGACAACAGTGACGTCATGACCAAGAAGATATAATGACGTAATAATATCACTCCACTGAACCAATTCTCCCAACGGTCCACCTGAAAACGCATTTTTCAACATCCAAGACTTGGGTGGAAATGAACCGAGGAAAACAATTATCTGAAAAAGATTCAATACTGACGTATTAATGCAGATAAGAAGCAACACAAACACATTTGCCATAATGTAAGTATAATGACTTACCCGTTTCCTTGTCCTCTCTGTCAAGGGTCGTTTCTTGCCTAAATTTTTTATCGCTGTAGCCCAGTCGTCTTTCATTGACGTGATACGATTTTTCATCCAACGATAATCCGGATGTTCAAATGGCCATTGAGTAATCAAGCCATCGATTGATGAGCGTATGATTGCCTGCAGATAAATTTTGAAAATCAAACATTCCTATTTTTGAATTGGAAATCTTTATCATATCAATATTTTCAAAAGACCTTTTTCTCTTCAATTTTTGCGCTTCGCCTTGAGATATCCTGGTTTCTCCATGGTAACGGTGGACACCATTTTTCAACCTATTTTAAAAAGTTGTGTCATTCGCTCGTCTATATTGTCTTTTTCTCATAAAATAATTTCTTCGATGTCATTCGTATGTCGTTTGGTACATTTTCATTTTTTTAATTTTATTAAGGCTTCTCTTTTTGAAAACCTCGTGCATTATTTTTTATTAAACATATGGCTCAAAGCACTGAAATTTTGGTAGCACTTAAAATAACTCACCTCACTTAAATATATGAGAATTTTACACAAATCATCTCCACTTGTTATGTTATTTTTTATTTGAAAGCATGGTAGTTTCCAATATGCTTTAAGGTACTTAAAAGAAAGGACATGTTACTATAAAAGAAATACAGCAAGTTTTACCAACAAATTTCTTAAATAATATAAAGTTGTAACTGTGTATGCAGTGACGTAGCAACGTAAATTTCAGATCATCATCGTTACTCATTTCTTTAAAAATGTATTGTTTTCAAAGTGAGTGAACACAGAAAAATTTATATAGCAGAACGAAACTTGCGGACTGGCTACACCACTGTCAGTAGGCTGAGTAAATTGCATTCCTTTGATTTTACTATCCTGCAAAAATCTAGCTTACCGCTACTTTTTCTTCACAAAATGGATAAGCGACACTTTTGTGGCCACTGAGCACACTTTTTCAACTTTGATTTCTTCTACGGGTAAAAATCAAAATTATAAATTAATACATACTGCTACAAATTTCCATGACTACTTAAGCGGAATTGATCAAAAACAGCCCAATGAAATAGGGAAAGGAATTATTGTTATCTATATACAAAGATGGTAATGAATTATGAAATTATACCTTTCCACCATTAGAGAAGAGATTTTGATGAAAACAATGTTCTTAACAATGAAACGCTTTTATTCTCATAATAATAATGGGACTTTTATGCATTGTCTGCTTTTTTTTTTGCAACAACGGCAAATGTCACTTCAAACTCATAATATTTGTAAGACAAAATTTCGTTTTTCGGTATTGAAGTATTCTTCGTTCCACAAATTACAAAAAGTGTTCGTTTTTATATGTTGGTAGTGATTTTGGTGTATTATATACTTAATGTTGTTCTTATATAATTTTATGTCGCGGCTCAAGCATATTAAAGAAACTAGAAGATTCCTTGACGAAAGCACCTAATGAGCTGATGGGCATTATATCACCGATGTGTCAGAGCTGCTAAATTTATATGCAGTTGGCAAAGCTATAAAGAGCCCGCCGCCGTCTGAAATACTGGAAGACTTTCACAAGAATCACAGTGGTGGGTGTGTAGAGGATACTGACATAAGCATGCTTGCCAAGAAATGTTTGCTGTCAACCAAGGATGTTAAATTGTGGCTTCAGCACTTGACGCAAATTTCTGTGAACAGGAAAAGAGGTGCTGGAAAAGCAAAAGCAACAAGAGGAAAGCGGAGCAAGGGAAAGGAACTCAGGAACGAATTTCTTTTACTACATTTATTTTTTATAGGATCTCTCATATATCTTGTTTAATAAAGTATTAAAAAGTGTTCCTAATTTTCGTAATTTAAAATTAATTGGTCCCGGAGCGGGGCATTTGCCATTGGCAGCTTGCCCGGGGGCTGAGTATTTGCCTTCTTGCCTTTCCCCGGCAGCGGGGAAATTGAACTATTAAAACGAAAAAAATCTAATGCCCGGCCATATTCCCGGGGGGGATGGTAACTCTTGGAATTGACTCATGCATAAATCGTAAACAACACTCCGATGTTTGTGCAATTACCCGTTCCCGTTAAGATTATTTCTTGGTTTTTAAGATTATTTCTTGGTTGTTAAGCCGGGCAAACACTAAATTTGTTTAACAATTTGTTTAATTAAAGATATTTAACTTTTTAGTAGATTTCACCGACATTTTAACCAGATAGTAGCTAACGACTTATGTTTACGTTAACTTGGAAATGCTGGAGAAAATTTATTCTAGTGAAAAAGTTTGTTTTTCAGTTTATCTTCTTGTTGGTAGCGGAATGACTTCAGTGTATTCCTTGTTGAGTTATATTGATGTATATTAATAATTTATTTCTTGACAGAAGAAAGAGTTGTTAAAAACAGGCCGTATTCAAATAAATAAGACAATTGATGTAGAAACGGCAAGTGATTTAAATATTAATTTTTCACTAACTTCCTTTCGCCATGAAAGTCCTAAGTGTTCGTATAAAAAGATGTTTATAATTTTTGAATGTTCTAAGAACTTTTATTATACTCCCACGGTTGAAACAACATTCGGCTTTTGTCAACGTTCGGTGTACGTTTATTGTTTTACACGTCATTGAAACTCTAATTCATGTTTTTAAAAGTACTAACGATATTCGAATTTTTCTTCAATAACTAACAAATTTTATAGACTATGACCGACATATTAGTTAGAAATTGGATTAGGAATCAATTCCAAGAATCAATTTCGCGTATTGTAAAACACGAAGTCTCAGCGATTAAAATGATTTATACAATATTTTTACCAGTATATAGAGCTTTCTTACTTGTAGTGCCGCTGTGACTCCTCCAGTAATCTGCATCTGAAAAATGGATTCAAATGAACCGTATAATCGGAGTTGCTAAGTTATAGTTTGAAATCGGATTAGTAGACTTTGGAAATTTACTCAGATAAGGTTTCCCTCAGTGGAATTTTTGACATAAGTCAAACAGTGCGTTGTTGAATAAAAATTTTAAAATTTTCTTCACATCCATCAGTACATATTAATACTACACTACATTTACCACATTATATTTAAAACGAAATTGGGCGACACGTTGTTTCACTCATATTCAAGTGCAATATAAAGATATAACACATGTAAGGTGCGCATAGTCGTTTCTAACTTTCTATAAATTTGAAGAACGAAATTTGAGACTTTAAGGAACGCTCAAATATCTGCTTGTTTGACTGGGTTGAAAACATATTCAGAGGATTTAATTCCTTATTCTTTGATGATCTATTTCCGTTAAACTGTTTACATTTACCTGTGTCGAGGATTTCTTTTAATTGAATAGCTTCTACGTTAGGAATAAACTCCCATGAGCTATCCATGAAAGATATTAGGTCATTAAGAACGAAAATGTAAATTGTTACGATTCCAATAAATGATAACACGACTATGCCAGTAGTTTTACGTGTTTTCATTGTAATCTTCACAAACAGCTTCGGTAATATTTTGTCACCTGTGCCGATTATGAACGTGACGAACAGCTTGAGTCGGAAGAAAATTCATTGAAGAACATCACCGGCTGCAGGTAACATAATGCAATATCTTTAGGTAGGTATCTAGCTGTATGATCAGGGTTTATGATTGGCTCGATACGCTTGACGAGCGAGCGATAAATTACTGTTTATTTTCATTGTTTGACTGACTCATATTCATATTAGCTATTCAGTAACAACTTTTATGCTTACGAGAGTAAAAACAAATTCTACTTATTAAATTTTTGAAGATATTCTACCAACATTAGGCGATGAAATGCAATACTCACTTTCTATGAATACTTTTGTAGTCAGCTTTGGCAGTTTAACACATGATCACATTACAAGTTTACTTTATATGTCATTGGCAATGACATATGCATAATGCACATACTGACTGAGTCACTGCATTATGTACAAGTCAGCGGTGTATAAAGAGCGTAACTGTGTTAATTTCCTCTTGGTCACTTTTGACGAGTGCCTCTGTCAACCAAAAAAGGAATTTAAACGAAAAGTTCACCTTGGATAACCAAAGACTTTCAACGCTTAACTGTTTTCAGTACTTAAGCAGTGGAAAGTTCAGGTTTGTGAAGTGACCTCAATCATCGAAAGACTACATCCATCTTTCTACACTATATTTTTTATAATCTTTAAATATTGAGAAACCACTTTGACGCTTTAGTTTAGGTGTAAAAAGATCTTTTACTCAGTAATTTCTTTATTGTTATTAAGCCCTTATTAAGTGCGAGGTCTTTACGTAGAAATATCGGATGGAATTTTTCATGGTAGGTTCCCACGGTAGGAACGAACCTCTACAAAAAAAACTTCGGTCCGATATTTCTCCGTAAAGACCTCGCGCTCGGTTATCAAGGGCTTATTATTTTGCGAGAATACTGATAATACGATAATACTTTGATATTGATAATAATCAAAATTCTGGATGGTTTCGACAACGTGAGTATTATTCTTGACCGACAATTTTATTCAGGTGTAAATGTAATTTATCAAATAACTTAGTCTTTACCAACAATATATGTTGAGCAGAAAACAAAGTCAGCGTAGATTATGAAAATGGTCAACTCTATATCTTTCTCAGTAGATTTAAGAAATATTTCCATTTCACCAACAATCTTTACACAAAGCAACTTGACCTTTATTAAAGTCACGACACGGACAAAGTCTTGTCTGCATGTTTGAAGATGAAACACAACTGTATAACAATGGTTGTTTTTGTATATAACAAATCTTTGTTTTTTCATCATACGATGGTGCAACCAACGATTCAACATACTTCAAGATTTCACAAGTAAGACCCTTCCTACAATGATTACAAACGTTTCCCATGTAGAAATGCGGGTTGTTTTTTTGCTGCTAAGATGTATCATCCCAATATGGATGGGTGGAACATGCATTAGAAAAACGGGGCATTCTCGGTGATGAATTTGTACGACATTATTGTAATGCATTGGTTCACCTTCTTAATCAGTGCTATATACTTATTTGCCTCTATCTTTGAAATGGGATTCTTTTGTTTACACTAAATGCCTCACGTAAGTTCTAGTCAGATTAAGAATATATTCTGTTCTGTTTTACCTCTTGAACGATATTGCTTGATTCAAAATTTCCCAATAAGCGGGTTCGCACAAATTCCCTAAAAACATTTTCCGATGAGCTTTATAGTTAACCAAAATGAGTTAGATGCACTCGTGTATTTCAAAACATTATATTGATGCACATGTTGGTCTTTTAACCCTCTTCCGACAGCCTTCCTTTTAAAACTGATATGTGAAACGCCTATTCACCAAGAACCTCTGTAATACTGATATGATAAATTCCTTACCGTTCTCCAAAAAAACATCTTCAAGACTGACATAACTGACTTACCATTCTCCCAACAGGCATCTTTGCATGATTGGCCACGTTTTCCTAAAACTGCTTTGAGGTTTTTCAACGGAGGCCATTGACTCTCTTGGCAAAAATTCTTCTCAAATATATCATAGAAGAAAATAAGTTGAGAATATGAACTACAAAAATTTTAATCATTAGAAAAAATTCTTTATCAAAACGATTCATGCTCAGCAATATAGTTAATACTTTATCATCACTCTATTTTAACATTAGTACTATAAAATCCACTGAATTACTGGAGCTACCAAAAATCATGTTGTAAGTATTGAAAACAAGTGAGTTGTGAGCGACGTCATTAAACCAATTAAATACCACGTGTACTGCGAAGTAAATGATGTTCATGCAACGAATAGATTTAGATTTTGTGTTAAGTGTAAACAAAATTTTGATTTAACTTGATCAAATATCTCATGTAGTCTTGTGTAGTCACGTATCTTATCGATATCATGGATATGTATGCCAAACTGTCCAACCATCATTCCTATAAGAGGCCCAAGTAAATGTCTACTTGTTGTCTGGTATCTTACCAAATGCTCAACTTGAGCGCTCATTCTTTCCAACATTCCCTCGTGTGTATACTCATAAGGAAGATATGGCTTCAGCTGAAGTGGAAACGAACAAAATAGCACAACATTGTTGAATTTTTTAACGAGTTTCACGATGCATGATAAAAAAGCAGTCTTTTTCTCAAATTCTCAATTTGGCTTATGTTCATTGAAGGAGTTGTGTTGGTTCTTGCGTTGCTAAATTTGGTGTGTTTTTTAAATAAAAAGGTGTAAAAAATAGATTTGTGTGGACTGACTTCAAAACTAAGTTTTACCTCTGTTTTCATGATCTTTTCCATCGCTCTTGAAACCTCACTGACATTTTTTATATCAATAGTGTATACATATGGTTCACCTATAAATTGCTCTGCATATGGATTCTGTGACGTCACTAGCCTTCGTGTTGGTTTCATTGCAAAGAAGTCAGAATTATATCTGTTGAGTGGATCTGGAAACTGTAAATAATGACTTTGAAAACATGTAACGATGTTTACAAGAGAGTTAACGATTCTCTATGTATGTATATTTAAAGAAAAAGTCATGTATTTTAATGCATTTTGGCAGCAATGATAAGTTGCATTGAAGAATACGATAGCAGTTTTATTTGCTATTATTGTTACTAGAGATACTAGGTAGAGATACTTTCCCAAAAAATTACTCTTCAGAAGCATGCAAAAGTGAAATCTGAACTCTGAATAACCTGAGACTGTCAAATTTCAAAGAAAAATCAACCCAAAACATAACATGATCACCAAAAATCTTTGACAAAAGTTAAAATTATTATTTAGGTTACAAAGTTTGTAACTTGATATTGCCTTCGTAAAATTCTGCTGAAATAAACACTTGGAGACTTAAATAATAATCTGTGACAAAATTCACCTTTGGATTTAAGAAAGCTGCTCCATGTGAAATCGCTTCAAGGGAGCAGGTCCTTCATAGGGAAATCCAAGACCAATAAAAACCTAAAATGTTTTGAAACTTCAGAAAGTGATTATTTCATTTGGTCAAAAACTAAATTTTTCCAATTTATTAGTGGAATGAGGTCTGCGTCCCATTCAGTTTCCTCAAGGGCAGTAACTAAAATCATAAATGGTAAGATTGGTCTCCTTTCCTTCCGAATTGTTGCATGCGTCCCTTTTTAAATTACTTATTACTGTTTTGCAAGTTGAAATAAAAAACTTTTTGGTTCTTTGTAAAGTGATAAATGTGAAAAGCCTATTTACTAAAATTCAACGGATATGTGATTTGTTTTCTTATCCCCGCCAAAAGTTATTTGCACCCCTGAAAGTGTAGTATAAAGATGCAAGCTTAACCAAAACATTTACTCCTATTACGCAATTTTTAGGAAATTTAATGTATATTTCTTTAGAATCTTAATTGAATTCATTTTTTCGATAAGTAAACATAAAAATATTTGCACTGTAGGAGTGAAAACGGAGAAAATTTTGAAAATGTGTTTGTTATCTCCTTGGGAGCAAATTGTTTTACTTTTATTTAGCATACGACATTAGCATTTACCTTTGATTGTTTAAGAAGTTCTTCGATCGTTGTTCTATTGACAACACCATGATTGATCACATAGTTTGGAATGTATTCTGGTAGTTTTCCTAATGTTCTCTTTTTTTAATCAATAAATGAAAAGTAAGAACATTTAACAAATTATTTCACGAAAGGAATGATAAAATAAGATTGTTCACTTACGTTGAATGTTCCGTGAATAGAAACATATTTATGAATTTCATCTAGGTATGGTCTATTTCCAACCTAAAACACCAATGTGTTTACTATATATGTTAAAAAAGTTAAGCAAAATTTAACAACATTGTAAGATATATTTTTTTATTTAATTATATAATAAAACTTCGATAATTTCTTACATGCTTTCATTTGACTTACTATCCAGTAGCTGTCTTGTTTCGCATAGACCAAAGCCATTTTCTTTTTTGAAATAATTTTCCTTTCTTTTGAAGATTGCTTTGTGGAACCGGAAACAAAACCGATGAAGGAGTTATCTGGACTATGAGCTGAAAAATAAAATAATGATGATGATGAAATTAATTTTTATAGAATAAGTTTTTTCCTTCATTATCAAAACATTAAAATGTCTACATAAAATGTCTACAAATGAAATGTAACGGTGCTGAAGAATATGCACAGCTTAATTCTCTTGGTTACATTTAATGCAGATCACAACTTCTTTTTTAATGAGAGTGTTTCAAAAAGTTCATCGACAGCTAACGCACTACAAAGCGAAGTATTTTTCACGGAGGGTGATCCTAATATATGCACATGGTTTTGACATAGAAAATAACTTACGGTACATGGTCATAAATTGTCTTAAATTTAACTCTAGATTTCCCCAAATTGAGTGATAAGCTTTGTCAGTGATGCTATATTTTCTGTAATTGAACTCAGCTTCAGTGCCAAACGAATCAACTAATCTTGTCTTGCATCTAGAAAAGATAAAGACATTTTTAGTTATGGTTTCAAAACTGCTATTAAATTATGCAATTCGTTGTACAAATAGTTTATGAAAACCTTATCTCGGACCAGTAAAGACCATATATTTGTTTACAGATATTTTATGAAAACCTTATCTCGGACCAGTAAAGGCCATATATTTGTTTACAGATATTTTATGAAAACCTTATCTCGGACCAGTAAAGACCATATATTTGTTTACAGATATTTTATGAAAACCTTATCTCGGACCAGTAAAGACCATATATTTGTTTACAGATATTTTATGAAAACCTTATCTCGGACCAGTAAAGACCATATATTTGTTTACAGATATTTTATGAAACCCTTATCTCGGACCAGTAAAGATCATATATTTGTTTGCAGATATTTTATGAAAACCTTATCTCGGACCAGTAAAGACCATATATTTGTTTACAGATATTTTATGAAAACCTTATCTCTGACCAGTAAAGATCATTCATATATTTGTTTACAGATATTTTATGAAAACCTTATCTCTGACCAGTAAAGATCATTCATATATTTGTTCATAGATATTTTATGAAAACCTTATCTCGGACCAGTAAAGACCATATATTTGTTTACAGATATTTTATGAAAACCTTATCTCGGACCAGTAAAGACCATATATTTGTTTGACGTAGGAAATGCCAGTTATGTCCGTATATAGAATATCAAAGATAAGGATTCTACTGTCTGATATTTGAGACATTTCTTTTTTTTGGCTGATGGAAAGTATCTGCAATGTAAGAAACGTGCTTATAGGAGATGTAATGGCTGCAGTAGATAACAAACCAATGATTGGTTATTGGCTTGTATTTAGATAAACGTTGTTTAATAATAAATATTCTGATTACAGAAAAACAATTTTCACTCTGCATGTGTATATTACTAAACATGCACACGTGAAATAAAAGGTACATACTGCTTTATTTCCTTAATACTTGTGATAACAGTGACGTCATGACCAAGAAGATGTAATGACGTAATAATATCACTCCATTGAACCAACTCTCCTAAAGGACCACCTGAAAACGCATGTGTCAGAAACAGTGGTTGGAAAATGAACGCTCCAAAAAATATAGCAATCTAAAAATTTTAGAAATCCCTTTAGAAAAATTTAAAAACTCAAAATTATAGCAAACGTAAACTTTAATAGGCTTTTGAAAATACAAAATGCAAATGAAAATATAAGTGTATGTAAATACTTTTTCTTTGTGCGCTTTGTCAGCGGTCTTTTCTTGTTAAGACTCTTAATAGCTCTTATCCAGTCCTTTTTCATTGATGTGATACGATTTTTCATCCAAAGGTAACGAGGATTACTCGACCAGTTACTAATCAAGCTATCAAGATCAGTACGCATTGATGTCTAAAGAATTAGAAAATTTGTCCACCTCGTATTCACAGTCAGTAAAACAAAAATAACGTAGACATTTTAACATTCTTAAAAGTATGCGATTGCAAAGTAAATCAAATTTGTTGAAGATGCAAACCTTATTGTTTACTAATTTTCCTTCAAGTACCGCAGAAGCAGTTTTTCTCCAAGGTAAACGCGGGCACCATTTCTCGACCTGTTAATTCGTAAACATGTTAATTCGCTGCCTTATGTATTTTCTGAGTCACAAAATTAATCTGACCTCACTTAAGTAAATGAGTATGGAACAGATATCGTTTCCATTTTGTATATTATTCTCGATTGAATAACATGGTGAACGCCAGTTTGCTTGAATATACTAGAATGACAGCAGAAAATTAGATAACCGAAATGTTGCAGTATAAAAATAATATCAAATTAATATTTATGATCAGTTATCATCTTGTTATTTGCCTTTCACGTATCGCTAAAGTATTTCATTGTCGATTGACGTCGGAAAATATTCATCATTTTAAAACGACGAGTAGATTGAATTTTGAATAGAGTTGGCTGAAGTTGATTAAAATGATAGGTATAATTATAAACTTATACATACGACAATGCATATAGAATTAATATCAATTAAGAATGTTTAACTGCATGAAGTTTTATAGGAATTTTCAACTCGTTTAAAAACATAGCTATGTTTACCGTACATGCATATATGATATTTACCGATACTTTGTCATCACAAAGCGGATACAAAGTTGATGGTTTAGGCACGTCACAAACTCTTATCGGAGTGTATTTCGTACCTGTATCAACGTGAACATTTTAGTTAGAAAATTTAGCAAACATATGCAATGATTAGCTAACACTTATCATTTTTATTAATACAAATATATCAAAATTTTTCCTGAGATACTGGTGATAATGTTTTAAAATACTACCTTTGTTATTATCTTTTTGTTGAGTTTTTAATGAAAAATTCTGCAGTGGGACATGTTTCTCTTCAATCGTATTTCTTGACAGTTTGTTTCCTAAGGTTGATTAGTACAATCCAATCAATCAGTACAATCCAATTAATGATTAAGTTCAACGTTCAATTTGACAAAATTGAATCTTGCCTGGCCCAAATTCACAAAATATGAGAATCTACATTTTGTCGTTCAGAATTACATCATGCATGTATCTGTAAATTTGATTGAAATGATGTTTTTCTAATCGTCATACCTTTCATGTGATGGTAGTTTTCATCCAGTTGAATGCCCTGAGTGTTTAGCATTATATTAGTTACTTCCCAGGAAATGTCTGAAAAATTGATTAATATGTTAAAAACGATTATAGTTAAAGCCGCTATTCCAAGATAGCATAACATAACTATATCCGTAATTTTATGTTTTCTCATGTTTTGAAGGAAAATTTTCAGTGTTTAGCAGAGCGACATAAAAATGTTGTGTGCTAACACAATTTTGTCACATCAGAACGGCAAACAAAACATTGCCACATCATACTTAATATTAATGAAGAATAAAAGATGAATTTATTATTTTTGTTTTAGACAAAAAATACCTGTTTTGTTGCCAAGTGATCAGTCATCAAATATGGCAACATACTACATAGCTAACAAGAATTCATTTGTCTTTCTCGTCTAATCTTTTGTCTTTGTCATTATAATCATATGTATTGAATAAAGAAAGAAGGTTTTAGAAAGTCTTTTTTACGTGACAATTTAAAAAATCAGTGACTTTGATCCAAATATATATCTTCGGTGTGCATAGATGATCAAACAGGCTCATTATGTATGGTGTAAAAATAATTTATTTTTACAGTTTTGTTTTGATGACAGAGTCTCTGTTTTGATGACAGAATCTCTGTTTTGATGACAGAATCTCTGTTTTGATGACAGAATCTCTGTTTTGATGACAGAATCTCTGTTTTGATGACAGAATCTCTGTTTTGATGACAGAGATTATCAGTTAATCTAAAACCAAGTGCGTTAAGAGTGCAAATAGTCTTTCTTTGATTCACATTACCCGTTACTCGTTACTTCAGTTTTCTGACATAAACTGATAAATTTCCGAAATAAAAGTCCACAGTCCATTGCTAACCTGACTTTCTCTCCCACTTACAAATGCTATTTTCACAAAAGACATCGTGACATCCATTGTTTCGCTCCAGATGAAGGATTTGCAAACAATGTTTGTCTGTATAATAACACGTGTGTGTGTTTCTGATTTTTTTGTCTTTAAGTGATCTTCCAAATCCCAAATGACCATGCAAGATTCATTTACAACTTGTTCATACGCGAATCTATCCGTCTTGAAAAACATAACAAAACAGCTACTTTCCGTGCGCGCAATGTGAACGTCAAAATAAAAAGAAATATTTTTTCGAACCTGATTTCTGGCAATAATAACATCATTTTCAGTCGACAATAGCGTTGGAAATATAATAAAAAACAAATTCCAAAGAAGCAAGACATCTTGAGATTACAAAATATGAATCAGAACAAGACGAGAAGTGAAAAACATAACAAAATAGATACCTTCTATGCGCGCAATGTGAACGTCAAGATGTCTTGTTTCTTCGTAATATGTTTTTACTATATTTTTTTTAACTGTCGGCTGCAATGGCTTTAATAGCATTAAAAACGGAGATGTTGTTAGTTATAGCTTATCATCGCAATGAGAGGAAGTCAAGTGTTATTTTACAAAAACTTTAATCATTACTAACTGAACCAGCTTGCCATAATAGAAGGCAGAAGTTTTTACGAAGAAAAAAAGTTTTTTTGTTCCATATGTGATCAGTCGCAGATTTTTAGTAGACCGAGGTTTCTATGAATCTGGTTTAAAATAAGCATCTAAACATCCACGCTCGTATATGATATATTTTATAAATAATTTTACAAATAGTATTTTTCGTAAATTTCATTAGTCTTATAAGTCATAATCAATGTTTTAATAATCTCCATGAACGTATCTTATAATTATAATCGATTTTTTCATTTTTCATATATGAGCTTCTATTCAGTGAAAATATCTTTATGTATGCCGATCAAGGTAGACAAAACACAAGTGAAAAGTTGAAACAGTCACAAAAAGAATACGTAACAATCCAGTAGTTATTAATATCTCACCAGCATTCTTTACATAAAGCAAAGTTCAATGTTAGTAAAATCTCTCGATATGGTTATTGAAGCCGCCTAACATCCAGATCTCGTATATTAGATAAAAAATTTCCGAATAAATTTACCAACAATCTTTACATAAAGCAACTTGACCTTTAATAAAGTCACGACACGGACAAAGTCTTGTCTGCATGTTTGAAGATGAAACACAACTGTATAATAATGGTTGTTTTGTAAATAACAAATCTTTGTTTTTCATCATACGATGGTGCAACCAACGATTCAACATTCTTTACATCTTCACAATTCAATTTCACTCTAAGAAAGATATCGTGTCATTTATAAACATAAATCACAATTATTATACCATCACAGAGAATAACTCTCACCTCTTAAACCAAATCTTGTGATTCACTATTTCCCAATAGGAAGGTTCACATAATAAACCTAAAAAAATAAAGGAGTCACTAGATAATTATCGTAAATTATAAAATTCATCTCTTGATTCAAGTTAATTTGTGTGCACCTTTGTTCCAACATGCATCTTTACAAGATTGACCAACTTTTCCGTTTACAGTCATCATGTTCTTCAAAGGAGGCCACTGATTTTCTTTACAAAACTCCTGGATAGAAATATACATTAATTTTTTAACTGAAAATATACTTGTTAAACACCACACATTGAAATTTACGTGCATGTTCAGATGAGTTATTTATTTCTATATGTTTTCTTATTAACTTACCAAATGCTCAACTTGAGCGCTCATTCTTTCCAACATTCCCTCGTGTGTATACTCATAAGGAAGATACGGCTTCAGCTGAAAACAAACCCTTGATGATGCGCAAACTGACAGACGTAAACGGTTTATAAAACTATGTTGGTTTTACCTCAGTTTTCATGATCTTTTCCATTGCTTTTGAAACCTCACTGACATTCTTTATATCAATAGTGTATACATATGGTTCGCCTATAAACTGCTCTGCATATGGATTCTGTGACGTCACTAGCCTTCGTGTTGGTTTTGACGCAAAGAAACCAGAATTATATCTGTTGAGGGGATCTGGAAACTGCGGAGAAGTTGAGCATTCAATCAATTTAAGTAAATGTTCAACGTTGCATTTTTTTACAATAATATTTATCGTAACATATCGAGAGGTTTTTTTAATTACGTTTTTATTTCTTTATCTATATAAAGAAGAAAAGTATATTTTTACCTTAGGGTTTAAAAAAGCTGCTCCGTTAGCAAGTGCTTCAAGAGGAGCGGGTCCTTCAAATGGAAAACCAAGACCAACAAAAACCTAATTACAGACAAATGAAATATTTTATGTATGCACAGCAAAGTTTCTTTCTCTCTTAACTGCAAAATTTAACTGCATAATTAGCATGTTTGAAGATTAATTAAATCATCTAGTTGATTGATGCAATATGCAATAGCCTTACCTTTGATTTCTGCAACAGGTTTTCCAAAGTAACTCGATCTATAACTCCGTGGTTTTAACGTATTTTGGTATATAAGACGGCCAAGTCTTTTCTGTCAACTACAAAGCAATTAGAATAAACATTTCTGTATTTTTTTATTTGCCTTGTTTTAGTAAATATGTTTTTATCTTACAGTGAAAGTGGCATGAATTTCGACATAGTTGTGAATTGTATCCAAATATCTTGGATTTCCAATCTAAGAGATTCGAACATAACACATTAACACACTGTATTATAAACTGTCACGTTTTTAACGATTATGCTTACATCCCAGTAACCGTCTTGCTTGCCATAAACCACACCCATTTTCTTTTGGCGAAGATGATCATTATTAGTTGAATTTTTTGTACCAGTACCAGACACAAAACCAATGAATGAGTTGTCTGGACTATGAGCTAAAATTTTGTATTTTAATTGCAGTTAACAGGCAAACAAAGGAAACTGTTTGTTTATTGTTAAAATGTTCATGACATGAAATTTCACAACGAATTTATTTGATTGTATTGTAAAGAGCATAAAAGACTTTGTGGACTCTTTAGTACCATTAACTTATTTTGCTTTTTTCTAGGTATATTCAACTTTATTCGTTATGCAAATAACATTCCAAACCACATCAATTTTCTACATTACAATATTGTTTTATGCACAAATGCAACTGTTTAAAAAATGCATATGCAGACAAATATTTGTAGAGCTGCAAAATTTAGATATTCCAGTCGACAAAACTGTCATTTCTCAATGCTAATTATGCAATGTGAAATCATATCGTTATCATTTGCATATCGATGAAAATTACGTATCTCCGAAAGGAAATAAAATTACACATATGTCTACAAGAGGGAGTGCATATGAAGTTCGTGAATGTAAAAAACAAAGTTTATAAAGTCTTACGGAACATTGTCATAAACTGTCGGAGATTCAATTCCAGACCTCCCCATCCACTTTTATAGTCTTCGTTTGTTTGCATAATTTTTTTGTAGTTGAATGGCGCTTCCGTTCCAAACGTATCTACAACTCGTGTTTTACACCTAAAATGATCATCCGAAATATTATATCCTTGCTTATCGCAAAATTAAACCTTAAATATTTCTTGTATTTTCTTCGAACAGATCTTAAGCTGGTTATTATCAACGACATATTACTGGCCGTTTTTTACCAAGGGAACGTGCTCCACTCCAACCACCCCTTATTCATGACGCTTGATTTCCATCGTAATGTTATTTGCCATGTACGATAGGAGACAAACATTATGATTTCTGGCGATTGGATTCATTGATTTACAAATGAAAATTTTTGCTCATCTAAAATTGCTTGACCTTTAAGATGATGACGCAGTTAAAGCCACGCATAAAAGAAACAATGTTTAAGGTTGGTCACCTCGGCATTTTTTAGCCGTAGTGATAACATGAAAATCATGCATAACTTGCCTCGTCGTTTCCCTCGACAAATGCCGGAGTGCCGAGAAGAACGTGCAAAACATGCGTTTGTTAACTAAAAAGCAACATAGAAAATATTTTCCTGTCTATCTTACATACATATCATGCTGATTTTAATGCACTAAACTGCATAGTGTTTGTCATAAGTGACTAAAATAATCTTAAAACCATAGTTACTCAGGAAGGAATAAAAATTGCAATGATTTGTTCTTCATGTGTAAACTAAACACAACATTTCACAAAAAAACGAGTTGACATACTTGATATCTGACCAAAAAGGACCAATAAACTTATTTATGATTTGAACACCATAAATATCTGTGTACAACAAGTCGAACTCGAACCTTTGCACGGTTTTGTTATTTATACATCCATTTCCGTCGGTGTGTGGAGAATATCTAAATTTTCGGATAAAAAATACGTATAGGCAGTCAAAAAATACCAACACTCTTCAGCTTCTAGGACTGAAATACGAAAGCTGATCTTACGTTTACACAGAACCATGTAGCATTTTATAAACAAGTCTTTTCATAACCTTTCATAGTATTTTTATCAGGGTTCTTATTCAGCGTCTCTCGTAGAGTGGCTACAATTCCCCTGCTTTCTCGTAGTGGCTATTACTAAACATTTTATGTAAAAGTTCTTACTAATGACAATGACATCGTCAAACAAACCGCTTCATATCGTTATCACTTGTAATAACAGTGACGTCATGACCAAGTAGATATAATGACGTAATAATGTCACTCCATTGAACCAACTCTCCTAAAGGTCCTCCGGAAAACGCTTGCTTCAAGAAAAAAGTTTGGAAGGAAAACGCTCCAAGAAAAACAGCCACCTAATATTACCGAGAAAATGCGACGTATAAAATTCACAAAGCTGCAGACTATACTGTATGTAACGAACTTACTCTTTTTGTCCTTTTGTCAACAGTCGTTTTTGCTGAGGTTTTTTATCGCTGTAGCCCAGTCGTCTTTCATTGATTTGATACGATTTTTCATCCAACGATAATCTGTATTATTAAATGGCCATTGAGTAATCAAGCCATCGATTGATGAGCGTATGATTGCCTGCAGATAAATTTTCAAATCAAACATTATTTTAAATAGGAAGTCTTTATGACTAGTCCAGTTCGACGACCTTTTTGTCTTTCAGATTCATACTGTGTTGCGAGAATGACTTTGTTCGCCAAGGTAGCAGTGGACACCATTTTTCGACCTATTTTAGAGAAAAATACAAAATTTTCTTATTTATTGAGACAAAATTGTTGAGACCACTTTTTAACACGATTTTATTTTCAATAGTTAACTCTTATTTATCTACGAAAAAAAAAGTACAAAAACGGTCACTATTAATTAACTGAATATAAAAATAAAATATAAAAAATCTTATTTTAGAATCTCGGGAAGAACACATAGACACAAGCATGGTAGAATTCACAAAGAAATTGCTGGGAATGAATCCTATACCTGTCCAGTCGTCATAAGTGGCCTTACCTCGCTTAAGTAAATAAGAATCTGACAATTATCATCTTCGCCTTTATAAAATTTTCTTCTTTAAAGCAAGTTTGATTCCACACCGTTTTCACGTACTTTAAAAAAATAAATGCAAATGAAAACTTCATTGCAACCTGTTTTCGTATTTTATAACGAATAAAGTCTGAAGTATTAATATCAATTAAGAATGTTTAACTGCATGAAGTTTTATAGGAATTTTCAACTCGTTTAAAAACATAGCTATGTTTACCGTACATGCATATATGATATTTACCAATACTTTGTCATCACAAAGCGGATACAAAGTTGATGGTTTAGGCACGTCACAAACTCTTATCGGAGTGTATTTTGTACCTGTATCAACGTGAACATTTATAGCTATGAAAGTTGAAAATTTAAAATTCAATTTTTAAATTCCAGTTTAAATTACTACCTTTGTTATGATCATTTTGTTTAGTTTTTGATAATAAATTCTGTAATGAGACATCTTCCTTTTCAACTGTGTTTCCTAAACTTTGTTCTCCTAAGTAACATTTAAGAAGATTACTTTTAGGAAAACAACATTTTAAAGAACAAAGCGAAAATTTGTCGTTGAATTTTTTGTATCATTGTGAAATTATGAAATCTTTCTGGGGATCATACTTTTCACGTAAGGATGGCGGGGGTGACGGTAGGACAATAAAGTGGGAGGGGGGATTCTAATAACAAATTTTCAATCTTTAGTTAAGTGACATAAAAATATTGTGTGTTAGCAATTTTGTCGCATCAAAACGGCAAACAAAGCATTGCCACATCATATTTGATATTAATGAAGGATAAAATTGAATGTTGTTTTTTTGTTTTAAACAAATAATGGTTGTTTTCAAGCCAAATGATCAGTTATCACTCATCAATTACGATAACACACTTTATTAACCATTTAATAATTGCTCCAGTGAAATCTCAATTTTTCGGTGTCTGTCGGTATCATTTTCCGGGGGAGATGCTTATGAATTAAGGGGGAACGCACACACAATCACAATAAAGTACAATGTTACATGTTGTAGATCGTCCAGGTTGGTAAGTCCTGAGTTTTGTTGTTGTTGACTGACGTTTCGACAACCTTAGCGGTAGTCATCTTCAGAGTCAACCTTAGCGGTAGTCATCTTCATCTTCATTTGACTCTGTCGAAACGTCAGTCAACAACAACAAAAACAGTCCTTCTCAGGACTATACCAACCTGGACGATCGACATTTACAAACATGGAACGATACTCCCGGGTTGAAACTTTTTTGCTTTAAAGTAGAATGTTTCGAAACTTCGAAAGTAGCGAAACACAAGAAATTATTTAAATACTTTAGAACTGATATCTGAAAATATAACTGCTTGATTAATTTATCTTTTATATCATTTTAATATGAGCAAAGATCTGAATGTAGGCCATGTTCAATTATTATCCACAATTCTTCCAATCGATAACATGAAAATGTGAAGCATGCAAATGGAACAGTGCCTGCCTCTTTTGCAAATTGTTTAGCATGCGTTGATTCGCAAAAATCTTTGACATTTCGCGGCTCATCTCTCAAAAAAAAAGTGTTTGTTGAAAAAATTTTTGGGAGAGACCAAATATGTGCGCAAATATTTGAAACCAGTGTAAATATCTGTCAAAAGTTGATGTCAGTAGTAATCATGAAAAAATGTTAAGACAAAAATCGTCTTTCCCTTTCATTTGCCACTATTTTTAAAAACTCAACACATGCTTATATAAATTTTTTATTTGTTGAAAGGAATCAAAATGAGTCCTATATTAGAAAGAGGAGTCCCTAATTTAAAGCTGTCAGAGGATTAAAACGTAAATCATTGCAAAAAACGATTTCTAAAGAACTATACATATAATAGAAACTAATATAAATAAAGTTACTTAAAATGTTGTTTTTCGAACTTTTTGAACACCGCTGACGATGCTAAGTCCAATGTACCAACCAACTTTGTAATCCTCTCTGTTACTCTTTGTATTTATTTATCATTTTATCACTTAGCTACATTTCCTAATCCTGTAAGCCATAATCCAAGTTATATAAATAGATGTGTGGATAAGTATATATTTTCGTCTCGTATTTAGCCAGTTCTGTGCTTATTTGCTTCGTTTATCTCGCACTCTTAAGTTCAAAATATTGATATGTCCTGCTTGGATTACTTGGTAACAAACATGCACTAGCTAACTTTCTTGTAAAAACGCTTGGCGAGTCTGCCTGCTGCTTTTCACACTATCTACGGAGATGAGCATGTTAAATACTTAATTGTTGAAAATTTATCATTCTATGAGGTGAAACAGATCGACGAATTACTTATTTGACAAAGTTGTGGTTAGTTTCGTCAACTACAACATACAGTATTGGCTCTTGTATAGTTGTATGTTTTGATTACGAGACTACTCTGACCAGGAATAGACTTTAAACATAGACAGAATATGCTTATTTCACAAAATTAGATGCATAACAAGGAATGAGATTGATTTAAAACTCGCTAAAACGATAATCAATTTGATGAATGTTTACAAAACAAATTGTCATGCATGATTTTGTGTGGATTTTCGTGGCAGTTATTAAATGATACAGATTGGCTGTTCACATATCACTCAAGAAATGTCCGACGTAGAAGCATAAAAGATTCTTGTGAAGAAAATGTTGTAGCCATGACTCACCGATGCCTATTTGTTAAGTGTCACCGTTTTATTATTCCTAATGAAAATCCCCGCACTCATTTCTGTTGGTGTGAAGTAGTTCTTGTTTTAAAGGATAAAAATGTTGCTATGAAATGGCCATTTGAAGCACATAAATGTAAAAAAATTCTGTTTTGGGTGAAAATTTTAGTTCAGTGTAAATATCTCAACTCGATGTGTGCTCTGTGTGTATTCGTGAATTTTCATACATTTGTTTACTATGTAGAACGTTGTACAAAGTTTTGTATTTTGTTACATAACATTTTGAGTTCCACCCTCACTCTCTTGAAATTGTAAATGTTATTTGTAAAAACGCATTCGACGAGTGCCTATTTTTTAGGATTCTCGTACAAAAATTATGCTGAATGATCAATGTGTTTTTTGTGTTTTTAATAACATGTAGGTACTTATAATAAGCTTGCCGGCTGATTATTTTATGCATAAAAAATATAAAAAGTTTAGAAACCCCAAATACAAATAACTCAATGAAATTCTATCACGCAAAAAACTATTTATGGCTCACTTTTTCATGAAAAAGAAAGAAATGAGACAACGCTTTCGATACTAAATATGCACGTTGTGATATTATTAAATTTTATGGATATAGCCCGCGTACCTTTTTTTAAATTTTCTTCTTTCCCCATTACATTTTCTAATTTTTTTACCATGTTTGTAATTGATGCAATTATTCCCAAACAGACAAGCAAATACAATGTCCTTGACCGACATCGCCGCATTTCTTTGATTCAGTAAAGTTTTTAAAACGCTGAATATTGGAAAGTTTTCTCTTTGATTTTCACGTGCGCATAACAGTTCACACACCGCAGTAGCAAAAATAATTATCAATGCCACATCACAATAAAATGATTATATTACGTATGAAGCAAGTTTTAAAATAGTAACATGAGACAATGATTGCATATATTCTGCCTTATTTTAGATATTTTCTTTTTTTATAATCGTTTGTTTTGCCTATGATGGAAATATCTCTGGAGAGCAGAATTGTGGTAGTTATATTACATAAAGCCGGTGTTAAGAATGTCGAATAACGCAATTCACTGGATAGGATTCTTATTCATTGTTTTACAACTATTTGCAAGGCATACTAATCAACGTTTTAAAAAGTTATGATTACCATGTTTTTTGTCATCCGAAAGTTATTTCTTTGAGCTGTCAAGCTTGTCACCTTTGAAGGCGGTAACTAGTAGTTTCGTGTGCGTAACCAGGACGCCATAGAGAGATATTATATTTGAAAGTGTTGAGATTATTTGAACTTGCGACTCCTGATTGATACATTCAGCCACGCTAACTTACTTTGTAATCAATAATTATGCATCTTCAAAGTGACAAGTTTGACAGCCCAAAGTTATCAATGGACAATTCCATTCATAGAGAAACCAAGGACCGGTTGGATAGCGTTATGCATTTGATAACAATTTTTTTAAAATTTTTTAAAACCTTTTAACAAGCAAAGAGGTTACGAAATTTCTTTGTCGTAACACCTTTTTTATAAGTTTGAAAATATTTGCTATCCAATAGATAACGCTATCCAGGCTTTGTGAAACCGGCCCCTGGTCTCTTCGTGAAACTTGTCCATGGTCCCAGATTAGAAACTACTACATAATGTAATATCCAGTTACATCACGATGTTGACCATGGTTACTTTGACGGGTAGCTCATGATTCTTAAGGCGGATCTCCACTAGACGATTTTTATGACGATCGTCTTAAAAATTCGCTGCGCCACATGCGCAGTAGGAAATAAAAATCGTCAACTAAATCGTCAAGCGCTCGACGAAAAGTAGAAACGGTTTCTACTTTTCGTCGAGCGCTTGACGATCGTCGTAAATTGAACCAATGAAATTTCATTCCGTGAAACTAATTACCATTTCTCTAAAGTCAAAATGGCTGCCACCAGTGGAGAAAACGAATTCCAACTGAACGGTACAAATCCTGTAGAAAATATTCCGTCAGAGATTCAAATACTTGCATCTCCGAGGAATATCTCAGTGGTGCAACATTTTGTTGATCAAAATGTTGTGCAAGATGTTGGAGAGCTCGATAAGGAAATGTTTTTGCAAGCTCTCCGAGACTATAGTTGCTTGTGGGATACAAGCAATATAAACTACAAAAATAGGACCATGAAACTTAATGCATGGAAATCTTTGTCTCGAATGTTCCAGCGAGAAGGTAAGTGTTCTAAATTAATGGAGGACTTCAAGAAACTTGAGAATTTCACTTGTGTTGTTTGGTTATTGTGATGTAACATGTTAAACATGCTAAAGTGGACAGGAAAACTTCTCGACGTTTCTGCGTAAGGGTGTTCGTCTCACCATTTCGTTTGACTGTGCTCCTTGACTATATGTGTTATTTCGTATTTTATGTCAACTCTAACAAAATTTGTTTCTTGCCCTTTTTCAGTTCCATACCTTCAGAAAAATTTTAAGAACCTTAAAGATTCTCTAAAAATGCCTTGATAGGAGACGAGCATTGTCTAAATCTGGGGCAGCTGCTTGACACTTCCAACATGCAAATATTTTGAGGTTATGAGATTTCTTCATGAGAAAACAAGCAATTTGGAAACTCACAGCAATGTGGATCTTGAAATCCAAACAATACCAGAGAACATATTGGACATATCCTCATCACAATCTCCAGGACCTAGTCAGCCTTCTTCAAGCTGTTCAAGTGTATCAGATGAGGCAAAATATGGTAAAAGAAAACGTCCTAATTCTAACGATCAACTAGATCCATTTCTTGACCATGTGAAGAGTATGGACCAGAAAATGGTAAATTATTTAGAAGGATTGTCAGGTAGAGAAAATGAAGATAAGGATGAAGCAGAGTTATTTTGTATGAGTCTTGTTCCAGTTTTAAGAGATATGGAAAAAAGCAACTCAGACAAGCTAAATTAAAATTCAACAGCTTTTGTATGATTTACAATATTCAGATAGCTAAAGAAAATTGTTGTAGAACTTCACATATCGCATTAAAAATTAATAACATACTCTCACTTATACAAGATACATGCCTTCCAATGAATACAGATATATAGCAAGTGAAATCATTTATTTTTAAAATTATAGCTTAAACATGTATTGCTAACTACATAAGTGAAAAACCCCCTTTCGTATGAAAACCCATCACATCACTAATGCTCATATTGAATATAAATAGCTTTAAATTTGTTTTTATTTTGAACACCTTACTATTTGCCACTGCCAGTCAACTGCTCCTTCATTATTAAAATAATCGGCAAATTGTTCACGAACCCACTTAGCTTCTGCACCATAGTTATTTGATGCACCAACATCTGTAATGTCACCCAATCCATTCATACAATTTGCATCTTGTCGCCACTCACCAGGGTTAAACTCATTACCCATTTGCCCATCTTGATCAGCAAATGATGGTGGGCAGTATAGATTTGAATCGTCATCTTCATTTATGCTCATAAGGAAGTTATGCAATGCCACAACAGCTTTAGTTATGGCAATCACATTATCAACTTTGGCAACTATAGGCCTATGAAACACACGAAACCGACTAGCACATATACCAAAAGCATTTTCAATGACACGTCTGGCTCTGCTTAGCCTGTAATTGAAAATTAGTTTCCTCTCAGACAGGTTTGAAAAAGGATAGGGCTTCATCATGTGGCGTTTTAGGCCAAATGCATCATCCCCTACAAATACGTGGGTAGTACTTTCGTTGAATGGGTAATCTTGCCATCTGTGGGCATGTTGAGAAGCTTGTTTTCAATAGCATAGCCAAGATTGCTGTTGGCATACACGCTGCCATCACTTTGCCGCCCACTATCACCAATATCAACCAGTGTGAATTTATACTTTGCATCACTAACTCCCAACAAAACAATGCTATGAGTCTTTTGTAATTAAAAACTCGATGCCTGTCCAGCAGGAGCAAACATCTGCACATGCTTTCCATCAATTGCTCCCAGCATATTAGGAAAGTTCCATCGATCTTCAAAATCTTTAGATACTTTTTCCAGTCACTTTCAGTGCAAGGTGTTTTCATGAAACCCATTTCCTTTAGTTTGTCCCAAAGTGCGTTGCATGTTTCGTAGATAATTCGACCAACAGTCGTTGAGCTCATTCTATAATTGGCAGCGATAGTTGTATGAGCATCCCCAGTTGCCAAATATCGCAGAGTGACTAAAAGTCTTTGATCTACACTTATTGGTTCTCGCATTTTCGTCTCTTTCTTTCTTATCATCGGGGCAATATACCCCAACAAGGTCTCAAAGTGTCAGGTAACATCCTGAAATATCTGAAAACATTTCATGATCGTATAATCGCAAGTCTTTAACCAGCAAATTGTACTCTCCTTTCTCATTTCTTTCCTCGTACAGTTTACGCATCCAAAATCTTGGTCGTTTTCGCTTTGTTTTCATGGATCTTACTCTACATGCATGCAGTAAAATCAAATGCCTTCGAAGAAGTAAATAATGCATTAAAGTTTGATTCACATCCGCCATTTTCTCAATTTCACATTGCAATTTGCAATCGTCTTTGACGATTTTGTTGACGATTTTGTTGACGATTTTATTTCCTACTGCGCATGTGGCGCAGCGAATTTTTAAGACGATCGTCAAAAAAATCGTCTAGTGGAGATCCGCCTTTAGGGTGAAATATCCATTGAGCTCTAAAAGACCTGGAGGGGCAAAGGGGCCTGGGCCTCGTGGTCAAAAACATGGCGGTAATGGCGGATTTTGGTTGTCAAAACTTCCACTTTGAGAAAAATTTTTAACATTCGCTCCCTCCCGAAACGGATCTCTATTACTGCTCATAGTAATGACAACCAGCGAAAACAACCACGATGCCGTAAGCATAAAATATTGAAAATAATGCTTAAGATTTTTGTGAAATAAACACACACATTTAAATGAGGTAAATCTACTGTAAAATAACGTATATTTTGTCAAGTAATGCTTTAGCTATATTAGAAATAAATATCAAACGGCAATCTTTACACTGTCAATGTGTTGTTAAGCTTTAATGCATAATCCCATGCGCATTACTTGTGTTTTTGACTGTTTGTGAACAGCTTGGTGCAACTGTCTTTCTTGAATAGATGGGTAAATCTTAGTTAAAATGTCCAAAAAGGAGTTAGAAAAGTTAGCTTACCCCTACGACTTAAGTCGACTGGAAATATATTATAAGTAGGTATGTAATTTTTTTGAGTTTTTTTTGGTAGGATTGATTCTGGGTGTCTTATAAAGTATTATGATATTCTGATAAATCTACTGAGAACTTATGAGGAAAATATCTTGAACTAGGAGAGCAAAAGAACGAAATTCAGAAATTCTATAATCATGTTGCTGGTTCTGTTTTAAGCCAAGATATTAGAAACTGGATTGTTATTGACAACCATGGATCTACTACTGAACAGAACTACATTAATTTCCCATTGAAAATACTATTTCTTAAATCAAAGTGCATTGGTTTCTCTGACATAACACTTTTCTTATTGCTGCATGAAGGCAAACCTGTTTAAATAATTATAATGTAGGTGAAGATATTTAGCATGTTGTATAATTGTTATTATACAGACATTATTTATAATATTATGGCCTTGTGTAATGTATGTCAAGAACTTATTAATTCTCAAAATGCTAACCTTCTTGCACTACTTTTCTTTTGTGTCCTTACAAATTACAGTTACCTATACTAATTTTTTCTAGGTTCAAACAACTTGACAAATTTTTGAATTTTACATTATGCCTTTGAATTTTTCTTTTTGTCTTTTGGTAAAAATATCAGTGAATGACTTAAAAATCAAGTTTATCTAAAATAGTATTTTGTACAAAGTAACTATACATAATTGGAAAAGTCTCATGTTGAAGACAGATGTGGCTTCTTTTACTAGATTGCTACTCTTATTCTTTTAAATGATATCGTAATTCTTCAAAAGACATAAAAAGTTCTTTGCCATCAATTTTTGCTTCTTCCACATTCAACTTCATTGCAACCAATGCATCTTATGTGAATTTTTAATCACCTGGAATTGAAAAATGTATGGATTTTGTCAGATGATGCAGTACTGTATTTAATGTTTCATGCATGTCATGATAAGCTTTTCTTGAGCAAATATTTCAAGGTAGGAGCAAAATTTGGCACATTATTGAACAAAGTAGTTTTATCTTGATTTTGATGTACTAACCTGTTTACTACACTGTGTAACAAACAATTCATTTACAGAAACACCAGATGGCATTTATAAAACTTTTAGCATAAAGCAAACCTTTACACACCATCATCATGCTTGTCCAAATCTGTCAAATTGTCCAGGCTAGCTGTTTAATACAGGTAATTTTTATTGTACGACATGTACCAAAGAGCTCATTAATCAATCCTGCACTGCATTTGATTTCAATACAGCTCTGTCCTTAATATTTGCTTCATATTTTCAGAAAAATATCATGACAAAATCCTCCATTTCAACTCAGTTGAAACAAGGAGTTTTAAGATATGCATATCTCGATAAGAATTCGTTGCATTGCCTCGTCTAGCAAGCAATTGAGTAAAGAACAAATAAGACTGGATGAACATAACTTAAATTATGAATTAGGAGTAAAAACATTCAAAAATATATAGCATCACACTTCAAGTTTGACTTAAAAACAATACACTGAACACTTTAAATGGTAAACAATCTTACGTTGCTTACCGGTGTCATGAAATGTTTCCTTTTCTGGCATTACTTCAGCATCCGTATACCACACAAGTTTGCAGCATGTTTTATACATTAAATTTCTAAAAAGTGTTTGTGCTTAGCATTGACATTTTATTTAATCGTAATTGTGGTTGTCAAATCCGGGTGGGCGAAAAAATTTTATTTTATGAGCCCGCGTCTTTCCGCTGACTTTGACAACCAAAATCCGCCATGTTTTTGACCACGGGCCGCGCGCTAATAATTTATACTAATTTTGTTGACGTTTCCCCTCCAGGTCGTATAGAACTCAATGGAAATATCCGGTTGTTGAGACTGCAGACATTTCGTCATTTATTTACATATTTAATTATTCATGTTTCATATTTATTCAATTTTATTGATATTCTATTCTCCTCATTCTCGTTGAATATCTGAAAATCATATAAACTCTTGAACACCGCTACTCGCGTCAGTTCTTAGCCTTATAGGTTTTCAGAAAGGCGAAATATTATGTTATGAAGCATTATTTTGAAGAATTATTACATCGCTTCGCTTATGATTTTGGAAAGGTTTTTCAATGGAGATGAAGTTGATTATGTCAGTGAGACATGGTTGTAGACAGCCACAACAGCTCATTGACACGAAACGAAAAGCGTAGCCTTTAAGCTTGTAGTTCAAACTTCTTATTCCATTATGGACAGAAAATAAAAAAAAATTGAAATGGCCAAACAGCCTTCGACGAATGATGCCTGCCGCAAAGAGTTAAGCTCATTTTTAAAGCAGCTTTCTCTTGACCATTTGGACAGTATCTTTCCAAGCACTATGAATCTCTCACAATTTAGAGCGCTTACGGAAGATGAATTAGAGCAAAGTTTTCACGTTAATGATGATAAAGACCGGGAAGATATCATGCGAGCTGTGAACACATCAAGAGAAGATTACAGTGATGATGAAGACGAGGTTTGTTACTTTGAAAGTCGTATTTGTGTGACTTAGATATGTGATTTCTACTTGTGAGTCTAAACAATTCAGATTTGGTTGTGTGTTTGTCTTTAACGACTTTGTTGAAACGTGTATCAAGAATTTCACCATTAACAAAGCCAGTTATATTAAGAAATCGCTTCGGCTGCATGTGAAACAATATTTGTCTTACACCTCATACCGACAAACACTACTTCGACAAATATTTTGTTTACTGTCAATACACGTTTTGCCTTTAATAACTAAATGTACAAGACTTTGTTCACATCATTACCGTGTATAACGTGTTCTTTATTTTAAATATTTTAAGTCGTCCTTCAATTTCACAAAAAATAAGAATAATTGAGAAACATCTGTTTCAAATTCTTACAATGTGCATCTACACTTTATCTTTCGAAAAAATAATTATCATATTGAAATGTGTATATTGCTCAATAGCTACCCACTACAAATATTAAGACCTATAAGAAATGTACCGAATATGACAGATATTTGATTCTTATGTGAGACACAAACTACAAACTACTGTCTTTATAACTTTTGTGTATCAAAATCAGAATTTCTGTTGACTTTACATTTAACTCCATGCAAGAACAAATTTTTTAGTAATTAGTAAATCCCAGTTGATGAGGATTTCTTTGGAACATATAACTGAAACATGTGTGTTGTTGACTAAATTTTTGAATACATTGAAATTTAACATGCATGATTGAATTTCATAATCGCACTTGTTTTCTATTACTTCTTATTTTGAGGGTATATTTCCTGTGTATATCCTGTTTGGTTAGTTGAAACTGTGAAAAACATGCTATGTGGATATTGAATATCTGTCAAGTCTATAGCAAAATAGAAAGAATAGCCAAGATCAGGAAGTTGATTTTTGGAGTTTGGTATTTAGGAAGGTCTTCCATCAAATAGGTCTTTCATTGTATATTACCTTTTGAACTATCCTAAGGAAGAAAATAGCTGGTAGCTAAAACTGTAGCAGTCATTTTTCAACAACAACTTGATTTGAGGTATTTGTCATATACTTTAATAAGTGTCCATTCTCATACTAAACAGCAAAACATACAAACACAACAAAATGTTTCTTACTTTATTCATGGTTCAACACTCGATTTATGATTCATACAAAGGTAATTATGTAAATAAGTTTCTCATTTCTTGAAGAATAATAGAAATTAGAGGGTAATTGCCTCATGTTTGAAATCTTTTAAATAATTCATCAGGACAATGTAAAATTAATACCTAACAAATTTGATGAATTTTTAGCACTGAACTAATTCCAACCTAATCCACTAAGTAGCCCTGAAGAAATCACATCAAGTTTGTACAAATTGTAGGGAAAACTGTTTATCTAGCATACTTTAAAATAAGTTTAATATAAAACAAATTCCGAAGAAGCAAGACATTTTGAGATTGCAAAATATGGCTGAAAACAAGACGAGAAGTAAACTGTAAATTTTCGACTTTATTTCAAAGTCATCCTCAGACAGAATGACTTTGTGCCTGTCTGAGGATGACTTCATATTTTGTTTTGATTCATATTTTGCAATCTCAAGATGTCATGCTTCTTTGGAATTTGTTTTATATTATACTTCTTTAAATTGTCGGCTGGTCATGGTTTTTAAAATAAGTTAAATTTGTTCTTTCCAATATGCTCTGCTCAACACTTACTTCTCCGTATTACATTTTCCTACTGTTAGGTGCCCTTGAAGTTCAAACTATGCCCATAAAAGTGGAAATTTTTGCTAGGCCCAAGAGTGTTTTGGGAATTCTATGACTCTTATTTTATGGTAAACAGTGGTGAAGACCCTCAAATGCTAATTCGAAATTTTTTGCCTTCGTCCTTGTTTGAACATGTTTATGATTGATGTTTTATATATATTTTAGGAGTTAGGACTATTATATAACTCTCTACCATGTGGCATTTAATCTATTATATTTTGCAGAAAATCTACATTGCCCATACACTAAATCTACAGTTATAATTTTCTTTGACTCCATTATCAATTTCTTGTATCAAAGTACTTCATCAACACATATCAACAACTTGAAAACCTTTGTGCATTCATATGCACTATCTAAATATTTCATGCAATATCACAAATATTAAGGTTACTGTTTTTCTTATTTTTATACTGATATAAATATATAAATGTCAGCAGCGAAATTCAAAATTTTTTTTTATCACCTTTTCCAAATTGTAAATGAGAAATATTTCGTTGGTGTTTGTGTCGCGTTCACAATGTTTATATCAAAACTAAATACGTTAGAAGTGTTATATTCTACTATTCATACGAATAATCTATAACTGAATAATCATACTGATGAAAATGAATGCTGAAATTTAATATTTTCCGTCAAGAACGAAAACCAAAACGGGCCCGGCCTCGCTTCTATCTCAGCTCGTTTAATTTTTCATGTATTTGCTTCAAGACAGATCTTTACATGAATAAATAACTGTGAGATGTTTTAAATATTTTAATTCAGTCGGATTGTGAATCTAAACAACTATCGTTGACACTCCCCAACGATTTTAAAGTTTCAACCAAGTCTGGAAACGATGGAAGAAAGTTGATAAAGATGGAAAATTTTGTATTCTTCAACGGTCCCGAGGAGACGACAAATCTTCTTAAGATGCGATCATTAGGAAGCTCTGAGCCTAATCTACGAGCTCTATCGGTAATGAATATTGTTAAATAATTGAATCATGTTGGTTATTACAATTCGGTATTTAATCAAGTGTAGATCGGAAGGACATTTTGATGATAAGTTTTTCTATATAACTAATTATATGAGTGTTTTGGTTTCGCAGCTGGTTCATGCCAGTAACGAGGATTGTTCGAGTTTGTTTTTGATTAGAAATAATGATCAAGAGAAGTGAATTACTTATACGATATTTAGGCTCTGAGCGTCACCAACTAACAATTCATGTCATTTGTTAAATCATCATTGTCTAATTGAATATATCATAACTTAACCCTGTTTATCCACAAGCGTTTCCCTTTAATTTCATTCATTTTTCAGGAGATGAGCAGCAGGAAATATAGGTACACTGCATTTATTAAACTCTTATGTTCTATTAATGAATAACTTTAAACTTTTGCACTTTTTACATCGTGTTGATTTTTTTTTCATAATGTAGCATGGCTTGTGTTCGTAGACATCATAGAAATTGTGGATCTGGAATTAAGATACCACATCAATCTGGGTCTCCAAGAGGTACGTCCAGAAACTCCTTAGCATATGAATGTGTTTGAATAGAAATGTATAATGAATGAATGAATTTTATAAAAGGCTGGGAAAGTCCAACTAGTAGTCCTTTACACGGCTCATGTGCATCGTCAATACCGCTTCATTTCAACTTTTCGGCTTCCAGATGGTATGTATTGGAAAGAGTTTTTATTATTTTTGACTTCGTGTAATTTGCGTTATTTGGAAAACTATATTTGTATAGATTTTTCAATTTAGTTTTTAAATAATTAGCGATCTCGTTCATGGGAATATTTTCTTCTCTCTCATTTCTTTGTTTTGGCATTTCCAAGACGCCATTTATTGCGTTTATTGTACTCATTATGTGTTCAATTTTTGCCATGATAATACCATCTTTACCGTACGTTTCTGACGAAAATTTTTTAATTATTGCTTTCATGGTTTGTTTTAAAAGTCGGAGGTGGTCTGTTACATCTTCTGGTTATGGTACAACTCCTTACTCATCGTACTCGGTATGTACCATCTGTATAGATGTGTGTGTTATAGAAGAATATACCGTTTGTAGTTTATGCACTTCATAATCTAGATTATATACTTTTATATGTTTGTAAATGATGATCGTCCAAGTCCTGAGAAGGACTGTTTTTGTTGTTGTTGACTGACGTTTCGACAACCTTAGCGGTAGTCATCTTCAGAGTCAAATGAGGAGTAAACGTCAGGTTAGCCGTATTTGTTATCTGGTTCTTACGTCATTGTATTTTGTGTACAGGAAATGTGTATTGTCATTGTGGATTAGTGTGAAGTGAAATATTTTATTTTTAGTTGTGATGTGTGATTTAGGTGTGACGTTTTTAGTTGTAATGTGTGGGTGTCAATTGTGTATTGTCATTGTGAATTAGTTTGAAGTGTAATGTTTTTAGTTGATCGTTTGTTTGTATTGTGAATAAGTCGTTTGTAAGGTGCCGGTAATTGCTGTGATCTGTTCAGGGGGGTTTGTTCCAAGTTGGTATACCAACTTTCTAATGTAAGCCGTTGTCTATAGTCAGTACTGTAAGTGATGCATTTTGCCGAGTCCCAGTCAATGTTGTGCTTTGTGATTCGGTGATGTTCGGCAATGTGATTAGTTTTGTCTTGTTTCTTAGTAGCTCGTTTGTGCTCAGTAAGTCTTATGTTTAAGTTCCTGCCAGTTTCCCCGATATAGGAGGCGTGGCAGTCGGAGCAGTTTATTTTTTAAACTGCACCTTGTCGTTCCTTGGGTATTTCTTTGTCCTTTATTTACGTTAGTACTTGTCGTAACGTTGTGATTGGTTTATGTGTGACATGTATGTTGTATAGTCGTAAGATACGCGAGATAGTCTCAGACGTACCTTTGATGTAAGGTATCGTTGCTGTTGTCACTGAGTTGTTCGTTTCGTTAGGTTCGTTGGGTTTTTAAGTGTTGCGTTTGATAAAGTCAGAGTTATAAGTGTTTTTGTCAAAAACACGTTTGAGATAGTTGTTTTCGTTTTGTAGAGCGTCCGGTGAATCACATATGATTTGTGCACGTCTTGTTAATGTTCTGATTGTGGTGGTTTTGTGTGATGTAGGGTTGTAAGATGATTGGTCTAGTAGTCGGTCAGTATGTGTTGGCTTGCGATAAACTGTTGTTCCTAGTTTTTGATTGACGTGTTTTACCAAACAGTCGAGAAAAGGAAGAGTTTCGTTTTCTTCGACATCTTTGGTAAATTGTATGTGGCTGTTCTGTTTGTTGATGTGAGTATGGAAGTCATCAATCTCGTCTGCATGTAGTGCTGTGATTGTGTCATCTACGTAGCGAAACCAAAAAGGTAGTGCATGTTTGTAAGTCATGAGCGCCCGTTCCTCTATAGATTGCATTACAATTTCAGCAACTACAACAGAAAGGTTGTCGAAACGTCAGTCAACAACAACAAAAACAGTCCTTCTCAGGACTTTATTAACCTGGACGATCATCATTTACAAACATATAACGATACTCCCGGGTTCAAACCATTTGCTTTAGTACAACATTTATTGTAGAAACTATTAACGCTATTTTGAAACATTTTTTAGTCTTTGACGTCTTCTCAAGACCGACTAAATCAGGTGTTTATCCGATGTTTAAATTCTCATTATAAACTACTTTATTTAAATCTTAAAACACTACTTTTTCATGAAAATGTACGTAATCTGTGTACGTGGAAAATTTTAAAACGGTTAGTGTGCAATTGATTCGTTTCGTTGAGTTTTATTTCATCACATACGTGTGACGTAATCAAAAATGACGTAATTCTAAAATTAATGTCAAAAATGTTTTTGATATAACTACTGACTCCCAACGCCTGACAAAACTCTGGATTTTCACATTGAACTCAAGCTCTTACATATGAGTATGTATTTGTATGTTTTAGTTACCGAACATTCCCTCGTTTGATGACTTGCATTTCAGGTATTTAAAGCAACTTCTGTAATGTGTGTGTTAGCGTGTGTTGTACTGTGGTGGCTGGATTAGTTGTGATAAATTTTTTTGATAGCAACTTATTTAATCTCATTTAAATATTGCATCGTTTTACTTTTTATCTGTCACATTCCCTAATTAATAAGATATTAGTGTTGGGAGTGGATGGTTTGTTTTGTTTTTTTGTTGTTACTTAGTAGAAGGTTTATGTTAGGGGCAAGCTCGAAGTGATTAGTGGGAGTTGCTGGGTTAGGTTATTTCCTTTGAAGACGTTATTGAAGTATTTCTTTTCATACGTTTCTGATTTGTTTTGAATTTAACCATCGGTGAACATAATTGCTGTGTAAAAATAACGTATAATAAAATAGTCGTTTGTTTTTCTCTGTATCAAGTGATGTCGACGACGAACGCTTTTTGCATCGTGGTCGTTCACGAAGTCTAAGGTGGTAATTTCTACTTCGACACAATTTCTTGTTAATACCCTTCAGAAATTGTATTCATATTTAATTCTTGGTTTTTTTGTTAGCCCGACACGGAGTATTGATGCTCATACAAGCGATATATTTAATTCTGCATGTTTGTACAAACATCGTTTTCCAAAGGTTTGTTTAAATTAATATTGATACATGTTCTAAATTGTTCTCATGATATAGCTTATTACGTCATCAATAGCTTTTATTCATGACGTAATAAGTAGTGTATATTTTCCCCTTTATTTTACATTTTGCCAAACTCGTCATTCTACTTGAAAAATCCAGTAGAAGACCAATATTTTTGTGTGGGTAAAGCACGGATTATCTATTGAATTATCGAAAACGACGGTTAGACATAAAATTTCTTCAGTGACTTTTAAAAATCCCTGAACCAGGAAGATATTTTTAAAGAACTTTGTGACGATGTTTACAAAGTGAGTGACAATGAATCGAATCAAAACATTTCCTAAAGCGAAAGCATTCTATGCAAGCTGTGTATACTTACAAACATACATATCAAATATTTTTTTTATGTTTTGCTTTCTTTTTCCCGCTGTTGTTAATATTTTGAACATCGTATTAATTATAGGCTGTTGAGCAGATGGAGGAGAAGTTAAAGGTAAATTTTAAACTGCGCCAAGTTTTATGGCAGTGTAAAATATCTCTTAGCGCAGCTTTCTTTATTTGTTAAAAGAATATTCTAGCACAGTCCTAATCATCACTATCCCTGTAGGTATAACTTTGTTTTTTATGAAATAAATTGCTTGGTTTTTATAGGAATTTATTGAAAGCCACGTTGGAGATGACAATGAAGTGATGAAAGTTGGTGATGGTGTTTCAAACTTCTTTCTTGTCCAGGTAATCACTGAACGCGTTCATAAAGTTTGTGCATTATGCTTCTACTTGTATTCAATGGTGATCAGTATAGGTGCGTTCATAGCCTAGCAGGGCGCCTAAGGGGGGAGGGGAGTCTTGAGCCCCATTCTCACCCCCCCCCCCATAGATAACGTTTCTGCTAACATTTATAAATGTTGGCCTAACTTGAGACAAACTAAGATGTAGTAAATTTAGTAAATATATGCTGTAGCCTCCCAATGTTTAATTTTGTGGCACCGTCCCTGATAGAGAGAATAGTTTCATGAGATCGACGTTATATATGCATTGATTTTTGAAGAAATAAAAGATGTTTACTGTGTTTGCCAAGGCTTATGCAAACCGAGGTGACCTTTGGAAGAACTCGAGAGCAGATCAGTGCAAGCCTGACACCGAAGGTCGGGGTTTGCACATGTTCGAGAGTTCTCACAAACGTCTCTGAGACTTTCATTATTTAAGCCAGTGCAAACACACAGTTATAATCAGTTCATTTGTAATACTGTTTCAAAGTAGTTTATCGTATGTGATCATCGTAACTATCGTATCTTTATTGTATTAGGTTGTTGAGGCTGCTCGCGATTGTTTAAGCAAGTCTAAAGATGGTGTTCTAACTAGCTGCTATTTTGTCGATTTGAGTGATAATTTACATAGATTATTACATGAGGTAATGATTATTAAAGTTATCCTGTCCTCTATTCTTTTTTCCTGTTACCAAGACAAACACCTTGTAATGTTGTACACAAATCCATCTAGGCTCGATCAAAGACGGATAACGAAATTCCTGTCATAAAAGTATTTCGACAGTTGTTCATCATTGTATCGCGTGTTGCGCGACTTCTTGCTTGCTTGGTAAGACAAAGTTGAATACTGTGTTGATGTAGAAGACGACTTTTGTGTAGTAAGTTTTGACAATTTTAGGAATTCAACCCGAAAGAGTTCTACAATAATCTACAAGCTACTGAAGTACGAGCTGACGAGTTGAAAATTATGTCAGAAGCAGATTAAATTTAAATTGTGAACAGACCTTGTCTAAACAAGACGTTTTACCCAGTAGCCAGGTACAAATGTCATGACTACTTTGAACGTAAATTGTTTAAAGCTTTCAGAAAACGTAATCATACCAATTTAATTAAAATTGGTTCTGTTATTATGAAATTTGTTCTGTTATTATAATTGTTATAGGATTCTCCACGCAGTGAAGTTCCACCATCTGAAGATGATTTTCAGTACAAAAAATTGATTAGCAATGGGGCCTTTGGGTAAAGACAATTGGTGTTATTTTTTGATGGAAGTTTTTCTTGCATCATTTGGTGTATTTTTATTTTAAGAGCTGTGTATTTGGTTCGTCATAAAAAAACTGGAATGAGATTTGCCTTGAAGAAAATGAAGAAGCAAAGTATGATCTTAAGAAACAAGGTGCGATTTTCTTAACGCTTGTAGACTTCGTAAACATTCCTTGGGAGAGTTCCATGAATTTATTAAGATGGTGACTAAATGAGATAACCATGAACAATGTGGTACTTTGCAGGTTAGTCAGGTATTTGCAGAACGTGATATCTTAGAATTTACAGATAATCCATTCGTGGTCGGAATGTGGTGCAGTTTTGAAACCAAGGTAGAAAATATACACTTAGAATGTCAAAGAACCCAAACTAAACAGACAACGATTTTCGCCTCTGTACATTAATATAACAGGATTCGGAAATCATTTGTTTCTTGAATAAATTTGAATATATATAATACTTATCTTGTAGATATCTTGTACATATTGATAATTCTGCCTGCCGCAGCTTTACATTTTATCATTCTCTGAGTTTCATAAACGTTCAAAAACACCAAAAAACTGAAACATATTCAGTTTAGAATTCACGTTTAATCTAATGTGACTATATGTGTCGAATAAAAGCCAAAGGCCCCGACATCTAGACGATCGTAATTGATCGGTGTGACGTAGTAGTTCTCATTCGCGCCATAAGTAAACATAAGTAAACATAAGTTAAGAACAAAAACACTTTAATAAACCAATGCCTTTATTTTATTTATGCCATTTCAATTTGAAAATCAAGACATCTTGTCAAACTTTTAGAAATATTTTTGTTTGGTCATGGAGTTCGTTGAAGGAGGTGATTGTGCTTCTTTGCTGAAGAATATTGGTTGTTTACCTGCAGAGTTAGCTCGGTATTTATTTTTTGTTTTTTGTTTTTGTTATGAATGGAAAATAAAATATTTTACGAACCTTGTTTCCTCGAACATTTTGAGGATTTTTTCTGAGTTTTTTTCGATCAATTTTTTTTAATCAATTAAACTGTGCATGCAAGTAATAGTTCTCCAAAACATTTAGACAATATTTCTGTCAAATCCTTTAGACAATATTTCTCCGAAACTGTTCTGGCTTTGGAATACATACACAGTTACGGTATCATTCATCGAGATTTGAAGCCGGACAAGTATGTAAACTTTCTTGTTTTCATTTGTGCTTGTTGAATGGCATGCTTGCTTTTTGGCTATAAATAATTGTAATCACTTCGTTTAATAAGCTTGACAAGCTTTGCCTTTTCGTTAGAAAGGACATTTGCAATGACAATTTTAGATTATTAATTTCAGTTATTCACATGTTTTTCCCGCTTTTTACATTTTAACTTGTCAGTTGTCCTTATTTTGGAGTCATGTGATCAACCTACGTAATGAATCTACTGTACACATACATAGCTACAAATCATATAATTGCTCATTTACGATGACTTTTTTGAATCTACTGTACACATACATAGCTACAAATCATATAATTGCTCATTTATGATGACTTTTTTGAATCTACTGTACACATACATAGCTACAAATCATATAATTGCTCATTTACGATGACTTTTTTGAATCTACTGTACACATACATAGCTACAAATCATATAATTGCTCATTTATGATGACTTTTTTGAATCTACTGTACACATACATAGCTACAAATCATATAATTGCTCATTTACGATGACTTTTTTGAATCTACTGTACACATACATAGCTACAAATCATATAATTGCTCATTTATGATGACTTTTTTGAATCTACTGTACACATACATAGCTACAAATCATATAATTGCTCATTTATGATGACTTTTTTGCTGTTCATACTTGCTTTCATAAGTGATACTAAATTCACGACAAATAACTTCATTTGCCACCACATTCACTTGAACGTTGGAGGTGTATATTCCAGTTGTGCCCTACAGAAATCTAACATTTTTTATTTATTTCAAAAAATCATTTTTCATTCATGATTGATTTTGCCATTTTGTATTTATTGACTTTTCGCCGTTTGTTTTTTTTCCAGTTTACTCATTACTTCCTTGGGTCATATTAAACTAACTGATTTTGGTCTTTCAAAGATTGGTTTAATGGAAAGTAAGAAGCTATAGACCATGATGTCGGGAAATTCACTTCTAAAACCACTGCGGTTAATATGGAATCTAACAATCTCTTACATTAAATTTTTCTTTAGTGACAACACATCTTTACGAAGGATCTATGGAGTCTAAAGATGGAAAACAATTTATGGACAGACAGGTATACGTATTTCAAAGGAGAAACACAAAAATATATCAATAATTTCACCGTTTAGCTTGAGTTGTGTTATGGCGTTTAGAAGGATAAATGTGTATGTTGTAGCAACCATGACGATTATCCATGGGTATTTTGATTTTAAATTTAAATTCGTTATGGGGTTTAGAAGAATGATGTCATTTATTGTATTGCATGTTGGTGCAACATTTATGATTTCTTTTTCATATTAAGCTTGAAAAGTCGCTCTAGCCTTAGTAGCCTTTAATTAATGGTCGTGTGTTGTGATGACCTAACCGATGTGTTGAAAATACTGAAAATTTTCATTCTTACAGGTGTTTGGAACTCCGAATTATATCGCACCTGAAGTCATTCTTCGTTATGCTTATGGTAAACCTGTTGATTGGTGGGCAATGGGTGTTATATTATATGAATTTCTTGTTGGTTATACTCCATTTTATGGTGATACACCTCAAGATCTTTTCAATCATACATTGAGTGGTGAGTTTGATGTTAATATTTTATATTTGCTCATCTGAAAGATAATAAGAACGTGGTAAAATGTTGATTATATCAACATCATATTGAAAAAATGAAAAGACAATACGTATAGAACAAAAGTGATATTCAGTTCATTGATTTAACGATGTCTACTGTTTCTACTTGTCCTTAATTTTTTAATTTCAGGCGAGATAACCTGGCCTGATGACGTTGAAATTGCTGAAGATGCCAGACAGCTTATACTGCGCTTATTAGATGAGGATCCTTCAAAAAGATTAGGTCTATTATAGTTCTCTTTAAAAGATATATTCTTGTTCCATATACACCAAACGTTTATTTTATGCTCTAAATGTCCAAAGCAAATGAGATCTAACTTTATTGAATTTTACGTTTTTCGAACTTAGCTAACAATGTATGAAGTCTATGACGAGATGTTGAAATTGATATGAATCCATGGAAGCACAAATATTTTGGAATATGTAGGTTCATTTTTAAACTTGTTGCTCATTTTTGGCAGGTGATCACGAAGTGAAGACGCATATTTATTTCACTGGTTTGGATTGGGATGCTTTATTACGTCAAAAAGCAGAATTTATACCACAATTAGACGATGAGGAAGACACGAGTTATTTTGACAGTACGTAAATCAATGTATATAACAGCTCAAGCGGCTGATTACATGAGCCCGAGTAGCCGGGATTCAACGAAGCGTTAAATGATTTTGGCAAATGGAAATGATTCATTACTCGTCATTAGATAAATCTTTCACAATATTCTGGTTTAATAACTACGCAAAACATTTAAAATTAAAACAACCAATTTGGCCTAATTTGAGAATTACAACGGGAGTGACTTGTGGCGCTTAATAAACAATTGTAATTTTTTACGCTTGAAGTTCTGCCTCCTTTCAATACTTCGAAATCATTTAACGCCTAACTGAAGCCCGGTTAGCCGGGATCATTTAAACAGCCTCTAAAACACATATAGCTACACTCATATATGAATTGTTTGTTGTGATTAGGAAGAATGCTCAATAAAAATGTAGAAATGTTTTTCTTTATATTACATTTCTTTTCAAACATTGCAACTGAAAATTTAATGTCAGTAATATGATCATGTGATCTGTTGTATCTAGAGCACATACAAACAAATGATGTGAGATTATTGTTGTACGTAGAATCTTAACTTTGTTGTGTTTGTTGTACGTAGAATCTTAACTTTGTTGTGTTTGTTGTACGTAGAATCTTAACTTTGTTGTGTTTGTTGTACGTAGAATCTTAACTTTGGTGTGTTTGTTGTACGTAGAATCTTAACTTTGTTGTGTTTGTTGTACGTAGAATCTTAACTTTGTTGTGTTTGTTGTACGTAGAATCTTAACTTTGTTGTGTTTGTTGTACGTAGAATCTTAACTTTGTTGTGTTTGTTGTACGTAGAATCTTAACTTTGTTGTGTTTGTTGTACGTAGAATCTTAACTTTGTTGTGTTTGTTGTAGCTCGAATGGAACGTTATAACCACGCATTAGAAAGTGACGACGACGATGATGATAGATCTTTGGACTTCAGTAATTTTTCTACCTGTTCCCCTCGGTATTCAAGAATATGTAATTCACCGTCACCACTTGCTTCATCACCTGTCTCACCGATTGGTCAAGAAATGTTTAATGAACTTAAGTCTAGTGAAAAAACCATTCGTAGAACATACAGTGATGGAAGTAATTCCCCTCCCACAGTACGACGACGTAGTAAGACCGATTCTAGTATTTCCTGTTTTAACGAAAGGTATGTTTTAGAATATGACAATTACATATTTTACATTATTAACCTTCTTTAGTATATATTTTGCCGATATTGACAGCAATCTAGCCCTCTATCGTTGAATGATTTTCAAATGATTTTTTGCTTTATTAGAAGAAAAAAATTGATAAGAAAATATTAAGCAAGGGTGTACAATTTTTGAAATTTTTACAAATCTGTTGAATTGTCTAAAACATGTAAACAAGTGATCAAAATGCATTTTCAAACCAAAACAATGACCATAAAACCAAAGTCAAGGAAATCAAACGACTATTCATTGAGAATAACGAAAAAGCATTTGTTGATGAAATCTTGAGATAAATACAGGATCTTTCCTTAGGATAGTGATATTGGTTATATTCATGATTTTACCATTTAATTTGCCAGCAAAACGGACTCAAATGCGTCATTTGGTCATCGTCATCACAGTGATAATGAAAGTGTTTTGGATCCACCACCTACAAAGTTGTCATTTGCCGGTGCTGAGGAAAATCAAGAAAAAGTTGTTTCCCCTCGAAGGAACTTTCCTTGTCGCGAGTCAAATCATTCAAGCAATAGTGACATGTCTCACAACAAGTATGAATCTCTCTTTACTGAAGTTATTCAAATGTGAAATTTGTTTGCTATTTTTAAGTTGCTTATCCTCGTTATAAACTATAACCATTTAATTATTTACGCAATTGAGCTCTTTTCACTGGAAAATATCGATTTTTTATAATTAATTGTCGAATTTCTTACATTTCACAAGTTCTCGTGATCAAGAAGCACCACCAAAAATTTCTGCTACCCCCATTAAAGAGAAGAAATCATTAAGGAGAACCGGTGCCAATGCTCCAGTTCCATATTTACTAATACCCAAACCTCTAGATGTTAAAGAGATTCCGGTGAACCTTGTTCTGCCCCATCATCACCTACAAAGTCCATGAAGTCGCCTTTACGACGCCTGAAATCTCTTCCTACACGTCAGGCTAAGGCAAAGGCAGATACCAACAAAATTCCAAAACTACGATTACCTGGTAAAGGTTAAGATTATGTCAGTAATAGGGACACATCCTTGTTGGGTTTTTATTGTCAAATTTCCTTAAAACTTCATACTTAAAATATATTCTTTACTCAATTGTACTTCACATTTTTTACTATACTGCCGGATCAATGATAAAATGGCAAGTTCTCTTGTATTAGTTGCCATACAAAAAGTGTTTTTTTATATATTAGGGTTTAAATGTTTCGCTTGTACTCATTTTTGCAGAAGGAGGCTGTAGTTCCAGTCCCCATTGAGTCCTCGATCACCACCAACGTCTCCACGACTTCTGCGCAAATCAAGTTTCAGGATTGCAAATCGGCAATCGATTACATTTAAGAAGTCTGTCAATGGCCTGGGATTTTCTTTGGAATCTATCCGTGTTTATATTGGCGAGACTGATTATTTTATTGTGCATCATTTAATTAAGGTAATATCATTTTTTATGCCGCGTATTGTCCATGGGAAAAATTAATTATGATTTGTGACGCGAAAAACTAGATAGTTTATTATATTCGCGTAAGTTTATCTTAACTACTGTTATCATTGGTTTGAATTTTAAAAAAAATTTATTTTGAAATAATCATCAAAGTAATTTTTATGGTAAAGATGGTGCTTTATAATTTAAAAGTGGTAAGAATATATTCCTCTAGAAAAAGTCAATAATAACAGACATAACCAATATTTTTGTGTTACTTTATAGAATGTAACACCTGGAAGTGGAGCTGCTGAAGCTGGATTGAAAATTGGAACGTTGCTTACACAAGTTGATGAGAAGGTTACGTGTTGCTAAATACAAAATTCTTTCATTGAATATCTACAGATAATTTCCTCTCTTATATATATTGAATGGGTTTTAGTCAAAACGGATGGTGTATCAACAAACGAACTCATTCTAACATCTCGACTTTAAGTGTATCTTATTGAAATCGTATTTGATTTCATACAAATCGAGCCCCTCCCTCTCCCCAAAAAATTATCACTTCCACAAATACAAATGTAAATTTTTACTTCAATAGAGCATCAATGGCCTCAACCATCGTCAAGTTATTGAATTATTACTCAGTCGACAGCCTGTTATTAAACTAACAACTATTGATCTTTCTCAAACCACCATCAAACGTGGCGGAAGGAAACGTTTTACATCTGTTAGCAAACGTATTGGAAAACGTTCATCATTTCGTAGCCACAAGAGAAGTTCTAGTAATCATTCTATTCCTGCTACAGATGAGCGCTCACGAAAGAGTTCTGTTATTAGAAGATTTAGTGTAAGACGAAGTACGTCGCCTAGATGTGCAAGACGCACAAGTTCACTTAAAAGAACTTCATCTAATGTTGAACGTGGTAGCACTGCTTCACGTCGTATGCATTCTTCAATGATTGTGTCGTCATCACAAAGCAGTAGTCCGTCCTCATCTCCTGGGGGGTCTGGAACCCATATGGCAAGACCCGGTTAGTTAATTCAATTGTGATGATTTTTTCATGTATTTGCTCTTGATTACACGAATCAACGAAGTCTCTAGTTGTGTCAATGATTAATTTATGTATTGCCCTATCCCAGTAGTTTGATATGGCTCTAGGCCAGCGGTATGATATGGCTCTAGGCCAGCGGTATGATATGGCTCTAGGCCAGTGGTATGATTTGGCTCTGGGCCAGCGGTATGATTTGGCTCTAGGCCAGTGGTATGATTTGGCTCTAGGCCAGTGGTATGATTTGGCTCTAGGCCAGTGATATGATCTGGCTCTAGGCCAGTGATATGATTTGGCTCTAGGCCAGTCGTATGATGTGTGAATAAAATCTCTCTTTTTTCATACGTAGGTGCGTTGCAAACATACTCTAAGCAACTCAATCGACGGAAATCTTCTAGTCAAGCTCCGCTATCACCTCTTGCGAGAACACCATCTCCCTGCTCTTCGCCATCGCATCAAAAATCCCCCAAACGTAGCTCCTCTCCTCTTACTGTTCGCACTTCGTTATCCCCCATTCACCCTAGAACCCTCAACGTGTCCCCATCTCCTTCAGGTCGTCCGGGCTCACCGTTACTAAGGCGAGCGTTGTCACCAGAAAGATATAAAACTGCTCCAGCAGGCCAAATCAAGTTTGAAATTTATCAAAGTAGTGATAAAAAATTCAGAACTACAACGAGTTTGGATAAACCTGAGAGCAGTTACAAATGATATTCGCCAAAGATGAACAGCTTTAAATCACCGTAACATGTTTAACTCGTGATTATCATGGTCTGTTAATTCTTGTGAAAGTATACTAAAAGCGTACAAATTACGGCGTTGACGTCTTAGGAATGTGTGGACCATCTTGTGTTGGGCTCAATGCAATGTGGGAATAACCTGCTACAAAAATGAAACCCAATGAAACATAGGAAAATCTTTAGAAAGAGATAAAATCACTGAGGAATATCTGGCGTCAAGTGTCTTTTCGAAATTCAAATCATATTGCATTGTAAAAGTGGTTTGATGAATGGGATTTTGTGAAAACTTCTGTACCTCAATGAAAAGATGTATAAATACTATATGTTCGATGTGTATACAGAGGCGTAACTAGAACGTTAATTGGGGGGTGGGGGTGTAAATTCATATATTCAGTTGTGCCCTACAAATTTCTTTTTAAATTTAATTCACTTTCATATGAATATGCACCCCATTTAACGTTCTAGTTACGTGTGCATTACCTACAAAAACAGTAAATTGTGTTTTTAAATGGGTCCAATAAATACGGGATGTGTGTACGAACACAACTTTACTCTTCTGATTGCATATTTATACTCAATCTGATACGTTGAAGTCATGGAGTATTCACTGCGTAGTTCTTTCAAAATTGTAAATGTTAAAAGTATTTAACTTTAAGAATACATTCAACAAGAACTATGAATACAATGCCTTGTTTTTCTACGCTTGACCTCTTCACAATTTATAAAATATTTTCAACTTTGTACATATTTTCTTTAATTACTTGTCGCTAAATAATCAAACTAACGAATAAACTATTAGCTTGTCGTTTACATAATATTGCACTACACAGATCATTGTCAATTTTTTGTTCATGTTCGTGTCCATGCCAATTTTGAGATTGTTTGCGTCGTTTCCTAGAATGATTTATTATCTCACGTTTTTAACGAAGTGACCAAATCTGCGTAAACATCAACCTTCGTTTATTATATCGAGACGGGGAGAAAGTTAAGTCCACCCTGTCCTTATTTGACTTGTATCCAACAAGGTATTTTGTGCCCTTTCAAATTACTCCTATCGTTTGCATCAATTTGGGAAGAAAGATTCTTTCCATTGTTTTATTTTTCTTCATTTTACTTACCATGCCTGTCTCTTCTTCAATTCTGTTGTAGTTAGATGTTTGCTCTTCTTTTCATTACTTAACAATTTTTTTCGTATAAAGTTTTGATTTGAGTCATCTTTTTTCGAGTTTGTCTTTTTTCCACTGATTTCCTCTGACCAAGGTGTTTCTCATCAACTGATCGCAGATAAGTATTTTTCTTACTGTTAAGTAATTTCTCAGCCCTGTGTGGTCGCCTATGTTTGTATTTACCTTCCGCTCTGTTTTCTTTTCTTTCTGGACTTCTACGATACTCATCTGTAATCGATGCAATTCTAAACGCAGAATTTTCGTCTCATCATTTAAACGTTTGTTTTGTCGTTTGAAGGATTCGCTAATGTTTTGAAGATTTTGTCGTAGATGGTTTTCAGTGTGGACATATTTGGCTTTCTCCACTTTGCTTTGTCCTCTCACGACACAACCTTCAATTGGTAAACTTCTGTTGTTCATACTTTGTAAATGTCCAACTATGATAATAAAGAAGTCAACAGACACTGAAAGATCATGTGTTCTTGAACATGTGGTTATTCAATAGCTTTGCTCACATGCTTAACACAACGTGTTGAATCCAATTACGAACCACTTGGTTCGTTACACAAAATTCTGTATTACGATAGAGGATATGTGTTAGCGTTTGCTTGCCTTGTGGTGAACCGTATAATAAAGCATTAGATGCATGGAGCAGAGTAAACAGACTAATTGCTTTTGCATTTTGTGCTGATACCTAAATTGTCGGTTAACGTCTTTTTCTTGTAGTGTAAGGTTACAAGATAAATACATCTTTTTGGAATAATAAACTGCGTTGTCTGGCAAACATTTTATGTAGAACAAATAATGAAGTACGGAGAAGAAAAACAGACGGTTTGAATGGGCATTCTTCAATGCTTCTCAAATCATAGATAAAAATTTTTGAAATTTTTGTTTTGCAAAGTTGTCAAGGCAACATTTTTTTACTCCAAAAACGACTTTTGTTCATCAAGTAATTTTTACTAACATAGGACTGTACCATAAGACAAGCAGAGCAGAAGTATAAAAAAGTTTCGGATTTATACTTTAAGTAGCTTTAGGTGTCGGATGTAGGTACCACAGTACAAAATGTCATAATGCCTTTGTATAAATGTAATTTTTATGATTTTGATCTTTTCTTATCAGAATGGTTGTCATCAGTCACATGCTCTCCATCAAAGTATTTTTTTATGAGGAACTTTAATATTAGAGATGGGTCAATGTTCATTGCAAAGGAGAAGAACTTCACCAAATTTTGAATAGTCAGAAATTTAAAGAGATTTTCATACAGCAAAAACTACAACTTCATACAAACAATGTGCATTGAAAGAGAGTTTTTCATGAGTTCAAGATAAAATCGTATTTCTTGCTTACTCGTCCTCAGAAATCATAGCTAAATTGTTGCTTAGGCAGTAAAATATTTTTATAATTGTGATAAAGAAACCCTTGAAAACAAAACTATTTAGTTTTTGCATCATTTCATCTTTTCCTTCTCTGTGAAGCCCCCTTGTTTAGTAACAGTTTCTTGGATGAATTCATTTCTCTTTCGTTTCTTGTCTCTAACTGTTAAATGGCTAAATATGGCACGAGTTAAGCTTTATCATTATTTTCATAATGCAATCAATAGTTCTTTATTTAAAAATTGTGAACTAGAAAAATCGTCGTTTTATATCGTACTGGATGTCTTTTAACTTTTATTTCACTGAAAATTCTTTTTATAGAAAAACTTTAGTTTTAATTTGCCTTGCGATGCATAAGAGAATGTGTCAAGTTGTGTTAAGTTAAACTAAGTTCATTTGTTCAAGTCAGACTCTAGAGTTAAAATTTTTGAAACAGAACATCTTTTCGAAACATCAGTCAACACGAACACCAAGAACTTACTAGACTGTACTAACTGTGGCCAGCCTATAAGTTTAAGCCATGTTATTAAAATTTCAGAAAATTATCATTCATTTCTTTAGAAATTTATTTTCATAGTACGTGAACACAGAAAATTGACATAGCAGAACTAGATAAACGAGCTTGCTACGCCAGTGCATAAAGATTATTTGCATTGTTCTCACTTGGTTTGTGAATAAAAACTCGTATCCAAAATAATTTTAAAAGTTGTTTTGTTATACAACACAAACTACACATCATTAATACCAGTCATACACAGAGTCATACCAATGGACCATGGTCATAGCCAAAGACAGAGCAGAGACGAAAGTCATACTAAGGACCAAGGCAACTGTGAACAGTCTAGTTCGCTGAGTAGCCAGAAGTTTGTTTCCAGTCCTCTGTTCAAGGAATTGCGCATGCATGGTCATGCATTTTTATTATGTCATATGTAAAGAATATATTTTTCAATAGAACATTCAGATGAATTGCTGTTGAATGGTGACTATCATCTTAAATTTTTAGTCTTTATTTCGTATATATAGCTATTTGGAAGCTACATAATGAAGCTTACTTTCAAAACTCTGCAACAGCAGACATTTACTGTTGAAATAGACGAAGACAAAACGGTACGAAGTTGCATATGAAGTCTTATCTTAAATATATTTTCACAAATGTTATTTGAAACTAGATAGTTTCACTTTTATGCTTGGATAAATGCTTTGTCATTCAGAAATGTTAAATTAAAAAATAATTGTCAAACGCTTTTTAGTTGGGCAAAATACCACCAAACATAATATTGTACACACTACCAATGCCAGCCATGTTACAAAGTTTTCATGAGGCGAACTTTGTATCTGTGAAGACAAATTGATTATTTCGACGAAATCATATATTTTCATTTATTTGATCTTGTGTAATCATTATTTGTTTCCTAGTATTGTCATTATGCAGTATTGAATTTGTGTAAATTTTTTTACTATCAAACTGTTGGTATTTTAACTTGAGTTGCATCGTGAGATCAGACCTACAAGCAAGTTTTAATAGTACCACTATTTCTGTTTAATTTTTTAAAATTAATGAATGCCTTATGAGAAACCTGTTGTGGACTAGAAGTTTAATACCAAAACTAAACAAGATTTAACTAATTTCAATCAAAACAGTGGCATGTGGCTTGTGAATTTTGGGAAAAAATCTGTTTGAAATTAATTTTTATGAGTGCTTATAAAATTTGGTAGAAATGCACCAGGATGTGGCTGAATTTTATCAAGAATTTTGGCTCAATTTACTCCAAATTTAGTGATTACTGGATTGAATCTTATTATTGATAGACATTTGTTAGACATGATATTGATTTGCCAAATTTCATCTCACATTTTAGATCTTAGAACTAAAACAGAAGGTTGAGGAAGAAAATGGAAAGGAAAAATTTCCTGCAAAAGGAATGAAATTAATTTATGCTGGTATGTTGTCTCAACTGCTTATAACCCTGGGAAAATGTGAATGAAGTCAATTTTATTTAATTTGTTTTTTCATTCTTTCCACTAGTTATTTGTTTATACGTTTTCCTGGTATTTTTTCACAAACAGTTTTCGTTTATGCTTTGTCTTAACATTTAACTGAAAACACATTTTAATCATGGATGTATATTATTGTGGTGGGTGCTTGGGGGTATGTACTACGCCTATAAATCAGATTTCATCCCCATAAATAAATTGTTTATCTCTAGCTGTAAGAAACATTTCAGCCTTATGCCATTTTTTGCAAAACAAGTCAATAGTACAGTTGAGCTAAGTTTTTCTGTAAAATATTTCACCTTTCTACACTACCTTTTGTGATCACACTACAACCAGACCACCCCTAAAATTCCTCATCTCTTTGTTGGTCGTAGTAGATCACTTCCTTCATCCCCCTAAAATTTTTTGCACCATACTTGAGTAAAAAATATGAGAATCCATTCATGATTTTAATTATAAGGCTATAAGCTAAAATCATCATTGAAAAATATGGAAAGGATGACGAATGTTTCATTTATTTTTATATTTGATTTTGTATTCTGTGTTATTATGAGGGAAAATATTAGCAGATGATAAAGCAATTTCAGAATATCAGATGGATGAGAAAACAGGATTTATTGTTGTTATGGTTACGAAGGTATCAGGATTTATAAATTATTGATAATTACATTTTGGCATATATTATGTCATTCTGAACATAAATTACACCAAGCACCTCTGGGTATTTCATGAAAAGTGAATTCGCTCCTTTAATTAGATATTTTACAACAACAAACAACAAACAACATTTGTATACCGGCCAGTATTAATCCCCGCCAGGGGGGTTGACCCCCCTGTACCACTAATTAGATATTTTACTGTAATGAAAATTATGAATTCTTGTGTAATCTAGTCCTTAACACCATTTAGCCAAAGACTGCATCGTCTTCACCAACTACACCAGATTCAGCAACACAACAGACATCTGTTGTAAGTATTATCTTGCCACATGTGTAGGTTATTCATCAAAATAAACAGTTAAATTTTGATGTTATTACCAATCAACTACTTATAAAGTAAACTTTTTTACTTATGAAGACAACTGCAACTGATAAAGAAGATGATAAGAAAGAGACTGACACCGTCACCACCAAGGTTAATGGTCAAATGTTTTCCTGAAAATATTCAAAAATATCATGTGGTAGTTTGTAGCATCAATCCCCTAGAATTGTGATTGATATGTTGATATTCATAATGCTCAATGTTGAGCACTTGCTACTGTCATATGTGATTGAAGTTTTAATTTTTGTAGTGTTACAAATCCTTCTACAACAGTGGCAACAACAACAGAATCAACTACAGACAGCATTACAACTCCTTTAACTGTGACAACTGCATTACCTGAAAATCCAGAATCAACACTTGGTTATTATTTTCTTTACATGTGTGTAAATGTTTGTTAAATGTATTTTTTACATAATTTGTTTTTGTTCATAGTTACTGGAAGTCAATATGAGGAAATGGTTTCAGCAATTACAAACATGGGATATGAAAGAGATCAAGTACGTAGGGAAAAGTGTTTTCTCATTAAACAATGTATTTTATGGCAGTCAGTATGGTTATGATTAAATGATTATCAAAAAATATTCAATGACTCTTTTGCTATGAACTGCTTGTGAATATTGTTTTAATAAGTCTGATTTTCAAGATGGAAAGTATTATCTTCTCATGGAAATGAGTGATTTACCTGAATAACAACATTTATGACTACTTATTTAGACTTATTTTATGTCTCCAATACTCTATTGCTACAATTGAATAAGTGGTTTTACCTAAATTTATTGTGTCTATACTTATCTTATGTTTATGTAGAATTTATATCAATGATATAGTTAATATTGCGTATCGTTTTCTGTATCAGAGAAGCACTTACAGCAGTATCTTTTCCACTTTTCATTTTTTAGGTTGTTCGAGCTCTAAGAGCAAGTTTCAACAACCCAGATCGTGCTGTTGAATACCTTATATCAGTATGTTGTTGTTGTTGGTGTTTTGTCAATGCAATCCTATGTACTTCATCAATAATAGATTTGAAATTTCAGACTTGCGCAAACCTACAATAGAAATTTTTACTCTGCCAATTCCAGGTTGCCTGTTGAATGGTCTGCCATAATGCCATTTCAACTATTTTCATACTCATATTACTCTTACGAAGTCTGATAAATAATCCTGCTTGCTAAAATAATTCGTAGTATTCGCTTGTCATGATCTCTTAGTACCCTGTGCTTCATGCACAAAAACGTTGTCCCAACAAAATTCTGCCAACGCTTTCAAAACAATTACTTGTGCATATTTACTGTAGATTTCATAGCATTTCGTGAATCTTTTGTAAATGTTTACTTTAAGATAAAACTAAGTTTATTTTTTCTATCTTTAGGGTATACCTTCATCTCAACTAATGTCTGGTGCTCAAGAAACTTCTGCTCCTCCAGCAGCTGGTGGCAACACTGGTGAAAATCCATTTGCATTTCTACAAAGTCAACCGCAGTTCGCGTTAATCAGACAAGCCGTGCAACAAAACCCTAGCATTTTACCAACATTATTACAAGAGCTTGGTTCTTCGAACCCAGAACTCTTACAGGTACTCGCTCGCTCGCTCGCTAAGGTGTCCCCTTGGAAAGAAAGCGAAGAGGAAAAAAAATACTCATCGCTGAATGAATTTTTACTTTTTACATTTAGTACATAACACAACATCAAGAAGAGTTTATCAACTTGATAAATCAACCAGTACAAGGAGCAACTGCGGGTACGTACTAATGATTTATTCCCTTTAAGATCTTTTTACCGGGTTCGATAATCGGTTTATGATTTGATAAATTTTCAATATAAATTACATATTTGCAAAGTTACGCAAATCCTCATGCCACATATGCCGACCAACGTAGCCTACCTTGACATGCTAAATTTGGTTCGAATTTTCATTTTTACTGACTGCTAATGAAGTAATGATTCATTTGTATGTTATGATGTATATTGCGTTCGTAATCCATGAAATGGTCTGGTAGGTTGCTGCGATTTCTAAGTCTTCCATGTTATGCTATAGTTCTCAACCATCAGTTTCTAGGAAATATGATCACTTTCTAGGAAATATGATCATTGCATAGAATCTTTTTTTAGTAAACTATAATGCAACTTTCTGCAACTTTCAATGAGCAGAAAAGGCCATTATTTCATGAATTATTACTTATGATAGAGCAGCAAATGTCATTATAAGGCTGTTGCGTGTTTTATGTTACAGGTCAACCTGCTGCAACTGGCAACCAACCTTCCTCAGGCCAACCTGCAGCCGCGGGTGACACTTCCGGTAATCAGCCTTCTAGTGGAGACGCGGGAACTAGTTATATTCAGGTCACTTCGGAAGAGAGACAAGCCATCGAACGGGTTAGAAAAAAACTTTTATTTACTTATTTTCGGGCTAGTGTTTTAGTCTTTGAAGTTGTTTTACCATGGAGAGTAAATGTAGTTTTTTGCCATTAGTTGACTTGTTAACTAAATATAATGACCTGTACTTAAGAAATAACAGATGTTTACTGTGTTTGCACAGGATTATGCAAACCGAGGAGACCTTTGGGAGAACTCGAGAGCAGATCATTGCAAGCCCGAGACCGAAAGTCGAGGGTTGTACATGCTCGAGAGTTCTCACAAACATCTCCGAGGTTTGCATAATAACACGAAAACATCTTTATTTCTTTGTAAAATAACAATAATGCGAAGAAAGACAAACATTTTAATTTTTCCTCTAAAATGTATTTATGATCGATTTGCAAATTCTCTTTGACTGATTGATTGTTTAGATTAATTTGATTGGTTGAGCTCAGATGTGTTTTTTGCACTGGCTAATGCAAACTTAGCTCTAGACCAATCAGCGAAAGGGTTTTATCGTGTTTATTTTAAAATTGTTTAGAACGAGTGCTATAATAGGAAAGTGATAATTGACAAGCAAAACAGCCAGTTGCGTAGTCAACCTGCAAATTTGGTTCTACTGCGTGTGTAAATTGTACTTTGCTTACTCTCTTTAAAACTTACAGCCTGGCTACGCAACTGAAAACGCTCAGCATTATCAGAAGAGTAATGATTTATGTATTATTGTATTTGATAGTTGAAAGCCCTTGGTTTTCCTGAAGGTCTCGTAGTTCAAGCGTATTTTGCTTGTGAAAAGAACGAAACGTTAGCTGCTAATTTCCTACTTGAACAAGGATTCGACGATTAACATTAAAGTCACATAAACCATCTGAAGATTGAACGATCCATCGTAAGAAATGGAAAGTTACTGTTATGCCTGCTGTGTTTCCCGTATGGAAAATGTGTACATTCAATAAAGAAGGACAAGCTTATTGAATTTTATCTAAAACTCGTTCAACTCTATGGTTTTAGTAAAAATAATGAAAATGGTATATTTCTAACATTGTTATGATGCAGCTTGCTATCAGTTAAACATTTGATGAAATTTGTTTCGTTTTAAATGCATTTAATTTAGTACTGGAAGAATTAAAGCAATTATGACAACGTCAAATGCCCATCAAATATTCTACATTGTAAACTTTAATGCGTGATTATTTAGATGAAAAATTAGCTGAGTATTTTCGAGCTCGAACTATTGTCCCAGTTCTGTTTTCTACTCTTTAACCAAAGTGCAAAAACTACAAAACAGATGATAATAATCAACTTTAAATTGATCCACTTGTTTTAAAGATTGAATAATCTCATCCGGCAAGACTGGATCATGTGCGATTAGATATATTTTGGATTAAGTGACACGTTATGCATTGTTGGTTATTCATCGTGGTCATGTAACTCATGTCTGCTTTTCTGCAATTTTGTGCGATGTATGTACTTTATTGCTTTATGTTTAACAGTTAAAGATCCTTTTCAACAAGTGAATTAGCGAGGTAAAAATATATTTGTTTGCGTATGGTTGTTTAACTTGTACTTTATGACTGTAATGAAGAATCGACAAATCACAAATCCTTTTGATGTTTTACCTGTGGATGTAGCTGTCAGTTTCTTGTCACGTTTAAAATGAATGATATGTTAACCTCATTCAATTTGTCTTTATTTTAACCAGGGTTCGAATTATCAGCTGAAAGTTATTACCCTATTTTAAGTTTGGTCACAAGGACACCTTAAGACTTACGATTTAATTCATGTGTAATTGATCAAAACGACCAACGTACAAAAACTAGTTTGATATCATGCAGCGATGTTTACAACATGTATGAATAATTTCATGACAATTTCAATAATGCAATTGTTAAAACCATAGGAGACAAAAATGCCAAGAGTCGTTCAGAATTTCGTACACTTTCATGTATAGTCATTTATACGTCAATAGTGACGAGATTCATTCTAGAATTTTATAGAAGAATAAAGAAACACCAAAATTTTTAATTTTATTTGGAAAAAGTGATTTGGCTTGCAAAATGCAAAAATCATTTATCAAATTGTAATTCAAACCTGAAAATTTGCCAATTGAAACCCCAAACATGCTCTATGAAGTGTAACTAATTATGAACTGAATGGTACAATGAATTTTTTTGTTTGGTTTTTATCAACAATCCCACCACTAGATGTTGATTTGATACTGCATAGTATAAATGTTATACATTATACAGTTGGTCTTGTTGGATTAATCTTTGCTATGCAAACAATTTAACAAAGTAAATGGTTTGAACCCGGGAGTATTGTTACATGTTTGTAAATGTAGATCGTCCAGGTTGGTAAAGTCCTGAGAAGGACTTTTTTTGTTGTTGTTGACTGAAGTTTCAACCACCTTAGCGGTAGTCATCTTCAGAGTCAAAAGGAAGATGAAGACTCTGAAGATGACTACCGCTAAGGTTGTCAAAATGTCAGTCAACAACAACAAAAACAGTCCTTCTCAGCACCATACCAACCTGGACGATCTACATTTACAAACATGAAACAATTTAACGTTGAAAAAACATCACCATCATACCTAAATTGTAAATTTAAGAAGTTGAGATTTATATATTGTACAGTACATACATACATTTTCAAGTGTAAAATGTTGATAGTAATTAGCCAAAGACAAGTTAAAAATCTTGTTTTGTAACATTGATCTTCAATTGATTTATAAATTTCTTATTTACTTGGATCATCTAAAGTTTTGCATTCCATTTAAAATTATTGTTGTAGCTATTTTGCCAGAAATTTGTTTGCATTAAAGATGAACCAATTTGAAGATTTATAGTATTAAACAAATGATGTCAATGCATTCGTCAGTCAAAGTCTGTTTGTTCTTGTCGATGTCTTTCTTGTTACTTTTCTATGTTTTGTGTGACTTGAGCTTTAAAAAATTCAAAAATCTACTATTCTTCAAAATTTACTCATTAAAATTTTAATGTTGTGTATAGTTACAACAAAATGGTTGATTCTGATGAGAGAGTGTCTCTTCTGTCTGATGATATGTGAGTATACAAATACCAGATAATACTTTGGCGACAGTCAATTTATTTATTTTATTTATATTCAGACATCAATGCAACAATGGCCACCATTATTGTGTAGTACATTTATGCTTGTATTAAAAAGCTTACTCACATTCAATGAATGTGGCTTTAAAATCATGTCCTATCTATTTAAAGACAGTTTTTTTACTCCTCTGACTGCTTAATTCAAGTATTTTTCCATAGTACTCGCTATCAATGAAGAAATCAGTTTGCCATTGTTTAGTCGATACACGATTTCTCTGTCACCATTTGTGAGTGTGAATGTGAGTGACATTTTAGAATATGGCATTATAAATTTGCAGTTATTTTGTTGCAGTAGACGTTCTAAGAACTAAATTGTTTTGCTTTTACTGTTTTATTATTGTTTTGTAATGCTTTGGCCATCGAAAAGGCAGTTTTATTGCACAAAGTGGCTAATTAAACTTAAACTTTGTAATTTGAAAGATAATGTATGATTTTTTCAGTTTAAACAAAAAAATTTGAATTGTTACGTCACAGTTCGAATTTGACGTCATTAATTTGACTGTTTCTTTTTTTTTGGAAAAAGATTCAATCTTATGAAACAGTTCACAAATCAATAGATAATTGTATAGCTGGAAATTTTTTTGCTGTATTGGCATCTCATGTTCAAAAAGTAAGAAATTATTTCTTGTATACTGAAGACAAACGATTTTACATCACATTTACATCTATTGTTGAGTTTATTTAGTTGACAAACGTGATATATAATAAAGTTTGAACGAAATAAAAATGTTATGGCGTGTAGCTAGACAATGCACATGTTCACGTTGGGTCAACCAATATTTGTTTTTTATTATTCAATGTGATGCCAAAAAATATAGAAAAATATGGTGTGTACGGATGGTCTGCAGTTAAGTTGCTAGACAAAATCTTCTACAAATAAGTCGTATGAAAAACTCAAAATAAGATATTTGTAAAGCTCAACTCGTTGTATGAAGTCAAGTTTTAGCTACTGAACTAAGAATGCTGGGTAGTACTGGACATTTCGAGCTTCATAACGTAGTCGTTGAATAGACTATAAAATCATACGATTGTCGATTTTTCAGCCGAAATGAATTGAGTCGATTAACAATCATCCATCATCAGGATTCTTTACTTTAAAGTGCATATAAACCTTATACGCGTGGTTTTACACTATCCAATGTACATGGTGTCAAAGCCATATTCCAAAATTTTGATGTAATCGGACAAATATTTTCCATCAAAGTTTCAAAAATATATTTTAAGCGCTCGGTTTTACCACTAAGGGACTGGGCCAATGCGACAAGCTATTTTCTTTACTATTGTCACATCATGCCAAATGCCCATGTATTCGCAAGGCGATATACAATTTGCAGGACAGACACCGGTAAAACACTGTCCTTCAACTCTATATCATCATTTGCAATTTATGATGAATCTGACTATGATATTTTCGACATAGACGAGGACATTTAAAAACGACGCAATAATCGAAACATCGGCAACAATTTTGATTTTATTAAAAAAGCAAATGACTTGTTTTAAATAAAGCCTACACGACTGTGTTCCTTACATTACGTCACAACATGTACTGGATACCAGACCCCATTGGGAAAAATTGCAGTTTAAAATGCAATTGCGAAAATAGCTTCGATCTCAACTGATTTGTTTTTTAAATTTGTAGTTTTCAAGAACTGCTCTTTCAAACTATACTTTAATCCTACAAGGTTTATATGCACTTTTAATTGTTCGATAAACGTCTTTGTGTTTTTTTTAAAACTAATTGCTTGTATGCTTTTTGAAGAGCTTCATCCTGAGTAAATTGTAAATGTGGAGTAATTGTCATTGTTAAGAAAAAGTAGATTTTTCTTTTTGTTGTATAGCTCGCAGTTGTCTGGCAGTGAACTTTTTCATCATCCTGAAATCAGTGGCATTCAACGTAAACATCGAGCTTTGGCTTCAGAAGCCGGTTATAACAGTATAGGGAACGTTAAAGAAGGAAGTGGTGTAAGTTTATCTTTTATTTATATTTTACACACGGTAGAAATACGTGTCAAAAATACGAGATCTACTTACAAAATTCCCACAGTCAAATGGTCGGGCATAGTATTGTTTATGTAGAATAGTGGCAATAAAATGGTTAGGAGATGCTTTTGAGTTTCGTGGCATTTGTGAATCTGATTCTAGTTATTCAGAACGATTATTTAAAAGGCAGAAGGCGTTTGGGTTAGGAAAAAACATTGGTTAAAACCATTTTGGGTTAAAAAAGCATAACAATCGAAGGAAAGCTTGAATACTGGCATGTTTGCTCGAGATACATGAGAAACAGTAAATGAGAGAGTTAAATCAGAAAGATATAAACTGATAAAATGGTATAAAACATGTTTAAGGTTGTCTTTAATTATAAGTGTCAGATAAAGACAGGGTCATAAGTTAATTGAAACATTGCTTGGTTTTTTATGAAAGAAAACAAAAGACAAAATTCGAAAGCAAAAACCACGTTTTCGGGCCATGCTTCCCGATACCTTCTGATATGTAAGGCACTAGAACGCCGCATGTTAACGTTCGGTAGGAGATTTCCGGCCCCTGCCACTGCATGCTGCAATACTCGTTGCATGACTATGCTCGAGTGGACGCAAGCGCCGCCTCACCATGCTACTTCTGCCACCATGACCATGAAGCTGGTCAATTATGCTCTAAAGACAATTATCTAAAAATTTGTGACTGGGCGAGCTAATTACTCCTTATAATCGTTACTCGCACATACAGTTGGTCGTTGCCATGACCCTGAACTTGGAGAGTTGGTGGAGTTCAACTACGCATGCTCAAATTAATTCTTAATTAATTTGTGACAGATCGAGCTCTGAAATTGATGTTTGTAGATGTGCTGAGCACGTTTTCAATCATATATTGTTGGCATGCTCTTTGTCTTCTTAAGCTTGTTTTGACAAATAGATATCAAACTCGTCTACACTTTGTTACGTTACATTAACGTTTGAAATGTTTTTATTTTTTGCTAACTTTGTGTCTGCATATTGCATGTCATATCCAAGCTTTCCCCTGA